GATTTTTTTTTGAAAAGAGCTTAATACGTTGTTACATTCACGCTGCGAAGTAATAAACAGCTTTAAAAAGCCATAAAGTTGTATTTAAAATGCTACTTTTCGATTCATCCAAGTTTGAAACGTACAATTTGAAAGTCGAAACTTTTATTTAAAAACGTTTCACGTCGGTGTAGAATCAGCACACAAATTTACAACCGCCTCTCCCTTTTCTAACATTATGAACATTTTATTACACGAATCCCTGCCTTATTCGATCTTTATACTCTCGATTGACAAGCAATGGCCCTTTTCTTTACCGTTGTTTGCTTCAACCTCTTCCAATTAACACACTGTTGATTTTTTTGCAAAAAAGCGTCTATCCCCGCTGGCAGATAATTACAAGCATATGAAATCTGACAAAGCATCGTCTGGAACAGACCTGTACAAAACAGACGACATAAAGAAGGTTCGCATCTCGGCGAACCTAAAGACTATATTATGTATATGAGGAGCCATAAAACGTCGCGGCGGATCGCGACCAAGGTTCAAGTGAAATTTTATGTTGAAAACGCTCCTTTGTTATCTACTTTGCTGTAATTTCTGTCACTCCGTATTTCTTATCTCGTCTCTTACAGGTTCCCCGTTTACAATAATGGCTCGAAGAATGCCTGAATTGTCCAAACAGTTTCGCCAGCGCTGATAATGGCGCGTTATTTGCAGGAAACGTGCACGCAAAAACACCACGTTCGACGTATGCTCCAACCTCAACCGACCGCTTTTATACTCTATTCTACAAGCAACATCGTCAAATGCGAAATAACACAACACCCTCGCATACGCATTACAAGAGATAAATGCGGCCCAAATACTCCACGACATGATCAATGACACCACAGGTGTGACAATTAATGATTCGGACCTGCCTTGGCACAATAGCCGAGACCTAAAGCATTAACTTAATTATCACTAAACATCCAGCATCAAAGAACATGATAACTGAATTTTTTTTTAATTTTAAGGCGGTAATGGAACTGATACTCCCAATCAAGAGAAGAACTGTTTATTAAAGTATACTCAATTCATCCTCAACGTATTTAACACAATACAGAATTAAGTAAATACACTACACCGCAAAATTGCAGAATATTAAAAGGAAGACGATTTAATTAATACTTGTGGATAGAGATTAAATTTATTAACAACCAAATTATTAATAACCGAAATTACGAGCTTTGAAAGAGTATCTCTAAACTCATTATAACGATTTGTTTGTTGAACAAGAATCTAAACAATTCAAAAAAGAGCTAATTATTTAGAGAATACACCTCTTGAAATTATTACTTTCTTTCTTCTTGGCACATTGCTGTCCTTTATGGTTATTTAATATAATTTTCTGTAATGTTTTTAATGTTTTTTTGTAAAGTTCTTTTACGTCTTGGTAGTCTATTAAGACTCTAAAATACCCTTCATTTGGGAGCATTATAAATCAAAAAACACTCTAGAGCATTAAGAATTTTTATTTTTCGACACTGTCAAAATTTACGATTTTTCTCCTGTGTAAGGAAGTTTTGACAATTGTTTGATATTTTTCAATACTAAACGTCAGATTATTTTTAATTTTAAGCCTTGATGAGTTTAATTCGAAGAATAAAATGTTGTATTCAACCCGTGTTCGTGTAAATCGGTTTATCTATTCTACCTTGTGGTTGACTTTTTTAAAATGAAAGTCGATATTTCAAAATTTAGGAACTTTTGCACTAATAAAGTTGGTGATAAATGTCATAAATATCATGAAAATATGTCATAAAAAAAATTCGATATGCTAAGTGTCAAGCCTCGAGCATTTTTCAAAATTTTGTTGAATTAACAATGAATACTGCAAATATTTCATGCACACCACCTGAAATAAGAGAAATAGCTCAAAACCCTGCTGAAAATTGACTAAATTGTACTAATCTATTTCAGCACCCGATTTCGTGTTCAAATGGCTCATTAAAGCACCGGTTTTGGAATCAAAATAAGCTTTCTTTCAGAAGCAAAATAAAAAAATAACTATAACAAACTAATACAATTTATTTGTCAGGATACTTTACTCGTTTCCCAAGATATTGTGTATTCATAAGCTACTTTATTTGATTATTTGTCATATTAATTTTAATATTGTCAAAATATTTTTTTTAATTTTACATGAAACATAAAACGTTGTATGTATCATGCGCATAATTGGATGTCTTTGGCTCTTTGAAAACCTGTCGCCTAGGCATCCAATAATACCTAATACTCTAAATAACTTATCTTATTTCAGTTACTTCGTTTACAATCAAATTTTAAAAAAATTCTCAGTTTTTTTGACAATTTTTTTCGACTTTCTCTTTTCAGATCATATAAAGGTTTAATTTTTTAGAATCTGTATTTTTCTATTATTAGTTATTTCCTCAAAATTTTAGATTTCCACTTTTCAGTTGTTCTGTTTCATTTTTTACATTTCTCTTAACATTCATTTTTCCAAGATTTCTTCTATACTTGTGTGCTAAAGTTATTTTTTTTTCTTCTTAAATTACTCGTTTTCAATTTCCATTTTCCCAGTTATGTTGCCTTATTAATCTTGCTTAGCTTTTCTTGTTTAATATTTTTGCGATTTCTCATTTCCACATAATTTCTTTTCTATTCTATTAGTTAAGTGTTATATTAAATAAATAATCGTCATCATAATTTTGTTGTTTAAAATATTTTTACACTACTTGTCACTTGGTCAGTCCAAAATCATTACCAAAAACCACGAATAGAATTTCAGATCTTTCAGAAAACAGAATAATATTTATTCTACAATTTCTGTTGCATACAAAAAGACATATCCAGTTTCAGGTTGTCGTGACGATGAAACTTTCTTAGAACAAGTTTCCTGAACAGAATCAATTACACGGGTTTGAAACAAAATCCTTGTGGTTCGTAGCTTATATTTAATGTTATAACATTAAAATTTCCCCATATTTATTTATAAATTGGCACAGAAAAGAATATCACACAACTGTTCAGTGTTTCAGTTGAATTGAAATAAAAAACAGCGAAAATCAATAGACAATTTGGAGCAATTTGGTTGCGTCCGAGCTATGTGTAGCTAGAGCATCTGTAATTTTTTTGTTACTAAGCTTCGCATCCTAACACCTGTTTGGTGCCGGAGTTGTAAGCGGCTTTTGTTAATAGCCCCCAAGGGCGCGTAGAATCCTGCCAAATTTGAATTATTTCCTGTCCCTAAGGTGTAGCTTGGCGACAAATCTGCAAGGATAAGTTGAAAATATGCAAAAAATGTCACGTCGAAAAAATGAATTATGATGAATTGCTTAACAGTTGTTTATCTAAATTTCGAGTTTAAAAGTTCAAAGTGAACAAGTTTGTTTATGATCAAATTTAAACTTTCGAAACTCATTACGGTCTCACAAGTTATTAACAGTTTTCATTTCCCTAATGGCTTTTATTACTTTGTTTTTGGCATTGACTTTATAAATAACAGATATTATCTTAATGACGTTCTAAAATGTTGAACATCGTTGGAGCCGACAATCACTTAGAACACATTCGCATTGTTCGGAGGAATCGGCAAACACAACCCTATCAATACCGCCAGCCATGCACAAAACAAGCATTTGAAAGTGTAAACAACGCTCTTGGGGATCTTAAATTGTTGTAGCGTATGATGGCGATATAAATCTCATTATATGTACCCCACACCACTCTTGATTCTTTTCACAAGTCTAAATCGCCTAACGATGCCCCATTCACCGCCTCAAAATTTGTTCAGGTACTTTTCCAAACAGCTTCCGGCAGGATTTTCTGAAAATTGTTTCCTGCAATCCGGAATTATTAAATGCTCGGTCGCACCGATAAAATCGACCCAAAAGCGAACTTTGATTCGGCCAACCACCAATCATCTTAATGACTCACAACAATTTCACACGAATTATTAAAGAAAAAAAACGACTTTTTACTGAAATTCCAAACGGAAATTTCACGTCGGAATGACATTTCAATCCTGCATCTGTGTGAAATTTTTACCCAGAATTCAAATTAGATATTCACACTGATTTACATCCATTTCTTAACAATAAACCCGACGAGTGCCAAATCATCTACAATTCTACGCTGCGTAATGCAGTTTTTATCATTGAAATCAATTTTATTTAATCTGTCTAAAAATAGAGGAATTAAACACTTCAGTGTTTAATTAAATTTGTAGCAAAAAGGGAATCGTATTGCTGAAACCACTGGATAAATAAGAGAAAATTAAGTTTCTGTCAATATATCTGTGCCGTAATTAGACCTGAAAACTCTCTTTTGACATAGAATTAATTATCGCGACGAAAGCAGAAGAATTTTAAAACTTGAAAGTTAAGTTTGAGTCGGAAAAAATATGCAGAAACTTTCATAAACCATCCGTCGTCACAAATGTGATTCAGTGAGTACGTCACTGCATCGTAGTTATTAAAGGAGCTTCGCTAGAAATGCAGTTATTTCGCTCTGCTGAATTTCACGTCGGTGGTTTTTCGACAACAATCCAATTTAATTATTTCTGCAAGAACATGTGGTTGAATTTTCAGCGTTTAATTTAAGAAAATTAAAAAGCTCTGCATAAAAAACAGCAATAATTCTTAAAGGTTTATGACAGAACATTGAATTAAAAAGTATATGATGCATTCTCCATTACTTTACTTTAATAAACACATCGTCGGCTTTTCCTAAAAATCTTGATAAAAATGTTTCGGAACTGGCTCGGCAAATGCTTTTGACAGGAATCGGCAATGTATCACAGACACCAACCAAAAGACCTGAACATAATAATATATAGCGCCTGACACATTGTCACGTATGATTAATTGATGGTTGCTTTTAAAGTCTGTCTCCCTTTATGCTGCAACAAACCATCTCGAAACAAAACCTTTCACAAAACTAAAATTCGTCATCCGATCAAAACAATTTTATTTTTCATCGCTTTCACATCATTAACTACAATAAATAAATGGCTTTCTAATGTCTCAAAACGCCCAGAGGAAAAAGAGCGTTCCTCCGACCCAAAGGTTGAGTATGAGGACGGAAAGTGGACGGTTCATCACCTCCTAACCGCTGATTCAAAGCAACAGCTTCCAAAATAGCCTTGAGATGCGCCTTTCTCGCAGCTTCTACTTCCGGAACTTCGCCAAGGGGACTCCGGGGAATCTCTTCGGCAAGCTGCTGAGGCACCTGTCCAGTTTTGGATTGCTCAAAATGAGGCTCAACCTGAGGAACATGGTCAACGCGAACAACTGGTCGTGATTGGGGAATTTCAGGAAGCACATGTCGAGCTTCGGGAATCACAGGAACGGTCAGTTCCTCTTCAACAGTGTCTTCCGGTGGCAATTCCGGTAAGATAGCCCGGATTTCGGTGTGAGCTTGAGCATGATGGATTTTCGCAGCGGCGACTTCTGGAGTGTCTTGCACCAACTGTCCGAGTTTGTGATCGGCGAAAGGGCCTGTCCAGCGGGGAGTTTCCTCCGCCGAAGCGGCGATTATCACAGATAGAAAAATCTGAAATTGTTAAAGTTCGAGAGTCTGATATGAAAACTTGTTATTACTTACGATTTGGCAAGTGTTCATGATGGATTTTTGAATCGTTGTGAAAAATCCATAATTGCGGTTTGTATTTATAGTGATTTCAAATGATAATTAGCCGAGCTTCTTTTGGCTCATTAGTCGTATATTGGCGCGTAGAGAAAAGCGATTTCAACCTAATTATTCAACAATCACCTAATTCCAGTATACAATAACAGAATTCAATTAAGCGGCATTTGTCTATTTATTGTCATTACGATTAAATTAATTTTAACAAAGCATATTATAATAACTTGCACACAAATTATAGCAATAATTTATTTGACCAGTACACTTTCATTGTGATTTTCCTGAGTTTGTTTCTCAACTACATGAAGAGGCAAGTTTGTGGCTCGTACTCTAAACCCCTTTGAATCAGCAATATATTCTACATGTTGGATTATCCCGTTTGGATCCAAATAATCATAAAAGCCTCTGGTAACCCCATCTACATCTCGACTTTCTTCTCTAACGACATTTCCAGTATTGTAACTGAAACCGTGTTGAGTTATTTCATCTTGTTTAGTTGCGGAAACTGCAATCAAAAAAAGAAAAAATTTCTAAAAGGAATTGCAGAGACGCATCTTTAATGGAAACTCACCAGCATCGTGCTTGATTTACACTGCAATTTTTAAAATTGCAAAACTTTATATATATAATTGGCCAAGGCCAAGCCAAACGCCATGCACAAAAATTAAGTTCGACAAGCTTTTGCTGTGTTTGGTTATCTTGTTCAGAAGATTATTAAGACTGATATTTGTAGCAAAACTCGGTTCGTCAAAAAAACATTTTTTTTTAATCAATCAATCGACGAAATTAAAATTTTGTTTAGAGTAAGGTGACAAGCTTAATTGCTATCTGATTCTTTGCCATTACAATAGAATACCCACTATATTTGAATACCCCATGGCATTCAAAAGAAATTTCCATTCTTTGCTAACCAATTATTTTAAAAATTTTCAGCTATTTGAGATATAATCCGGCGACCCACAAGAAGGAATTAGTGTCTAACACAGTTAACCCAAAATGTTTCCTCCGAGATTTACGTATTTGACTCTTAAGACTTGTCTCGAAATAAAATGTTCGATAACAAATTCATATTAAAATCTTCACCCCTCCGGAAATGCTCATAAATTCGACTGCATATCTATGGTTTAGAGCAATTAGTGCTGATGACATTTCGACGAGGGAAAGTCGAAAGTTTGAGGTGATGTCAACAATCGAACATCGAGTTTAACACGAGAGGTGGGAAGAAAATCGATGACGAAAGGGCGGATTTTTAAACAGAAAACTGTAGTTTTCCCTATATTTTCAATTTTGTGCAAAATTTCCAATCATGTATAGATCTAACATCAAATGAATAATAATTCAACTAAAGATAAAAATCCAAGCTCTGCCGTAATTTATCTAGACATGGCATTCATTAACTAAATTGATGCCACTCTGCGTGAATTCCAATCTGTACCTCAATAATACCTTTCAATCAATTCCAATTCATTATGCATTCAATTATAAAATTGTGCCCACTCGATACAAACACAGTAACCACAAGTGTGTATCTAAATCTTCATCTGAATAAAATATGATGAGTTCCAAGCTTGTTTTATTATGAAGTAGAAAAAGAATATCGAAATAAGTACAAAAGAAAATTACAGATTTTGTTGAGTTACCTAGTTTTGTAATGTTTAGAATAATCATATTTCCCTTTACACCTAAAGACAAAATTATCTTTCAAATGGAAGGTATTATTTTAATATAACACGTTAAGCGTATAAGAAGAATACATATAGAATGTTCCAGCGAGTTAAAAAAGTCCATTAGTGACCTTCAAATGGTAAAATTAAAAAAAAATTATATAGGACATTGATAGATACTAATCTAGTCCATCGCCTAAAATTATTTTTAACTATAGAGCGAGTCCCAAAAATAAGTTACAGTACAAACTTGTGTTTCTTAAATGAAACACCATATTTTTCTTAGCGTTTTTGGATGTAGATTTTTATGACAATGTTTTTAAGCTAAACTTTTATTGGTCAATTTTCCTTAGTTTTAAAAGATTTTTTGACAAAAACATGCTTTTTAAAAAAATTATTACACAAAAACTAAGACATCTAGAAATATATTTTTTAATACCGCAAAGAAGAAGGTACAAGCTATAAGGTTGTTACATGTTTTTAGTGTGTTGCATTTGCAAAGATAAAACAATAAAGGCGTTAGTTGTAAGTTCAATAACTTAAAAAAATTAAATGGAACACCCTATTTATTGTTTTGGCACTTACTTTTAAGTGTTTATAAGCAATAATTAAAGAGATGTTTAACGTTAAACAAAAAATAATTACTGTTGTTTCAGTAGCCAAAAAGTGCACAGTTGCACAAGAGATGGAAGAAATGTCACTTAATAATCACATTTAAACTGAATCCATTATTCTTTATTTTTACAATAAAATAATTCGAATTTCAATATTTATAACGACTTTTACAATCTCTGGATAAATTAACGAATAAGTGATCCGTGGTGGAATTACTATGATTGTCATAGTATCAACAATGCTCATTATCATTGTTGCTACAATTAATATTGAATGTTAAATATCTTTTCATTTATCAATTCTAAACATTAAAAGTTTATTTTTTTAGATAGACAATTTATCAATCTATTAGATGCAAAATAAAAAATAGGGTGTTCCATTTAATTTTTTTAAGTTATTTAACTTTTAACAAACTTCTTAATTTATTAATCTTTACAAATGCAAAACACTAAAAATTGTTACAGCTTTAAATTCTGTACTTTCTTCTTTGCAGAAGTAAGAAAAAATTTGTTCTAGCTGCTTAATTTTTGTGTAATATATTTTTAAATAGTGCATGTTTTCGTCAAAAAAAATGTCTTATTTCTAAAACTAAGCGAAATCGACTAATAAAAGTTTAGCGTACAAACATTGTTTTAAAAGGCTACATCCAAAAATGCCAAGAAACATTCGGTGTTTTATTTAAAAAAAACACAAGTTTGTATCGTAACTTATTTTTGGGACATGCTGTACGGTTGAAAATAATTTTAGGTGATGCACTAGATTATATATCAATGTCCTATACAATTTTTTTTATTTTACCATAAGTCACTAATGGACTTTTTCAACTCGCTGGGACACCCTTTATGAATGTAAAACAACTTTAAATTCTTCGAATAGCAAATGGAACTCGCTGTAATGTTCTCCGTAAATCTCGTCATGTCTTAAAGCGTCATCAAATTTTTACGATTAATAATAAAATGATTATGAAAAGTCCAAACGACTGTTTTAGATTAGTTTTCCAGAACGTGTATGCTGATGTAGAACGTTGTAGTAGATTACTTACAGAAGCGCAAACACATATCTTCGTCGTAATTCTGAAGTATAGAACCTCATTAGTCGTGCAAATCCTATATGCAGCTCGTTGTAGTCGTCGGATGCACCGGAACAAATAACGTGGTGAGAAGCAAGGTGACAGATATTGATACATGAAGCGCTTTTGCCGAGAGCTGTGTTTCCTGTAAAAGCCCCATATTTTTCTCCAACAATATCTCTGTCGTGAACGGCTGCTAAAAAACTGTCTCAGTACAATGAATGATCACTGTTGTTGACAACCAGACGCCGGGATAAATACAAAATATATTATTTTCAACTACAATACTCGCTGTATAATGCACGTCCCTGTTATATTTCAAGCGAACGAGCGTTCGCCCTAAAAGGATTTTATCCAAGAAGGCCAAACCTAGGCCAACAAATAAAATTAAGGACCTCGACTGAAATTCGTACTGAATTATTAATGAAATAAAGCTCCAGAATCAGTCGCTAAATCGTGATAAAAGCCCATAAACAATTCAAGAATTTACTACGAGCAAAACACAACGAAATAATAAACCTACGATAAACAATAAAATGAAAGAGAGTGGCCAAGTGATATTTGGCCGTTGTTTGTGACTCTATATTTCCCCTGGTAACGCTTGCTCCTGTCTCCAGCGGGGCCACAAGTGGCCATTACAAACCCGCACTAAGAAGCAGATCGACAACAGATCAGAAAAAGAAATACGACACAGTAACAAAAAGTTATAATTAAAATTCAGCCAAGGTGAATATTTTATTTGAAAAAGACAAACAAATAAAAGTAGAACGTGTCAAGAGCGACTGTTTTAACTTCCACTTCTTAAATTGATAAAATTTTCAAAAGAGAAAAAACCAAAATATTGAATAAATGATCGTTTCCAGCTACTAAATACGTAACAAAAACATGGCTAATAAATTAGGAAATAACCTAAATTACCAGATCTCATTTCTAATGGATTAATCCATGATATTCGTCGAATTTACTCAGATAGGAACATCCAAATCAACGACATGTATAATTTAAGCTTTAATAGCGTTTTGGAATAGCCTAAAAATAAACCGAAGGAACACCTTTCAAAAAAGTACAAAAGGATAAAGGATCTATCTGATGGATTTGCAAGGACGTAGCCGCAGGCGGCAAATTCGAAAGCGTTTCCAATTCCTGGATTATAAATTGAAGCTTTTAACCCTAAAGAAACTGCCTCTTTACAACCTGAAACACAAAATTTCCAATCGCATTCTAATTATACCTTAAACCCAAAAATTGATTAATTTCTAGCAAATCCCAAAAGCTCTGCTGAAACACTGATAAAATGAATGATAGATCTTCTTGTCCACGAACATCATTTTGCAATTTATTATCCACATTCTATTGTGACCCAAACCGCCATCTGTCTCTTAAAAGTCCAACCTTTCCTCGTCCTGAAAATTTTCCGGCAGCAGTCTACAAGTTTCAGGCTGAAACAGGATCGATTTAACTCCATTGTCCTTGGAAAGAAAAACCCTTGTCAAATGAACATAGACGTCACTCCCGACCCACGCATCATCATTTTCATTTTTCTAATCCCGGAACATTAATAGTAGATTTATACCCAGAAAAACTCCGGCAGCTTTCAGCCTCGCAGTGGTTGTCCGTATCAGGATTTCGGTCACTATGCGCCGACTTTCAGAACAGTCTTGCGTACGCCACAAAGCTTTTGCTATCGATTTCAGCAGGGTGCTGTCGGTGGCCATTTTACCGACTCTTGCGCTCGTCCTACCCTCAAGTTGAGGCAGAAACACTGCCTGAAAACCCAAGCAGTGCACACAAAATGTCCTGCAGTTCTTGAAAGTGGAAAGATTTCATTCTTGAAGTCCATTTGACAAAAATACGTGAGTAAATTATTACAGTGTTATCACTTTTATAAGTTAAGGGAGTTAGAGGAGAACATGTACTAATTGCGTCATTGAGAAAAATTTCATGTTAATCGGAAATAAAATAATTGTGGCGAGATTTGTGCCAATTATCGATTAATTTATGAAAAAAATCGAGCTTTTGGTTTGTTCCAAAAATAGAAGGCGTCACAATAAAACTACACCAATAGGAATTTTATTGTGATTTTTTACTGAAACGGTCGTAATTATTGATAGGCAATAATCTGAGAAAAAATAATTGATAGAGCGCAGCTTTTATACGCACTCTCAGATGGACCATTGTGAGCTTTTTCCTTTATCATTTACTCAATTTACATCCTTTTAACCTTTCGAGTTATTTCTAAAGGTCGAATTATCTGCGCGACATCATTTCGTGGTAACTTTCAACCCCTATTCGCGTCATATAATATTTAACAGTAAATTAACGATAAAATCGTTCCACTTCAAAACTTTTTACGACTGCATAATCAAATCACTAGTTTCTTGAACAATAACCACAATTTATTGATCTTGTGATAAACAGTGTCAAGTCCCAGCTGATTAACGGTACAGGAAATCTTTATCAAAAGCGGAAAGACCTCAATTTTAATTAGTTTTCTTTCAGGAAATGTCTCAATCGATATTAAAGTTAATAAAACGGGAGGCGACTAATGTAGCTAACGCCGCCCCCACCGGAAATAGTACCAACAATAATATAACAGTACCAGTAGTTTCAAATGCACCTGCAGTACCAGAAACTATAGTCAAACAAGAAATAACAACTCCGGAAGCATGTAAGTTTAGAAAAAAACTTGAAATGTGAATAACTTCTATTTTTGTAGCAACAATTCTGCCTGATGTTACTACAACGGCAGGGCCAGCATTTAAAGAGCGAGCAATGGAGATGGCAGAGGTTGTGGCTGAAAAGACTGGAATGAAAGCATGGATGGTCATAACCATCGTGATTGGTACATGAAATTGCTATTTTGTACAGTTAACATTAGAGTAATTTCAGCTATTTGTGCTATAATCCTTGGAATCTGCTTCTGCTGCATAAGAAGATGTTTCCGAAAGAGGAGAGCAAAGGATGGGAAGAAAGGTATGAAAGGAGTGGACTTGAAATCAGTCCAGTTACTTGGGTCATCGTACAAAGAGAAAGTCCAACCGGACATGGATGAACTAACGGAAAATGCTGAAGAACCAGACGAGGCAGAAAAACCGGAAGTCCAAAAATTGGGGAAATTGCAGTACAAGGTTTGTTGGTGATACTTTTAAGCTTTTTATTTAGCTATTGATATTGTAGCTCGAATACGACTTCAATCAAAACAGTCTATCCGTCACTGTCATTCAGGCCGAAGATTTACCAGCCCTTGACATGGGTGGCACTTCTGATCCCTACGTCAAGGTGTATTTGCTTCCAGACAAGAAGAAGAAGTTTGAAACCAAAGTCCATCGTAAAACATTAAGTCCGGTTTTCAATGAAACGTTTGTTTTTAAGGTTTGTTCTCTTGTTGAAAGTCAGATACGTTTAAAGACAGTTGCTTGTAGAACATTCCATATGCCGATGCAATGAATAAGACCCTCGTGTTTGCGATTTTCGACTTTGATCGGTTTTCCAAACATGACCAGATCGGTGAAGTGAAAGTCCCTCTTTGTCAAATCGATTTAGCCCAAACGATCGAGGAATGGCGCGAGCTGCAGAGTGTGGAAGGAGAAGGTGGTCAGGTGATATCATAATCAAATTATCTTGTAATAGTCATATAGTCCGGTCCTTGCTTCAATCGGATTTTTCACACCCAGTTCGGACCATTGGATGCTTGCACAAGTTACAGAAGACTTATAGCACTTTTCGTACTTTCAATAATACATTCAGTTAAGCATCAAACCCACGATTTTATTGGTATGCAATAAGTGACGGGTAAAGTAGCAATTATCAAAATTTGTGTACCAATAGAATTGTCTAAGGTTAAACGAAGCGAATGGTAGCTCTTCTACCTCATTCTTAACTTTAGAATTGGGATCCAGTAGTTACTGTCATGTTGAGATTTCTCTGCTAGTTTATTTTTTATGGCAAAAATACGTCGCGTCGACATTGTCGACGCTGCCTTCAGGATCTGCCGACGGAAGCAAAGTTGATCGAGACTATAACCTCCAACTCAATGCAATGGACATGTATTGACGTAAATTGTTTTTTCTCTTTTCCCTAAATTTCTCTGCTCTGCTTTGGTTTGGCTGTGTATGGTTGTGCCGGCCGCGCATATGCATGACGCTTCCAAACAATCAATTTGTTCACGTAAGTATACTTCATCATTTAATTAACCATAGGTGATGGGATCGGGTCACTTCCGAAGAAGGCATGACCAGATCTTTCACCTTTTGTGACGATCTTTGCAGGAAAAAGCAAAAGGAATAAAGCGGTCCCCTTATCGAAGTAATAACGTTTTTCATTCAGTACTTGCTTCTTTCTGCTATTCACTTGTAGTTTATACATCTATAGTATTAAGTTGCCGTAAAAACGTCCCAGAATCCAAAACAGTCACTGACACAGAGTAACCGGGACGTTTTTATATCTTTTTATTATATTCAATATGTTGCATTCAAGTTGAACCATTTTTGAAATATCGACTTTTATTATTATGATAAAGTTAAGGATCATTCTGGGTTGCTTCCCAACTGTTGCAAGTTGTTTCTTAGTTTGGAAGTGACTCAATTCTTTGTGACGTAGATTTACAAATTTTGACTTTTCTCTTTGATTGCCCCACATCTTTTACCTTTGTTCCCAAAATTCTGCATATGCATGACCCCTTTTGTTGGCATTTGCATCTGGCTGGTATCTGTTTTTTTGATAATCAAATGGTTTTTAATGTTGTTTTCGAGTTCAATCGATAATTCAACTATTTTAGGTCTGCCGTGTAAAAATATCCGCATGCCAGCACCATAGTTAGTTCTAAAACGCACAGTACATTTTTACAGTAAATTCTCTGTTTAGCTGTTTGTAATAATAACTGTTTTTAATGGAGACCCCGATGTCTGTCTACTTAAGGTATTTTACTCAACTACTTTCAAACATTTAAAAACATTTTTTCTTAGCGTAATTTTTACTTAGTTCATTCAGATCGAATAGTTAGCAAATCCTGTACTGTGTTAGTTAACGAGTCAGTTAATCTAGTTAACGACAAGCTGGTTTGAGCTGGGTGTTTAGAAGAAGAACTCCACACTAGAAAAACCGACCAAGTGCAGACTTTAGATCACGACTCGCCTACACGATGCAAAATTTTAGTATTTACCAACGAGACGGCTATTCGGCTGTCCCAGTCGCTTTTAGGCCAAACACACAACCGCTAAATGTTCCAATTTTAGGTGTTGTAACCCTTCTATCTTCACCCTCCCCCGACCCCTCCGTGTTTCGACCGAACCACCGATTTAAACACTTCTGTCAAGCTTGACCACACTATTCTCTGATTGCGCATGTATAACAATCAAACCATTCCAATTTCTTTAAATCGTCTGTTTAAATGTTCTCTATGTCATGTCACACTAATACTCGTCCCTTCCAAGTCCAAGTAGATGAAACCCTTGAGACGGCATCGCAGATGAATATTGTGATTGAGCTTGTACCCTAGCCTATTTAGTTCACTCTATCGTCCGATATTACAGGAAAACAAGTTGGGAGACATTTGCTTCTCATTACGATACGTACCGACAGCTGGAAAACTCACTGTGGTTATCTTAGAAGCTAAAAACTTGAAGAAAATGGACGTTGGTGGATTATCTGGTAAGTCGCAAAACACCCAAAACCGAATCTACTAAAAGAAACTCCACAGACCCGTACGTGAAGATCGCTCTAGTACAAAACGGAAAAAGACTAAAGAAGAAGAAGACTAGCATCAAGAAGTGCACACTGAACCCATATTACAATGAGTCGTTTACTTTTGAAGTACCATTCGAACAAATTCAGGTACTTTACACTTAGGTCTTCAAACATAAAGAATCCAAACTTTCAGAAAGTTAACTTGGTGGTAACTGTGGTGGACTACGACAGGATTGGAACCTCAGAACCCATTGGTAAAGTCGTGTTGGGTTACAACGCAAGCGGGACTGAATTGCGTCACTGGTCTGACATGTTAGCATCGCCTCGCAGGCCAATTGCCCAATGGCACACCCTCAAAGACCCAGAGGACGAGAAGAAGGACTAAGCTGGTCGCTTACAACGCTGATTTACTCAAATATTATAAGATTTACTCATAAAGATATTGGTTTCCTAGCATGAGAAAAAGTCGCGTTACTTAATTTACTTAAAAGGAAAACAGTTATAAGTGTATATTTGTAACATCATAGATGTCAGTAACATATATTTTATAAATAACTATTTGAAAGAAATATTCGATGTAACTCTCGGGAGTAACCTGGACTACCTTCTTTTTTGTTACTTTTTCCGAAAAAAGGTTACTCAGCTTGCCTTCAACGAACTACTGGTTTCTGTAAATAGATCGCCTTCTTCCAAACCGTATTTGGTTTCGAAATTTTAACACCCACTCTAAAACAGACGCGGAAAAGTCGCCAATGAGTATTAGATGATTAGGTCATACAGACAATAGAAACATTTGATAGCTTGTAGAACAGTTGAAGTTACGTTGCAAATTTTAATGGATCGGAGCACAAAAAACATTTGAAAATGTCAATCCCCACAATGGGCATTATTGGAATTTATGGATTATTGCCTATTTACCACCAAAACAACGATAACGATAAAAATGCATTGTTGGGATTGCGTCAGTATTGAGAAATGCTGTTTTAACACCGTAGAGTAGACATTCCGTTCCAAAGAATTATTTCATGACAGGTAGCCTTGACCAAAAATCAAACACGGTCTAGGGTACCAAACAGAAAAAATGATATTATTCTTCCTCTTTTCTTGTATATACCTATAAATAATGTTACAATGTTGTGTAAAATAAAAGTATGTAAACAGTATAGACAAAAATGTTACGGCCCCTCTTATGTATGTACCCTCCCAAACACCAGTATATGGGCCCAAGTTATTTATTTAGTAAGAAATCAGCACACATCTAGTTCTAATATTGAAGAAAATTTGGTAATATCATCAGTGCGTGATCTTATTTTGTTATGAGGTGGTGAAAATTGTAGTTGCACGAGCTTCTTGGAGTGGCAATATCTTAGGAATGTAATTATTGTACGTGATCATAGTTTTAGTTAAACGAAAAAAAAAACAAAAACTGTAAACGGCTTTCCTTATCTAGACATAGCAAAATAGCACTTTATTATCATTATTATTACATTGTATAGTTAATTTTTCAATGTTATTAAAGAACAATAAGTATGATAATATTATTATATTGTGAAATTAAATAAAATGTGGCAACCTTGCTCTTGTTAAGTAGACAAAAAAATAAATAAATCATATCACTCGTCCTGTTGACCACTTTGTGTGTGTGTTTCATCTATCATAAATCACAGATCATATCTTCTCTTTAAAGTTCTATACTTCTTTAGCATGTACAAAGTTTCCAACTCCTTCACTATATACTGTCCATGAGCAATCATTTTCTTAATTTTTTCCGGATCCTTCTCATCTTTATTTTTCATGAATGCGTTATGTAAGCGCGTACGAAAAAAGTCGTAACCAGACGGGTAATCTTTCCCCAGATGCAATAACTAAAAAATATTTTCAAAAATAACTCCAAAAATTCAGACAACTTTCTAGATCACTCTGTATACACATCATTTTGAAGCCACACTGTAAAATACACTAAAAATGCACACTTACTGTTTTATAAAGTTGAATCACTTCCTTGCGTAAAGACATATTAAAATAAGTCTTGAAAGCGTTAAAAACACCTCACAACAACACAAAATTGTTATTTCTTTGAACTTTATCCCATTAGAAGATAATAACGTTGGTAACACAAAAATCCCTACAAAGTCATATGGTTGTCATTTTTAACCTCAAACACAGACAGCTGTTTACCTGTAATATTTTTCAAAATAATTACAGAAAAATGGAACCAAAACAAACAGATGTGCACTTGCGTGCAATGTTGAATAGCCCTGCACGTTTTACACCAGCTGTCCCCACTCCAGACTGGTCCGCAGGTCCAGCTGTGCCCCCTTCAGTAAGTATACTAAAATGTAAGCCTTCCCCGTTTACCATTTTTTATTTTAGCCGCAAACTCCTGGCAAGTCTAATATGATTGTTGCAACCCCAGGTTCAGCAGCTGGAGAACCTCACACAAATATAACAATACAGTAAGTAAATTAAAAGTTGGAAATTTTCTAATGGAATCATCATAGAAATTGCGTAACGACGGTAGATCTCAATACAAAACTCGACTTGGCGTTAATTAACGCGAGGACTCGAAATTCCGAATATAACCCAGCGCGATTTCATGGATTAATTATGAGACTCAGGGACCCAAGAACCACCGCTTTGATATTCCAAACTGGTAAAATTGTATGCACTGGGGCTAAAAGCGAGCAAGATGCCCTTCTGGCTTCTAAAAAGTTTGCGAGGATTATACAAAAATTGGGATTTGATGTATGTTTAAATATTAAATTTAAAAAGCTTGAAAATAATTTTTTAGATCAAATTTGAGAACTTTAAGATACAGAATCTGGTAGCAACGTGCGATTTGAGATTTCCCATAAAACTGGAAAGTTTAAGTTTATTGCATGGACAATTTTGTAGCTACGAACCTGAACTTTTCCCAGGAATAATCTATCGCATGATCAAGCCGCATTTGTGTTTACTCATTTTTGTCAATGGAAAAATTGTTTTCACAGGGTCAAAATCGCGAGAAGGTATCAAGGAATCGTTAGATAATATATACCCAATTTTACGTAGCTTTAAGAAAAATTAATTATTCTTATTATGTGCAAAGTTATATTAAGGAGAAATCTTTAAACATGGACTTTTAGATAGTGAGCCCATAGAGGGCGCTGATAACCATTTTCGTGCTATTAACTTGAATGACGTAATAGACTTCTTTTTACACGTGTATGACCAAACGTAAGTGTTAACAAATATTTTTTCTAAGTAATTTTTCTAAACATCCCAACTCTGTGTTTAGGTGGGCGTCAATGAATGAAACATACGTAAGGCTTCACAAAGCCAATAAATTAGTTTTATTATGTTTTCTTCAATTTTATTTTGTTCATTGAAAATAAATTGTACTTTTGTGAATCAAGAATGTTTCAGGGTATTTCAATATCGATTGAACTTTGTTCATGAATTCCAAGGCAATAATCCGATACAAGAACCAAAAGGTTGAAACTTCCCTTTATTATTTCTCTTTCGCCTACCTCCTGTTCTTTGTACAAGATATAAAGGATAAATTTGATCAAATCGTACTCTCTATGAGATTTTCTCAATTCAAATAAAATGTTTTACAACAAAACATTAAATAAACATATCTTAGATCGTTAATTTATTTATTCGTATTAGATTAGACCACTTAGGATCACCGGTTTATCTTTATAATAGAGAATTGTATTGTATTTTATTGTTTGTATACTTTTTGTTAGCAATAAAACTGCTTTTGATATTCCATAATTTTTTTATTGGAGACAAAGAACAATCCTTTATGACAGGAATAAAGTTTTAATTGCGCAACCGTAAACTCTGTTTTACTTTTTTCGAGATTTTGAATGATTAGTAGATGCATTCAGGGGTGAATGTCCCGCCGGCAAATATAGATTTGAGAATCGGTGGCGCCAGAGCTGAAAACTCGCCACATATCGACAAATCTTGCTTTTATTTTATTATGATCAGAGTAAACAGCACTATTTTTCACTGTTATTATTACGTGATCAGTTGTTGTTTGCCAGAAATAGCAAAAGGTGAAGCATGTTTAAAAAATATAACATCGCAGCGCTAAAATTAATCTAGCGGTAATAATTGCGATGAAATTTAGGTCAACTTAATTTAGTGAGAAACAAACAATGCGGCCCTGGACGCAACAATTTGATTTAGATCATTATTAACAAAACTACCCTCTCGGTTTCGATAAAATGTCCTCGTAATTGATTTAAGGAATAATTGAACGAATTTGTTCAAGCACCTTGACCTTTTCACGTAATTGTCTGTTATGTATGAACACGACAATTTGTTGTGAAAGCATACAACTCGGCCAGGTGGTTGTGAGCGCGACATTTTCAATTAATCTAGAAATATTCCACTATTAGTAATTTTTGCCAATAATTCCACCCATTGGATAGAACAGAAGCTTTGAAAGCTTCAGCAAGTTGAAAAAAACTTCAAACGCAAAGCTCATTTCCCGGCAGATATGATATCGCAATAATTAATAAAAAAAACATCGCGGTGGTGTTCTCATCAAGATAAGTGAGATTCGTTGTTTTGACGTCAAAGCTCAAGTTTAGTGTTGACGCCAGAACGAAACCGTTGTCTTGGTAACAGACTGCCTCGAAATTCGTTTATCCTATGGTGGTGAAAAAGCTTATCATTTTGAAAGCACACATGAAAAACTTTGCATGACGTGGGCAATTTTATGTTTACGCTTTATCGTAACACTTCATAACATGCGGAAAATTAAGACAACATTGTGAAACGACAAAAGCCTTCAAATCTGAAATGAGTTTGAGCAAAAATAATCGGCCCTTACCACAACCTCTAATTTCCAGATATTGAGGGCAGATCTTGCAATTATCGTGTTCCAGATTTTGCAAAGTGTTACAAGAAAATAGCTAGTTAAGCCAAATAATAATTATTGTAAATTCAAGTCAGAATAACAAAACCACCAAAAAATATAGAGTTTTTATGTATTAAAAGTTATAAATTCCAAAAAAGCAGACCAAAAAAGTTACATTTTGCAAGAATAATTATATTTTCTAATTTTCCAACTTGACATAATGGTAATTCTGAAATTCACATACTGTAAAAACAATGTCGCGACTGAGAACTCATTCATCATTCATACTTTATAAATGAAATCAACTCTTCTTTTTCTTACTTTTCAAATATTAGTTTTTCATTATTACCATCATTTTAGAATAGGCACAGCATTGTCTTAAAAATAAAAGAATAGATTGCCTAAAGCACGAGGGAATAACAGGAAGTTACGAACAGGTATGAGTATATGGGAAAAAAATCAAATATAAAAGTTAAATAAGTAGGTTTGAGGCAATCCTAATGTGTAAAATCAGACAGTTATACATATTTTAATTTTGTATGTAGAAACACGAAACGTTCTTCAGTAAAAAAAACATTTAATTAGCCCTATAATGTGTTTAGGTAGCAGTTTATGATTACGATGAAATAAGTCTTAGTCTTACTTGGCCCCCAATTATGGTAGGCTCTTATTTCAAACTAAATATTTCTGTGCGTATACAGTGTTCGGTCCAAGTCGCCCCAGCCGATAACACCTAAACTTACTTTTTTTTTCAAAAACTAAATTTTCAAATAATACTATTCGTTCCTAGCTTTCTTAGTAAATGCATCAACTTTTTTTGCCACATCCGGTGTAGCCGGAAATGCTACCAAATTTAGTTTTTCAAATAGAACACCTATGTTTTTTTGCTCAAAACAATAATAATTGGCATTAAAAATACGGTAAACAACTATTTATTACATTTTACTTTACATAATGCACCAGAAAACAATTTAAATTTTAGAATTTTATTAGCAAATTTTGCAACGTAGGCGGATTTTACTTGTCAAGGTATTCATGCAAAAAGCAATATGCTTGGATACCGTTTAATTGTTATTTTGAGAAAGCCTAATTTGTCAATAAATCTTATTGAGATTTTTAATAATGGATGATATTAATTACGACGAATTGGTAAATCAGCTTGAAGTGTTTTTTAAGTGCAATAAAAATAGAGCGGAAGCTGAAAGACAGTATAGAGAAAAATACCCAAATAGAGTTCACCCAAATCGTTGGATATTTAGTCGAATTGAAAAACAAATGAGACGCTTCTTAAAACTAAAAAACCTGTGGTTTTTAGTGAAGAACAAGAAAATAGAAATCTGAATGTTCTGTTATCAGTCGAATAAAATCCAAGAATTTTCATAAGAGAACTCGCTCATCAACTGACAAATTAGATTGGTCAAACCAATAATTATACTATATCCAAGTATTTTTTTATTCACACCTTTACTTTAAAATTAAAAGGCTACGCGACCAATTTCCTTATAAAATTCTCAGATTTAAGATGTTTTCTGATTGCATTGTGTTACGCAAATTGTAATAAATAGTGGTTTACCGTATTTTTCATGCCAATTATTATTGTTTCGAGGAAAAAAAACATAGGTGTTCTATTTGAAAAACTAAATTTAGTAGCATTTCCAGTTTATTTGTTATCGGCCGGGACGACTTCGACTGAATACCCTGTATCTTTATTAATTTATTGTCAATAGCTCTATGACATAAAATCACTTTTAAATTTATAAATAAATTTTTCACAATGCACAAAAAGGTTATAATTTGATACTTACTGCATATCTAAAGCTGATCCATGAAGTACTGAACCGCTTTTTTCGCCGAAACTAAGTATGTTTAGTTTGAAGGAATTAAAAAATAGCCATCATAAATAAAACTAAAGTCTATAATTTCAATGATTTTAGCTCAATTTTGTTTATACGGTCTTACTCGTACATGTAAGAAAAATTCCGGGCTGATTTATACAAGGTGATCGAAAAATGTATGGCATAATACTCCTCTACAAATGAGCATACATAATCGGATAAACGGTAGCAAAAATATTTCCAGAAAATCATTTTTTCATATCGATTTTTGGAAAGCTGTAGTTTTCTATTTTTTGAGGTGGGTCAGTAAATACTGTGCTATCTATTCTCATTTGTAGAGGGGTATTCGTGGTTAAAATTATGCCACACATTTTTTTAATCACCCGATTATTATAAGATATTGTTTATATTTAAATTTATTTCTGGGCATCAATAATGGAAAAATAAATATAAACATACTGCTCCACAAAAGTTGAGGAAGTCGCATTATTTTTACAACAAACAAATTTTATTCTTCTAAGCATTGTGGAATCCAGCTAAAACAAAAAAGTAATAAGATATCTGCCTTTATCTCACTTTTAATTAACTATTGATTCAAATATTAATTAATAATTTATTAATTTAATTAATTATTTAATTATTGCACACTTCCTTAACTTTTGTGGAGCAGTTTACTATAAATTTGGTGCACAAAAACAAAAAGTAAAATTTAAAATTACAAGTTATACAAGCGGCCTCCTCTGAAGACGTTCATCTAAAAACTTTATTTTCGTTAATTAAACCATCATGATTTCAACTAAACGTGACGTCACAATCTCAATAGAGAAAACGTACTCGTTCAAAAAAATATTGCATTAAGTGATAAATAGTTTTTATAAAAATTGCCAGTCCGCTCCTGGAAAGAATAGTACCAGGTGAATAAAATGTATGGAACCAAACGTTTTTTGCTTAAACTATTTATTTTTTTGAAAAAACTAATTGATGAGTGATAAACTACTATAAAAATGTGATGATTTAAAAAGAATAAAATTTTTCGAAATTTTCTTTTGTTTTTGAGTTACAAAAAAAAATATTTTTTTAAATGGCAACCCACTATAAAATCATTTTTCTCATACTTTCTATACTCTAAGGATTACAACTAACTGCTTTATACTTAATTTTTTCAAAAAAAAAATTTCACATAAATTGCAATTTTGACAAAAAAAATCGCATAACTCAAAAACAAAACAAAATTTCGTTCTGAAAATACGATCACAGTTTTTTATATTAGTTTAATTTATATTAATTATTATTTTCTGGAGGCAAATGATTAAAAATAAAACCGCTTGGTTCCATACTTTATATTCACCCTGTATGTACAATGGCGAGCATTAAATTTTAGTAGTCAATGTCATTCCTTAATATACCCTCTTGTCAAAATTACACAGGGAAATTACTTTTTTTGTCAAAAAAGATGAAGTTTCAAAATGACATTACCTACCAAAATTTTATGCTCGCCATTGTACGAGTTGCAGAAGGCAATTATTCAAACAAGACTTTGAAATTCCGATACGAGCCACGAAGCGAAGAGTTGAGCAACAAACGATTGTTTGAATGGTCTTCTGTAACGTGTCTTTTAAACAATTTTTTATTTTCTTCATACACTTTTTAAAGAAAAACGAAAATTTTTGAATGTAGGAAATTTTGTGTCATTTATTGGTGACACGTGGCAGTGTTATTCATAAACGTGTTGGAAAGTTAAACTCGAATTGTAAATTGAATAAATTTCCAAGATTTTTTCATGTATCATCGGTGGATATAAAAAACTGGGACAAACATGACGTTCACTTTAAATTTGTACAATTTTTTTAGATTCCTGAATGTTGTTAATTACAAAGTTTTCGTAACCAACACGAAAGCATTAACTACTTTTCTGTTTTATTTCTAAGATTTACCACGTTCTGTTTGTGTGTCTTTTTATACCCTGTTATTTTATTAGAACAAATAACAACCCAAGCTCTAGAAGTATTGTTATAACAATTCAGTTAGCTTTAGAGTCGTGATAAAATTCAAACCGATGAAATTGGTCATGAATTATTTATTGTAGCCACACTATTATTAGTACTGTCATATAAAACAGTTCAGTTTCAATTGGAACTTTGAGAAACCAAACTCATCTGTACTCATCTAAATAATTAAAAACCTTATACATAATTAAACAAATATAAATCAAACATTTTTTGCAATAAATTGGATAAAAATGATGGTAAACAAAGCGAAAATGCAAATTGAGAGTGAGCAACACAGCGCAAAGCAGAAATGTAGGTAACACAATTTTCAACTCAATTTAATCTCTAAAAGCACAAGGAGCATAAATAACAAATAGGTTACGAATGTGATTTTCGATTTATGACATTCATAAAAGGGAAAAATAGTCAAGTTATTCCGGGAATACACAAATCATTTCAAGCAACAAAGATGTTTATTGAAGTAAAAATCTAAAAATCTAAATTTTCTATACTGGAACTGGACAAATCTATTTTTAGGACAGATTAATTCTGACTTGATAACTGTTTTTGGGGTTAAATTTTTAATCCAAAAGCTCATTATTACCGTAAATAAAATCAATACCTAGCGGTGGCTGCATTATTATCTAATAAATTATGACGATAGTCGTGACTTGGCAACTTTTAATAGGATTGGTATAAATAACACTGCTGTCGAATGTAATTACAACTATTGTCCTTAATGTGAGAATATAAAACGATATTATTTCTGGAACGGTTCCAAAATAAACATAAACAATTAGCCCTAGAGGGCAGTCTAATCTGTTGGGGGTGTCGATACCCAGTAAGACACAAAATCAATCCTCGGTGCTCTCTAATCGCTCATTTAATCGCACGTAAAGCCGTAAATAACCGTTGGTTCAACAACCAGAAATGACCCCCAGCGGCTGAGCTATCGAGAGCACAGTCCACCAATAGCGTTCGCTGTTGCTATCCCAAAAAGCTTCATCACCTGTTCTGGGGGAAATACAGTCGATAGAGCCTTGAAAATTGGGTCACAGGATGCAACTGGCACACGAGCCTCGAAACTAAGTCACTTCAGGAGCAACGAACTTAGCTCGAAATTGGAACGAGCGCTACTGCCTTACAAACACATCATAATGAATCAATAATCCAGGAGCATTTAGGGCGCACTTAAGAAAAGTAATAAAGCTTGAAGGCCACCTGATAATTGCAATAGATTGGTTTACTATGCTAAAAATAAACGGGGGAGCAGTGGAAAATTCCCTTTAATCGAATGAATTTCCCGGAGTCTAGATTCACGACTAGTGGAGAGTAATTAGCCGGAAAAATGAAAGAGTTCAAAAAAAGACCACGAAAATTACAATTGCTTTTGCGTGTGTAAAAATGTAAACAAAACACGAACAGATTTAAAACACATAAAGGGGTGATATTTTTTACTACATGCAGCTTTGCTACGCAATATATAATTTCGATTTGTAAAGTAAATTATAACTAGTGTTCAAAAATTATTAAACATTAGATTTTTATTTTATTGTACGACACATTGTATGGTAGGGATTTTACAACAATTTCAGAAACCATTAACTTTTTAAAAGAACACACCCTACTTCTAGCATTAACTAAATTAAAGTCATTTCATTTCAAAAAGTTTCAAAGTTGTCATTACCGAATAAACTTTTTGTTAATTTTTTGCAGAATTATACATTTTTATCCAAAAGGTTGTTCCATTTTTATTGTTATAAATTTAAACAGGTGATAGAATATTCAATTTTAATATAAAAATTTCCTATAAACATATCTTGAATGTTTACTACACTACGTGAAAGGGGTGTATGTTTTAATGGATTTTGTCTAATATTTCAGAAACCATTTTAGAAGTTCAAAATTTGGTAGTACAGTTCATTACCTTTATGTCCAAATTTTTAATCAGGGACGTTCTAAACTGGGAGGTTTAGGATAAAAAGTACTATAACAACAAAATTCTAAATTCCATAGTTTTTTACTAAAAAGAGGTTTGTTGCGTTTTTTCGATATAACTTACCCTTTTTGAGTTCTAATATTCTAATATTTATGTTACACTTGTTTTGTGGTGTTTTTTACCGAAAAAAAAATTGGTCAAGTTTGGTAGAAAATCATACTATTTTTGCTTTTTTAAACGTTTTAGTATGTTTTTAAGATAAAAATTCAAATTTTGAATAAGACTTTATCGAGACAAGATAAAATCTTGAAATTAAATCGAAAATATCATATTTTTCACTTTCTCAAGCGTTTAAGAAAGTTCTTCAGCCAGAAATGCAATTTTTTTGCAAAATTTTGTCCGAACCAGTTGAAAAATCGATAAAAATTGTGCTATTTTTGCTTTCTTAAACAGTTGAATACATTTTTGAACTAAAAACTTCTTTTTTTCGAAAAATTTTACTAAAATAGGCCACAAAATTACTATACTAGATTCAAATTATCGTACTACCTTGGTCTGTTTCACTGGATTTACCTACTTTTTTTCAAAAAAATTTATTCACAACCAAAAAACCACCAAGTCAGTGCACCTTTTAAAGCATTTAACATATTTTTGAGTTAAAAACTGTTTTTTTTTTGGGAAAATTAAAAAAATACCAAATTTGGTCTAAAATAACATTATTTTTGACTTTTTCAGTTAAATAGTGCATATTTGTGAGTAGAAATCTTAATTGTTTTTGATCAAATCATGCCCAAAAATTAATTAGGCAAAAAATTATTTTATTTCCATCTATTTTCAAGCGAATAAAAACGTTTCCGAGCCAAAACTAATTTTTTATTAGGGGTAGAAAACATTCTTGCTTGTTTCAAGTAAAATTTTTCCCAAATGGGCCAAAAAATTAGCAAATTAAATTGAAAATGGTATATTTTTTGGTATATTTTTTAAACTGGGGATTAGGTAAAAAGTACTCTAACTATTTTGGCTGACGTTTCTTGCTACTTTCTGCAACAAAATTCTAAATTCCATAGTTTTTCACGCACCTCTTTCAGAGGGTGTAGTTCTTTTACAAAACATTTTTTGTTACAAAATATTTATAGGACATTTTTGTCTTAAAATTGATTATTCTTCTACCTGTTTGTAACAATAAAAACGGAACACCCTGTCTGTGTATGGGGGGAACTACAAAACTACGTGCTTTATCTCAATTGAAGAAAGTATAAAACTCCAATAGGCTTTATAATTACTGAAATTTTTAAAAATCCCATAACGCAAAAATCTCTAACTTGAATCTATTTTTGTTTTTATTGCTGCGGATGGTTTATCTTTGGCATAAAAACAAGACATTAGAATTTTTCTGAGAGTAATAAGATCTCGTTGTATTGTGGAAGAACTTGATACTGAACTTAGAAACTGAATTACAGGGAGAGAGCAGTATTGACCTTATTTTAGTTAAATGTTCAAGATTCCTTTATCCCACTCTTCCTGACATTATTGAATTTCACCTCAAACTGAAGCTTTACTTTGCTCATTAGTACGACTATTGAAATTTATTTCAACGAACCGCAGTTGGAGATTAATCAATTCTAGTTAGATCGTCACCTGTCACCTGTTGTTACCCGATAAAAAGATTCAAACCCCGAAAAGGTCAAACAAAATAAGTAGATATGTCTGGAGCCGCATAATCAATACACAATACAGAAAACAATTGTATTCATTTAGACTTACGCTAACCCAAATTAAAAAAATATGACTTAAAGAAATTGTATGAATTTGGATGGTGTTTACCTTTCAAAAAAAGCATGTTTTTTTATAAAAGAAGTTTACATGTCACTATTCTACGATTTCATGTTTTTCATCAAAGCAGACAGCCTCAAAGGATGTTGAGTAATCTTTGCTCTGCTGGTTGAAGTAAAGAAATTTACAAGTCTTTTACGAATAAATAAAATTTTAATTAAAACACAATAATAACTTGAAACAAACGTAAAGTTTGTAAATAATCAAATTAAAGTGATGCAGATCAAAACTCTGATAAAATGAAATAACAGAAATACAAAAATATGTGTTTAGATAAAGCAATCGATCGAATGCGAACCCCACTAAGTTGTCTTTATTGTTTACACGTGTAAACCTGAAGCCAGCCTCTTTTTATAACCCTTGCAAAAACTTGAAGGGTTTTATCGGCACTTTATTCGCCTCATTATTTTTTTTTGGTGGTATCAAAGGTAACAAAATACACAATTGTGGCATGAAATATGTTTAGCTTTCATGAAATAGTCTGTAGACATTCCCGGCCCGTTGGGCGTAACACTGGGAAAATGTCAAAGTTCATCCAGGACTCGTTGCCCGGATCTCGTAAACAAGGTCATGAACTGCTCCAGCAAGATACTGGATGACCTTTCGGTCTATAATTAAGCCTTTAAATATTTATCAAGACGGTTCCAGGGTTGTCGCGAAAAATAAGAGCTTTTATTATTCTGTAGACATTTATTATATCAGTCAGTAGGTTATAATAATTTAATACTTTATATACACAGATTAGCGTGAGGTCTTATTCGATCGAATAAGAGTGTCTTTATTCATTTAGAACTATTACAGTACTTCAGCTATTTCTACGATATATCAAAATATAGTATTTACATTTGGTACAAAATATGCAGGGATATGTACATTTTTTCATTTCTAAAACAGCTACAACATTTTGAAAATTACGATATATAATTTCCAAAATGCGCAATTATGTCTCAATCATTGATGAATTTATTCTTCAATAATATCAACAAGAAGCAGCTACTAATTATCTACTTCAAAATATTTTGATTGAATGAAATTCGAAATTTTCCTCTGGTTCGTTCTTGTAGAATCTGACCTATTGGGAATGCAAAATGTTGCCTGATATGTCGCGGAATTGACAGAACCAGACTGGGAAATTGCGAAAAAAGCCGGTGGGAAAATATCCGGCAAAAATATACTTCTTCTATGAATATCTATTAAAAAAATATAGAAGCTTCTAATGCTGTAAGGAACACCAAGCATTTGCACTGATTGACTGAAAGCGCGTAAATGGAAGAGCTTCGAGAAATTCCAACAATCACTTAGAGAACAATAAACACTTTTTCTAGATGAAAAGTTGTGCCACTGAAATTGTGTATGGCTACAGTGAGCTAAACTGGGACACCGATTTTGCGACAATGAGACTACTGTAATAAGCACAGTCCTTGTTTCTCTGTATCACAGATTGCGTCTGCAATGTGAAGAATTATAATAGGCATACATGCACCTCTGTACGCCCTCGACAATCCATCCTGCCTATTATTTGAAAATAAAGCCCGGAAAATGTGTGCTTAAACGAAACCCACAAACCGTGGAACCCTGTCATGGTTCAAGCTCTAATGTGAATGCCTACTTTGCTGCAGAAATCAATAATAAATATCGATCTGAGATTATTGTGCCCACAACAAATTTCGTGAGTTACCTAGAACATCTCCTTAAACATACAAACAACCATTATTGTCTCCTCTGGAACTTTTTATTTAACAGTAGGGAAATAATCAAATCAAAGTGTCCCATTTTCCGAACCGGTTAAATAAAAAGTCAACGTAACCCCGGAGGAATGAGTAATTGAAATTGACACGCAATATACAGAATAACACCGACGATTATTGTTATTATATGTACACTCAGGCAGCAAAGAGCCATAATGGAAGGATTACGAGAAGCAAAATGACAGTGGAACTGAAGCCAATCTTAACATTGTCAACAACAAAATTAATACTAATTCTTCAGTCTTAATTGCAACAATCTACGAAAAATTCTCTCTTACTGTCCCTTTTTCAGCACTGACAGTTGATGGGTGAGGCTTTCCTCGCTCGAAATGATTCGTTTCTTCATATGCGGTCTAATTTCGTCCGCTCCGTATTTCTGCAACAAACCGATCGATTCAGTATCCTACCCCAATGTTGGCGCGATGCCAAGGATAGATTGAATGAAGCGGAATGAATGGTCGTACTTACATTTTCAAGACTCTTCTCCATATCGAGCATATGCTTGATGGTGTCATAGACAGACGGCGTCCGCTTCCTTTCGTCATCCTTCGACATCATCTCAAGGACAGGACTGGAGAACGGATGTCTCACAGGAGTCGCCGGACGCATCAAAACTTCTTCTTTCTGACCCCTCACGTTTCGTTTTGGCTCCAGAGAAGTAGCAGGAGGTGGAGTAGTAGTCGTCGTCAATTTATTTACTGGTTTTCTATCGAAAGTTTTATCGCGCTTTTCAGTGTAGCTATTTTTACTTTGTTGTTCTTTCTGTTTTCGAAAATTACCGTGCTGGAACCAATGAATCTCGTCTAAGTTGGGCTTATTTTTTGACTTCACCAACTGTTTTAATTCTCTAACGTCTTCATCCTCTTGACTATAACGCGACTTTTGTTTCGGGACATCCTCCCATTTTCCATATTCTTCGTTCGAGTAGTAATCATCGTAATAATCTTTCTGGTTATCTAATGCCTCTTTGTACATTTGTGACATGATGAGATTTTGAAGGAATGCTGCATTGACATCATCCAGATTCTCTTCATTGGGATCTTCGTTTTCGTAGAGAAGTTCGTGTCCGATCGGTTGGGCGTCTTCTCGTTCTTCTCTTTCCGCTTCTTGCATCATTTCTTCTTGTATGTCGAGTGGGTCAGTGTCATAGTATCCGTAATTGGGGCGAGTCATCATGTGGTCGCCGTAATAGTAAGGGAGGACTGCTTGGTACACTTCGTATTTGGAGGTTCTAGCCGGGGGGTAGTAGACTGGGTAAGTTTCTTGAGGATAGTAGTCTTCGGGATAAGTTTGGCTGTAAGGATACAATTCATAGTAGTTTACTGGGTATCTCTGGGTGCGCACCATTTGGTATGGCGCCCAAGAAGAGACTCGTTGGCCTGAAGAACGGCCGTACCTTTTCGTTCCATAAACCGGGTAAGACAAAGAAGGCGAGAAAAGAATGACAATTACTTGGAGGATTAGCAACATTTGCAACGCCATCTGAAACAAGTGCGGTAAGTGGCGGTTTTCCACTCTCGTTTTGTAAACTTACCATTGTTGGCGTGTGGGAGCGTAACACTTTAGTCCTTTGGTGACAAATCAGCAATAACCTGGCTCTGTAGCCGAAATGTGTTTCCCTCTGGCAGCAACCCCTATTTATAAGAAAGTATTCCCCTCCCGTGGCACCCACACGTTATCAATGAACTGGAGACTGGTGGGGTGGTATCATAGAAATGCGCCAACACGTCACCATTGGCGGCATATTCAACAAGCTGCCGTCCTATTGGCGGCCGTATCTCAACCTTATTGATCCACTTACTATATATGCGCGAACTTTTAGGCCATATAACTTCCGGAGGATGGTATAGCGAAATCTTACATCTACACACCAATTCCATTCATAACTTCCAGGGCTCAAAATCGATGTATGGGAGGACAAGGTGGAAGTGGGTCGATGAAATATTTAGATCGAAGAGGTGAATGACTGAGAATATTTTTACATTATTGCGAATTCAAACGAATCACCTATTTCACGCTCAATTACTTAGCCAATCACTTGTTTACAGTTGTGTTTTGAATAATAATTAGAGGGATCTCTAATCATAAATAGCTGTCACGTTAAAACGTACTTGACCTAAATCCTGAGGGAAAAACATAATATAGATCAAGCATACCTGTTTATCGCTTAACGCTTCAGATAATATGATAGGTTATTAGTGTCAAATACATTAATAACATTCACACATTCGAGGTCGACTCAAATTTACTAAATCGCGAATTTAAACTTTTTATTATCCTCCAGAAACACTTTGATCAACTTTTCTACAACCGTCACAACTTGTACAACTTTGATGATTAAGCCTCGTTCTACAAAACAATTTTAAACCAAGTTTAATTGATACACATTCACTCGATGCAATTATTATGTAGCGCTACGCAAATATTAACCATAGTAAATTGAAATACTGATCAGATTTATTTACAACTAACAAATAAAAACCACAATCTCAGTAAATACAGGGTGACCCAGGAGTGCGTGCAACCTCTATAACTTTTTTTGATTTTTTTTAATGGTAGGCCGATAATGAAGCTCATCTTAAAAATATGTTTATTTAATACAGGTTGTCCCAAAATAATATACACAACTAAGTTCTGTTTTTTTTTTAAATGAAAACCTGCAATTTTTGTTACATTTTTTAATTGAAATTAAATTGTATAACGCAGCCAGTTTCTTAGAATTATATGCAATAGTTTTTTAATTATGACAATTTATGTGTCAAAATAGTGGCGTGCATAGACCCACAGAAAAATCGGCTTACTCGATTCCTTTTTTTTTTTTCAAAAAAATAGGCCCCACAAACCCTATATTGACAAAAAGCTCATAAAATGCAATCAAATATCAGGTGTTGTATTTGAAAAAGTCGTATTATTGCCTTTTGTAATTTTTCATTTTTAAAAAAATCGTAGTAGGCGATGGAACATCGACTCAGAGTTCGCCTTTATCTCAAAAAGTGAGCTAAAATTTGAGGAATCGACTGGAAAAAAGTTGGTTATGTTATCTTGAATGGTTCTGAAGTTAAATTGACATATACTTGAGAGCAAAAAACGCAAATTTTCAAAAACAAAATTGTCAAATTTTTAGGAGATTTACATAGTGTGGAAAAGGTTGTTTCCAAAAAGTTTAGAAAACTAAATATCAAAAGAAATGTCGATTTTGGTGGTCTTGCCAGTGCAGTGTCATAGTCAGTGTTAAAACGAAATGGAAAAACATGGAAAAACTTGATAAAAGTTTCCATCCAAAAAAAAACGGGAAAAAATTTAGAGGTTTTTTTTCATTTTTTCTATGGTGTGAACGTGTTTTTATTAAAAATAGATTAAAATATTTTGATGGCACTCTAAATTCTGCCGCTAAATTCAAAATTCTCCTATTTTCCAGGTGAGTGACGATTCTGGCTTTCGCCACTTGACTTAAATGCGTCATTACACAAGTTGGTATAAATTTAATACCATTTATAGAAATATTTTTTATAGGTTTTGTCAAACTGATAATTGACAACTAGAACCGAATTTACATTTGGAAAAATTTCATTTCCCGTTTTTTGAATGTAGCTGTATGAAATTGAGAATTGTGACAAAGACAACGTCAAAAATCTGGCATTTATTATATTAACAGGCCAAATTACATTATAAAAAAATCAATTTGCTTGTTTTTTTGCAATCAAGTGTAAGTCAAAAACTATTGCAGATAATTCTAAGAAAGTGAGTACGTTGTATCGACAATTTAGTGGCGAATTCAAAGATGTAACAAAAATTGGGGGTTTTTATTAGAAAAAAACAGAACTTAGTTGTGTATCTTATTTTCGTACAACCTGTATTAAATAAAAATATTTTTGAAATGTGCTTCATTATAAAACCTATCTTTTAAAGAAAAAATCAAGTCAATAGCTTGGATATAAAAAAAATTATAGAGCTTGCACATACCACTGGGTCACTCTGTATAAATCAAATTCATTCGATAACAAAAAACTGCTCAAAATACAATTTCTTAAAAAATGTTGTCACTTCATTTTAGGTCCGTTGAGTTACAAGTAAGTATTAAATGGGTTTATATTTAGCTCATTACTTGTGATCCTTTTGCTTGGTTCTCTAAAGCGATATTCTCATTTGGAAGTGTCGTCAGGAATTTCATTGAACAATAAAGCTTCCGGATAATTGTGAAACAACTGCAGAATTAGTACTCTTGAGAGGAGACGATTTTAAATAAATAATTTTATTCGAGTGCTAGAGCTTTATTATAAGATAAAACATGAGCTTGAAACTGTTCTGTTCTGAAGGTTAAAGGGTAATAGTGTAGATGCTTCCAGAACAATTTGTGAAGCAAATATTCTGATTAAATCTTTGCTCTTGTTGTTTTTCGTTAAACACTCGTGTTGAAAATCCCTCAAATTAACTAAAGTTAAGTGGTGTGGAAGTTACCTGTGAATTTATCAGATCAGACAGTGAACAGCATGTGGGGCGGAAAATTCCGATAGGTTGGTGTGCGACAGATATCGCTTTGTCTACAACATTTTACAGATTATTAATGGTTTTGATCAATTTTGGAACAACTAATGAGCGTAAATCTGGTCTGAACTAAAACTTTCGAGAATTTCACAGACAATTATGTGTCGAATGTCTCTCCCACACACAAATATACATTTTCGAGACGAGTGGAAATAGTCGAAAGCTCGATTTTTCAAAGCACTGACATTTACACAAATACCGATATTAATCAATTGTTACGAAAACACTTACGTAAGCCAGTCGTTTGATCGAATTGATCGCAATACAAACACCGAAGTTTCCCTCCCTTCCCTTTGATATTACACAACAAATGACGCATTATGCTTTTATGAATAAATAAAGCCTGACAATCCAGTAATTAAGCTCGCCTTTCCCGGAAATTCCAGGTGTGGTATTCAACTGTAGTACACAGAGGGGCGTGTATTGTTTCATTCATGGCAAAATTCGATCCTTTTTGTGACATGACTCGAATACCCACCACGTCTTGTAATTTTAATAAAAATCCTGGATCAACATTCAACGGACGTACGCCATTGACGTCACCACACTTACCCTTGACTCTGAAGTAATGTACAAAATTCTTAAAATAACACACCTGCTTGGAAAGAGCTGTCAAAGCTTATAATATTGATGATGGATATTCGAAACCCAAACTCTTTTGTTCGTCATCAGAGAAAAGAATTACTGTGAACCTATGACACTCACTTTGTGTTTAAATCACTTTAAATAGTTTTTTTTTAATATAAAATTTAAAATTAGTTGCAGTTGAAACAGCGTAAAGTTAAGAAGAATTTTTAAAAATAGTTATTAAAAGCAAAAAATTAATTAGGATGCATAGTTATAGCCCCACTTGCAAGGCATACTTTATATGAACCACACAAATTTGATATTTTTTATACCAATGGACGCGTTTCAAAAACTGAACAAATCATATCATTGCGCCAAACGTGAAGTCAAGATATGTCCCATAAGAAAAGCATTGCAGCAGCGGCTTTTCGGATGTACAAAGAGTTTGTAAAATTTTAGAGATTTACAACACTTACCCTATAACTATAATTTGTAGATTATTTGTATTACAAGGGAGGAAAGTGTATCTTTTCTTGCCACAAGTGGAAGTCAACAAATCTCGACCAGTAACCACCCAAGGAGGAAAAACACTTTCCTCCAGTGTAATACATATAATTTTTCATACGATCTAGCAAGAAAAATTTCAGAACTAACCATTTTTCTGGATATCCCAGGTAAAACTTTGCCTCTCTGAGAGATTGCATACAGAGTGTCAAAACGAAAACGAGCCACCCCGAATATCTCAAAAACTAAAAAGTCTTTGCAAAAACGCCGAAACAGTTCAATTTGTTTTCGAGGGGGACATTTTGTGACGTTATTTTTAAAGCACCCCCAGTACTCCCAACCCTCACGCATCCCAACTTTAAAAATTTTACAAATTTGACACAAGTGGGGTAGTGTCATTTAAACTTATCAAGTTGGGATGTGTAAGAGTCAGGGTGCTTTAAAAATTACGTCAAGAAATGTCCCTCTTGGAAACAAAATTGACCTGTTTCGGCGTTTTTGCAAAGTCTTTTTAGTTTATGAGATATTCTGGGTGGCTCGTTTTCATTGGGACACCTTGTATACATATTTTTATTGTAATTATCACAAAGGAGTGAGGTAATTGGACACTTTTCTCTCTGAAATTGGGGTGGAAAAACTTACTTTCTGTAAGGGTCGTAGGAAAAATAAAATACTCTTAACAACCAAACAGTTCTTGATTATGTGAAAGCTTCAACTTTGATAAATAAATTGATAAATCCGTCACAAACACGTTCCACATATCACATATCTCTCTTGTGGTCTTTTTTAATTTGATCTTCACCCAAAAAAGATTTAATTTTATTTTAAAATTTCGTTAAATAAAAATTTTGTAATGGATTAATTTATTTTTTACTTTTACCAACCTTATGTTACTAAGAAATATTTTAGATTCTTCAGTTGGCTAGTTTTAAAGAGATCTCCACTTGTCTTGTGCATCGAGGCAATATGGCACAAAAAACAGTTCACAGTTTTATTTTCTGTGTTAAGACAACAGGGCACAGCACAATTTATTTGACTTTATCTTAAATTTAAATGAAACGCCAATGATTTATATCCAATTTTATTGTTATATACATCAGCAATAGAATATTGACATTCAGTGTCCTAACTCTTCTTATATAGCACACCAACTTTTCCTTTAACAAACGCCAGTAAATTACCACTACAAAAATTCATTAGGAAAAATATTCGAGCATATTTGTGTAAATCTGGCTAGTAGTTTTTAAAACCGTTCTCTCTATGTTATTTTTTTGCCAGACAAAAAATATTTAGAAGGTTGAGTGTTAATTTAAATATTGAGTAACAGTTATTTTCCAATGAAGATCCTTCTTTAATTTCTTACAGAGGATGTTTTTACTTTTAGTCATATTTTTCATTGTCCAATGGGCAAGTGTAAAGTGTTTGCTTTTATTAGCAAGTTAATTTATTAAAACTATTTTATTTGTTATTGCTTAGCCTAAAATTAATAAAGTGATAATTTGCCCTCACAAACCAAAAAAATTGAACATTAACTTTAATTAATTGTTATTTATTTGTTCTCCCCTCAAGTTATAATTGTATTTTAGCCGCATTAGCAATTTCTGCATACGAGCATTTGTTTGCAGACTTTTTTGTTGTGTCATTTTTAATAAAAAAAATTTGGCGGGCTTCAATTAGTGTCAAAATTTTACAACAAACAGTCTTTAACTCAACAGATCTTACGGCAACAATCTTTTTTTTTTTCATAAAATATTAAGAAGAGAATAAAATTTTAGTTATATATTATACAAGACGATAAAGAAATTGTTTATCGACGAGTGAAAAGGTTAAGTTTACGAGTGACGAAGTCACAATCTTTATTGTGTATAATATTTCGTTTTATTTTGTACTCACCTACCAGAATTTTTTGAATATAAACAGTAGATAAGAATTACTTTATTTCACTCGACGATAAAAGACTACTTTATCTACTAAAATTAGTTGATAAAATATAAACAGTAGATAAAAATTACTTTATTTCAGTTGATGATAAAAGACTCTTTTATGTACTGAAATTAGTTGATAAAAGCACTCTTTTTATCATTGAGTTGATAAAATTTATTAAAATATTTATTTGGGGGCAATTTTGACTAACAATCTTTATTCTAGCAAAAAGTTTTATTATATGAATTTTTGTACGAGTACCCAATAATTTAAAAAAATACATTCTATTGAAATATTTGTTATTATTTTATAATAAAAATGTACACTATACGTCAGACGAGTGCACATACAAGTACATAATACGATGAAGAGGATTTTTTGTATAAATTGTGGTCAAAAATCAACATTATCATTTTAAGATAAAGGTTGTCAAAGAACACAAACAAAAAATTTTTTTTATCTAAAAAAATATATATTTAATTTTTTGCCAGGAGAATGAATTAAAACTGATACACTAAAAGCTGGCGGCACTCCTGCTATAGATTTATTCAACAAATAGAATGTAAACCAATTAGAATATGTAAAGTTTCTTTGGCAAAATCTTTTGAAATATTTACTTCAGTCATATATAAAAAGGCTTGTTTTTATTTTAGTAATCTTCAGTGATTACACTTCACAAATATTTACCGAAAAAAGTGTTTTTAAACACTACGATAAACCACAATGTTGGTTTACTAGAATATTTCGTCGATCAGTACAAAAGCGAATTTCTCTAACCCAGAATGGTGGATGCGCCGGGTCTCTGCGTCTCAACTTACCAATGTATAAATTCTAAGTAATCGCCCACACGCTTGCAAGATTTGGGCAAAAGCGGACTCAAAGGGCATAGCAGCATTGCGGGGAGCCCCAGACATAGCTGACGCCCCCGCAATCCCGGGCCTGCTCGATAGGCAGAGGCGGGCCAGACACCACTGCGGTCTTTCCAGTTTCACTGTCTCCCTTCAAAAACAGCATCAAAAGCAGTTGAAATGTCCAAAAATTGGAACTGAGCCAGATGCAGAGCAATGCACTTTGACCACTTTAAGCCGGCTTTTCGCCGAAAGGTTAAAGTTCACTCGTCTTGGTCCGAGTTTGTATCGATTCCTCGTAAATACCTGTGGATCTTGTTAAAATTTCATGAGAAAACCGCTCGATGCCGGCGGAATTCTTTCAATCAATTAGGTAATTCCAGGGGAGATGAAGCACCTCCGAATTTGTGCAGCGACGCGACTGCCTGGAGCCTTTTCATGGCCCGCGCGGCGGCAGGCGCCCACACTTGTCTGAATGGTGGCATGAATCTCGAGTTTACTATCTCCTCTATTCAATTTTTTTATTGCGGGAGGAAACTGTTATTCGTGCGTCATAGATTTTACAAGCCACACATGAAACGTGGGCTAATTTATGTGAAGATTTCTCAGAAATGTCAAATGAAGCAAATTTCAAAGAAGACGAAACTTATTGGAAAAGTGGGGATGATTCAGTTACTGGCGGTATTGGGGATGTAACTCATCCCTCTGTGACCCTTGAATGAAATTCGGCAAGGGGTAGAGGTTCTAAAAATAGACTGCAGAAGGAGGGAGTAAAAAGAGATAGACGGTGTCAGGAGCAGACAAAGTGTGCAGAGATAGGGGTAAATAGACATTCCCAAATAGAAGAATAGCCATTTATTCAGATAAAATGCTGAGTTGAGAAGAAAACAATACAATAATAAATATTTTTAAATAAAAGACTGTAACAATGCCGTATCTACCTACACAACAAAATCAAACCGCAATATTCGACTTTCGGAATAAAAATAATAACAAAATTTTCCACTGATATATCAGAACGGGCTCGGACCCTTTCCGATGCCTAATTACAAATTTAAGAAAGTCCAAAATTATTTTTTTTATATTAGCTGTTAAAATTACGTTCTGATGACTAAAAAATTGTTATGTCTGCTTGAGCTCATAGCTACAGAAAATGTTAAGCAGAATTAAATTCTCCTCCACTTGATGAAAAAAAAATTGGAGCCTTTCATTAAAAAAATTGACTTATGAGTATTTGACTTTCCCCAAGCGTAACGTTAATTTTTTTTTCAGTTATGAATCCATCGAAAGAAAGATCGATCATTTCTCTTTTAAATGCCAAAATACGTTTTCATAATAGTTAAAAATTGCAGAGTTAGATAGATTTTCGGAGAGGAAGGTTCAAGTTTAAATGTTTTCAAAAAGTCTAAAAAAATCAAACTTTGGTATAAAGAAGATCGATGATAACTCTCATAGAATAATTCGGAGAATCCAAAACGCAATAAAAAACTATCTTTCGATTAAATTAACCAACTTCTAATGTGGGGTTTAGCCGGAACATCCTGTATATTGAATAGGCATATTTATTAATTTATTCTAATTATTTTAAATTTTAGTAAATCTTTTTATATTATTTTACAAGTTATTATTCTTATACAGGGTGAATATAAAGTATGGAACCAAACGGTTTTTTTAATCATTTGTCTCCAGAAAATAATAACTAATATAAAAATTCGATCATATTTTGAGAACGACCTTTTGTTTTGTTTTGCAGCTATGCAATTTTTTTTTTTGTCAAAATTTATGTATTTTTTTATTAAATATAAAGTAGATAGTTGTAATCTTTAGATCATCACCTAAAATGGCTTTATAGTGGGTTGCCATGTAAAAAAAAAATTTTCTGTAGACCTCAAAAACCAAAGAAAAATTAAAAAAAATTATTCTTGATAAAACATCACATTTTCATATAACTTTATCATTCATCAATTAATTTTTCCAAAGAATAAATAGTGTAAGCAAAACACGTTTGGTTTCATACTTTTTATTTTATATTTAAACCTGGTGTAAATAAATAATAAAAGCTCAGTACGGCATTGCTCTGATGTAATGCAGTGTTATAATAATCCAGACCAAATTTTACAAAATTTGTTGAAAATTTGCTCTAAAAGTTGAAAACCAACAACATATTGTTAATTGATGAAGCTTGATTGCTTCTTTAACCTTCAAAAAATATGATAACCTCATCATCACAGAAAATAAGATAATTGCTAACTTGTAAATAATTAAATATTCAATTGTTATTGCAAGCGAAACCAGTAATGTTTTCCTAACCATTGACAACAAAACCATTAAGCTGTATTGATTTTGTTTAATGGATGTGTATAATTTACTTGAGTATTAATTTGTTTAAATTCAAGACACGTCAAAACTTTCAAAATAAAGATTGAACAATTGGTCTACTACCAAGTGGCGTATTCAAACCTTACGTCATTACTCTCTTGATTACATAAATCCCTTATCCAATAATCGAGAAACGACTGAAACAAGAGCTGAAACAAAACTAAACAAGGGTATTCAAGTTTCAGTTTTATTAAACCAATCAAAACATCGAGTTCTTGAATTGCAAGATTCAAACGCTATTACGCAGAAAATCTATTTAGATTTTGTAACACAATTTTAATTCTTTTGAGGTGTAAATATTCATATGTGCAGAAAAGTAAACACTTTTATTAAAAAAACATAATTCAATATCATCTGAAGAAACAAAACCAAATGTATAATTCATGATTTTGTGATTTACCAACACAACTTCAGCGGAATGATTACACAAACCTTGACATTCATTAAAAAACATTTGTTAGAAAGTGACAATACGAGATTTTAATCATCAGAGAACCTAATGTCTATTTCAGGTGAGTCTTCAGCTGTCGTACTCGAGACAGTCGTAGTGGAAGTCCCTTTTTCAGGACTTCGGTTTTTACACATTTTGCAGTGGTAATCTACATTAGCCTCAGTGAGGCCCTCAATCCTTTCAGTATCGCGTCCATGACACCTGTCGTGTCGATGGTCACTACAATCACCTCCAAAATTCGGAGGAGGTCCAAAAGGCGGTGGTTGGTTGGGATAGGGTGAAAATGGTGGATACTGGGGCCGGTGAGGTCCGAAAGGGTTGAAACCGTGATGGGGGCCGTGGTTCGGCCAACCTCCGCCCCGATGGGGATGATGTCCAAAGCGGGGTTCCACAGGGAGGACTTCCTCAGTGTCAGGATCTGGGCCGTCGAGATTAAACTCGGCTTTGATAGTCGTGGATGAAATTGAGCGACGGAAGCGGTGGCGGCGAGGCTTCTTGCAATAAACTGTAATAAAAACAAATTAAATCTCATGTTTAATTCATGGTTGTGCAATTAGCTCGGATTCATAAAAATAACAAGTTCTAACCTCCATCAAAAACGTAGTTTCCTGTTCGTGCCATATAACCCTTTTTATCCCTAAATGCAAGTAAGTAATTGACGACATCGTCCTTCTGCAAGTTGAGCCTCTGGTCATAAATGAAAATCCGGTGATTGCTGACGTCGTTTTCCCCCAATTCCAAATATTCCTTACTTTGGTCTTTCCGTCTAACACCTATTCGAAACATGACCAACTTAGCCTCGTCATAATGTGGCACTTCTACCATCAACTCATCTGGAGTGAGGACTTGAAACTTTGGTTCAGGCAAGTCGACACTGTTGACACAAGTGAAGAGCGCGATTAGAAAAACCAAGAACATATCGTATCGATGTTCCAGAAGCGACTGAAGTTCATCATGCCAATGTTTTGTTAATATAGGCGTCATTACAAACGATAAGAAAAAAAGAATTTGTGTAAACGGGGGAAATACGTATGACAGGACGTTGCCTCAATAACCGAGATTTTTGAAGAAGCGATGTGACTCATTTGACAAGGTCGGGAGAGTATTGTAGTACGATTTATTGGTAATAAGTAGTTGGAACGGAAGTTTGTGGACCGGTCAAGGATGGAACTGTTGCACAATCTTATCATAATCGGAAATTCGTGAATACGTTTGTGTAATTGCATCCATCTACAAAACTTGTTTTACAATTTCATAGGAAACATCACGCTGTTCCAAATGGCTTTCCTGGTCAATGCTGCGGGTAAAAATCACTATTTTCTAAATTGTAACATTACTTTATACAAAACCAGAGAATATTTGTTAATAAATAAATAATTTATATTGTTATTATTATCTGTAATTTGTTAAAAAATAAATAAATCTTGTTAGAAACTGTCCAATATTTTTACATTTTTTATAAATTTCATTGTTTTTTCCATTTCTTGTATACGTATATTATATTTATTAAATCTTTTTAATTTTCCTCCCACTTTTTTGCTCGATCTTTTATTTGAATTTTAGTAGATAATAAATGAATAGCAAATATTCTGCTGTCTTTTAATTTCATTGTAAATATGAGTATTGGTATTAGAGGAGAGTGGGTTTATTGTGCACAGTGGGTAATCGTGCGCAGCTTTCTGTAGCTTTTCCAAAATCCTTTTAAACAAAATTATTTATGCTGCCATTTAGTTTTACACATTATAGTAGTGTTTAGATAGGTTTCTGCACTTTCAAATTCTCACTACTGACCATTGACTGTCTAAAAACGTCTTACGCCTCTTACGTTGTGATTTTCACATCGTAGAAAATAGGTGATGAAAGTGCAAAAAGTAATTTACATCACCAAATTGCAAGGTACCTAAGCCAAAAAAGGCCCACCGTTAATTTTTCTGTCTAATTTGTAAAGAAAATTAAACCACCTAACCTGCGTCGGACCTCCAGCCATCTATTATCAGTCATACAAGTTACTCCCAGATACGTCTTTTAGTTGACTGAAAATGGTGAAATGGATTCTAAACTGATGTTCATACGTGTTGGATGTTAAAATTAAATATTTCTAATTACAAATTAATAGTTGTTTTGAAGTTTCTTTAATTTTTTTTGTTCTTTTTATGTTGTTTTTTTTTTTGTTTAGGTTTTAAAGATTTTTTTCCTTAACTTATGTTAATACGATTATTGAAAGATTCTATCCCAAGTTTTAAATATCTGTACCTCACACAAATTTTTCAGGAGAGCACTTTTAAAACTAAATTTTGTTTAGGTGTCTGTTATATTCAAAATATTCAGAAACCGGAAAAACTTGAGTTAATACTATTATGCTCAGAACTACAAATATGGGCCTTATCTAATGTCGATGGTGGGACTAGGAGGTTACAAAAAAGGTCCTTTGTAGTATTTTATGTTTATAATAAGAACATGTAAACAAATTAACAAAATAGGCATTTTTGTGTTACACATTGTTAAACAAAAGTTCAAATAACAATTTTGATAATACTCGTAAATCAAAACCTTTGCATATTTCACAAAATATATAAATAATCATAAAAATTAAATGGGCTATATTTGGCTAAGTTACCTTAGGTCTTTACAAATGTTGTTCTTTATTTTATGTTTCGGCTTCCATTAAGTTGCTTGATAGAAATTTAACTTTTGATAAATTTTAAAATAACTTAGGTACTGCAGAGTAATTGGACGCATGTGCCCAAGTATTTTTTATATATTTTTTATAAATAGGTTTAATTTTTTTATTAAAAAAAGAATTGATTATCGTTAATTTAATAATTTTATTATTGTTGTTGTATTTCTAAATTTAAATTAAATTTGTTTAAAAATGCTTTATAATTTTGTTTTCTACACTAGATACAGCATTTTCCATAAGTCTCATTACCCCATACGTCGCGCATTATTATTAACAGCACCTGCGAGTTACTCTACGCAATGTACTGAGCTTAATTTTTTATTTATATCTCAAAATAAGTGATGCACATAATTTTCTTAACAAGTCACTATAGATATAAACACTATGGATATCCAAAAACACAAATAGTTTTTTTTTTGTATACGCACCCGAAAATAGCTATTTTAGGGACTCAATAAAAAGTAAGTAAAATGGTTATTTTAAGTACTCAGTCACCAAAAACAGTTTTTCCGGACGAAAAAGTCAATTTGGTTGTTATGGTGGCAGAATTTTTTTATTTAATAAGAGGTGTGAATTCGTTTTTTGGGAGCTTTAACAAAAAAATGTTGTTTTTAATACGCACCTAAAACGTTTTTGCGGCTTTGCCTCGTCCGGATGCAGCGATAATTCGTCCGCAAAAACTGTATTTTAGGTATATGTTGTGCTTACCTACCTCCCTAACTGTAACAAAAATAACACTTTATTATATGCACTTTACAGATGTAAAGTACATATCTTGTCATCTTTACGAATCCACGGTAATTAAATTCGTTCCACTCGAAAGAAAACTGATAAAGAATTTCACGTTAAGTTGCTTTTGTGGACGAGATGGCGTTGTAATGCATTAATGAATAAAACAAACCCCAAGGAGTATTTTCGTCTTTAGTCTTTTAGGCGACAAATTATTACGTTTCATTCTCATTGTTAGTAAAACAAACGAAAACCTTTTTTTATTCTCTTCTGTCGTATTTTTGCGTTATTAAAAAAATTGTTTCATTATAATTGACAAATTTCTTCTAAGGTTATCATTGCAAGAAAGGAATAATTTTATTAATAGGTATCTAAGGAAAAAATCCCAAAATAATTAGCTGTCAGTTATTAACTTATAAAAAAATGAAAAACCTCCGAATTTAATTCAGAAAGTACATATTACTAATGCCGTAACTCAAYAAACTTTTATTATGTTATTATGAGAAATTAAAAATTCCCGGGAACGTCCCAGCTATTATTACAGGTATTTCTCCTCTTAATAAAAAAATCACATAGCGCACTCAAAAAAATGTGATTTCCCCATAGATTCAATAAAGTTCATCAACCAAAACATAAATGGATAGTTTTTATTTAATTTGAGACACGATTCGAGGAAAATGAATAAAACAACTTAAACTGAACACAGTGCCATAAAATAATACGACACAATTGACTTTATTTATAAAATGCTTAAACCAATTATTTTTTATACATACAATCATAATAATAATCGAAATTAGAAATAATATGAGAGCAATAAAAAGTGTCAAAAGCAAAGGCATGAAAAAAACGGTGGTAGCAGCAAAACAGCTCAATAATAATAATTYTGGCACTGCATTAATAAACAATGATTTTATACAATATATAAATACTCTTTTTTGTTTACTACAAAGTAACAATATCAAACGTTTCCGCATAGAACAATGTATAATAAACTATCAAATTTAGTTGTCCTTTAAAGTCAGTTCGCGAGGTTCATGCGGAGCTGGGAGTTTTTCATAACTAGGTTCAACACCCCAAATTTCGCGGCCATATTCAATAATGGTCCGATCGCTAGAGAATTTCCCCGATGACGCGATGTTGTAAATGGCCATTTCAACCCATTTAGCTTGATTCTAAAACAAATAATTACTAAAAACTCAAATAGACTTTCCAGAAGTAACCTGATAGATATTGCTAGCCTCTTCTTGTTTTTTAATATAGGCATCATAGTCGGCCAATAAGAAGAACCTATCATACTTCAGCAAAATATCCGCTAAGTCTTTAAACTCATCGGGATTATTCGGTGTGAAAAATCCGTTCTGAATCTGATCAACAACAAGCTTCAGTTCCGGGTTGGCGTTGTAATAATCATACGCATTATAACCCTTCCTCTTCAAYTCCTCAACTTCATCAACYGTCATCCCAAAAATGAAGATATTCTCYCTACCCATCTCTTCGGCCATTTCGACATTMGCCCCGTCTAAAGTACCAATAGTCAAGGCTCCATTTAACTGGAATTTCATATTGCCAGTCCCTGAASCTTCTGTTCCCGCAGTYGAAATCTGYTCACTTAAATCAGCCGCAGGAATAATTTTCTCGGCAAGTGAAACGCGATAATTCTCCAAGAAAATCACTTTCAACTTATCTCCAACCATAGGATCGTTGTTAACAACATTGGCGACACAATTGATCAGTTTGATAATTTTTTTCGCCGTGTAATAACCCGGCGCGGCTTTTCCACCAATCATAATCGTCCTTGGGGTGACTTTAGCYGTAGGATTCCGCTTAATCCTGTTATACAGAGTGATAATGTGGAGACAATTCAAAAGTTGCCTCTTGTATTCGTGTATYCGTTTGACGTGAATATCAAACATCGATCCTGGATTGATTTTTACGCCGTAGTCATTTTCCAGAATTTGGGCRAGTTTTAACTTATTTTCCTGCTTGACTTTCATCACAGCCCTTTGGAARTTGGGGTCTTTTGCCCATTGTYTTAATTTAGAGAGCTGGTCGAGGTGAACGATCCAATCTTCRCCGATCTTATCTGAAATTAGATCACTCAAACCGGGATTACACATAAGAAGCCACCGGCGAGGGGTGATTCCGTTAGTTTTATTCTGRAACTTTTCGGGAGTCATTTCGTAGAAATCCTTGAACCTYAAAATAAGACAATTAATTTATRCCGAMAACRAGCCAAAAATAACTTACAAGTCACCTWTKATGATCTCTGAATGRATTCTTGCGACTCCGTTGACAGCRTGTGACCCAACAATCGATAAATRWGCCATATTTACACGTTTCCCGCCTTCTTCTTCAATCAGAGACATCCTCCGCATCCTGTCGAGGTCCCCGGGCCATTTTTTYAAAACSWTCTCAAGATGGWTGTGATTAATCTKATAGATAATCTCCAAATGTCTYGGTAAAAGATTTTGGAGCATTTCGACACTCCAACGCTCTAAAGCTTCAGGTAATACAGTGTGATTGGTATAAGCACAAGTTTTRAYAGTAATATCCCATGCTTTGTCCCAGGGGAGTCCCTCAATATCTACCAAAATCCTCATCAACTCGGGAATGGCCAAAGAGGGATGAGTATCATTCAGTTGAATCGCAACCTTATCGGGTAACAAGTCAAAATCAGTTCTTATATACTCGCGRGTGCCAAATTTGGCGGCTTTGAAACGTCGAATAATGTCTTGRAGAGTTGCAGCACACATGAAATATTCCTGTTTTAGACGCAATTCTTTCCCTCCGAAATTATTATCGTTGGGATATAGAACTCGAGAGATATTTTCAGCTAAATTGCGGTCGAGGACGGCTTGAATGTAATCACCATCGTTGACTAAAACCGGTTAATTAAAGRATAYCAATGCGAAAACCTACAAACTTACAGAATTTRAGGTTAAAATCTACGGGGGATTTCGCGGACCATAATCGCAACGTATTGACAACATTATTATTGTAGCCGGGGATGGGGCTGTCGTATGGCAAGGCAAAAACGACCTGTGTATTGACCCATTTTTTTCCATTTGGAGTGTCAATAACGTTACCGTAGAAATTGACAGGGATCATGTACTCAGGTCGGGCTTTTTCCCACGGGTTGCCGAATCGGAGCCAATCATCGGGTTCTTCCTGCTGCTCTCCATTTATGATTTTTTGGGCGAAAATTCCATATTCGTAACGGATGCCRTAGCCATAGGCTGCCATACCCAAAGTTGCCATAGAATCAAGGAAACAAGCRGCAAGACGACCGAGGCCGCCGTTACCCAAACCGGCATCTTCCTCCAACTCTTCTAATTGTTCGATGTCTAAACCTAACTGATAGAGAGCTTCGTCTACTGAATTTTGGTTTCCTAAATTGATCATTGTGTTGGTGAGAGATCGGCCCATGTAGAATTCTAACGAGAGGTAGTAAACTCTCTACAAAAAATTAAAGGTGCTAATCTATATTGTGTTGCAGAAAGTGCAATAACAATTATTCAAATTTAGTTCAAGGAGACTAACTGCGAATCATAGTTAAAACTTGTTTTCGGCAATAAATATCTGTAAGATTAAAAACTCTTAGAAAATATAAATTATAGTTTTTATGAAATGCAGTATAGCCAGATTGTAAACAGAGCTATTTTGCAACTGCATTTTATAATCTCTGTGTCATTAAAAGTAGCATTGAAAAGTATACAGAAGAATACAAAGTCAAGATTAAGTTTAACTTCTGTACTGCATACAAATAATAATGTTGCTTCATGGATTTTCAACAAAATGCTAGGTATAGTTCTTATAGAAATAAGTGACAACAGAGTCAATTGCTATATTGCACTCTAACAGCTAGGTATCAATTCCTAGCCATAAACTGTTTAAAATCCGTTGCAGCAGGACAAAATGTTGCGATTTCTTGCAAGCAGAGGCGGACTCAGAAAATTGTTGTCGAAAAAACTGTCATTTCCAAAAAAAAAAAACGCTATAACCATTAAAAAAACATTATTATTAAAAGGCTACAAGGAAAAAAACCGTAGCATTTAAAATTAGCTACTGAATAGCCTGGTTTACATACACAAAGCTTTGCATAAAGTGAATACGGCCCTGGAAACCAGCCCAGTGAAGTTCGGAGATATTTTTATTGGGGGTTAAAACCGCCGGTAGTCGTTTGTGGGTTTACCAAGGATAATTACATCCATAAAGCACTCTCACTTCTTTCTAGAAGAACTGTATGTACATATATTGGCTCGACTTGCAACAAAATTAAACTCACTTTCATACAAAATCGAGGAGTGAAGTTTATTTAGGTAATTAATAATAATCTACGACAAGACTTTCAATTATTAAAGATGACTGGTTTACATAAGTAATTACTTAAATTACTGTTATTTAAATAGCTCGATGTTAAATGATAAATTCCGAGTTCTCTGGGATTTTTTTATTGCATTTATATGCATTTCCGGCAGTGCCAGATTAAGTTTTTTTTATAAATTTTCTTTTATAAATTTTCACACCGATTTACCAAGATTTTTTACCTTGAAGTAAAACTAAACACATTTGTAGCGCTACTGTTACATTTTAAATTCGAAAACTTAGGTAACAGCAGGTAGTTTTAATTTAATAACAAAAAAAATATGTACCTAAATACAGAAAATCAAAAGAATTAAAATTATGTATTTTGAAGTTAAAAACAACATACATAACAAAGCAGTAAGAAATGAACTAACTTTTTATGAAAACCACAAAAATATCTCCGGCTGACAATAAAAATTACTTAGATAAAAATAAAGGCTTTACTTACCTATTTTTATTTTAAAGAGGTCAACCTTTAAAATTCTACCGCTCATTTATTTTTCTTAGGTAGGGAGTTAAAATAATTATTGTTTAATTATTTCTACGGAATTCACAAATTATTAGTAAAGATTTTTAGTCAATTGTTAAAAAGTCAATCTGTTTCAACTAAATACATACCTACACGGTGAATAAAAAGTATGGAACCAAGCTTTTTCTCGTAAACTAAATACTGTACGAAAATTGCTAAAAGCAGCTGTTTTAGGGACTCATTTGAGTACTTAAATAGCTATTTCGAAATTCCTTTTAGTTTTCAAGTTTTGTAAAAATTTAAGATCGGAAAATTTTCGCAACTTTATGAATTTATTTAAAAAAAACTACTGGTTAAAGAATAACTTTATTTCATTAGTATTTTTTAGTCATAGCCCTTAATGTAACAGTAAAAAAATGTTTTTTGCAAAACTCGAAAACTAAACTGAATTTCGAAAAATGTTATTCTTGATAAACGGTCACATTTTAATTGTACTTTACGCTACACTAATTATTTTTTTCGTTTATGAAAAAAACGCTTGGTTCCATACTTTATGAATCAAATTTTGACAAAAAATGATAACTGCTCAAGAAACAATTTTGTTGAGTCTGAATGAACTACCAGAATTATGATAAGCGCCTTCATTATCATTATAAAAACAATTTATACTCAATAACAAAAACAAATAAGTATTTATACAGGATGCGCCAGAACTCACGCCCCAGAGAAAAATTTCAAGTAAAATAGGATATCAGGAACATGGAAAAAATGTTTAAAAAATTCTATCTGTCAAAATTTTTTGACATTTGACATTTTTTTATGTCTATTTAATGATACTGATGATCTTGTATATGTTTTTTAATAACTATTTAGTAAAGCTACAAAAATTTTGCCAATAAATACCACAAATAACATTAAACAGAGTTACAGTTCAGGATACAGCTTTCTTGTTTCCTCTTCTAATAGCCTGTAGCGAAAAAACTTGGAAAAATATTTTTCCAACAGAAATAAATAGAGTCAAAGTGCAAAATTTAAGCTCTCATAACTTCGTAATTTTTATAGATGGAATATTTTTAATATTTTTTACATGTTCCTGGTATCTTATCTTACATGGCATTTTCCTCTGGGGCGCGAGTTCTGGCGCACTCTGTATAAGCATTTCTTTTTATATATTCCTAATAAGAATAATAATAATAAACAATAACAATTTAGGCGAGAATTTATTTTTTATGACTATAACTGGAAACAAAGCAAAAACGGTGATGTGTATTCGAAAAAAAAGACGTAATTGGTACTAGGCCAAAAGAAATAAATTATTTCATGTTTGTATGACAAATATTTTTAGAACAATTCTAAAGCATCAAGGGACTCATTCATTTGGAAATTTTTTGACCTTATTCTTATTCGACTTTTTGATGAATGAAACAGTTTAAATAATAACTGATCTGATTGATGTTAATACATACAATTAAAAAGTTCATTCACTTCGGAAAAAACTAAACGAAGTGTAAGAAAAACAATTGTCTCTATAAACTTATTGCATTCTTTCGTATCCATTTCTCCACTCCGCTCCGGAAGTCCGAAACACCGAAACCCTTTCGTACAAAAATAAACTCACCTTGGGATCCTTCTCGTAGTAATACTGCTGCGTCCTGATCCATCTCGAGACCATTTGGTCCTTCACTGTATGTGCCAAAGCGAAGTAGTAATCTCTTGCGGTGGCAACATTCCTGTCCTTGACGAGGGTGTAGTGAAGATGCCTGTTGAAGGTCTTCTTGAGCTCGTTGACRTCCCCTAACTGGGCGATCCCTCGGACACTGATTTGTTTCCTTCTTTCGAAGTCCGATTGTGGGGTGGGCATGTTGATATCTTGTAAACGACCGAATTGTAATGAAGAAGTTGTSGCTTCGCCGGCTTAACAATGCTAAATTTAAGTGTAAAGGTCACCTTGTGAAATTGTACATGTAGTAAACAAACAAACTCAAGTTTGTAAACATAAAACATCTGGCGATGGCGTGCAATTAGGCCCCTTCCGTGGTTGCCACCAATTTTCCACGCAACACGTGGTTGTGTTTGCGGAATGATTGCAGAGTGCTTTTACCTGTTTTTTTAATGTCTAAGCACAAAGAGTGAAAATAAACCAACGAGCTATAACACTGACATATTCTATTTTTGTACTAACTTGGGCGTTTCCAGAACTTAAGTGTTTTCATTTAAAATTAATCYAGCAAACCCAGCCTTAATCATAATATTTAAATGGTTTAAAAAATTATAAAACGTAGTGTACAACTTTTTTAATATCTTTTATGAGTACTGTAATTTTGTTATATTTTTTTTAAGAATTTAAAGAATTAAAATTTTTCAAAAAAAATCTTAAAATGAGTCACTAAAAATCAACAAAAATACAAAACTCTAAAACAATTAGCACCATAATTTGTCTTAATTTTGTTTTTTAAATACGAAAACGTACTACATAAAAAATATAATTGCAATATTACTTAATAAAATACCTAGGTACCTACTGTAAAACAGCAATACAATATTCCCAATGTCACAAAAAAACAAAGGGTCGTAATAAAGCGATCAGTAGATAATACAAATTTGATCAGTATATAATGATAAATGATCAGTATTTATTTTATTAATTTTTGCACAGTAAAAAAATAAAAATTATCACTATTATCAGAATAATATATTTTGCACAGTAAAAATAATAAACGCTCAGTAACTTTAATCAAAATTAGTAAAACAACATAAAATTTAAAGAATTTTCAGTCTTGGTTACATAATAATGTTTGCCCCTTCCGCAAGATTGTTATTTATTATTGGTACTTATTTTTATATTACCGAATATTTATTATTACTGGAGGGTAGTATATGTATTAGCAAGGACCCCTGCGTAAGAATGATTTTAGCAAGAGCTGGAAACTGTGCACAAATAGTAATCAGTCTAATCAGCCAGCGTACGCCACTCTTTGCACTGCTAGTGAGCTCCTGACACTACAATTTTGTTTTTCAACGTTTTGCGATATTCTGAAACATTCTGTTTGTAAATTAATTAGTTTGGCTAGACATTTATTTATTTATTATCTTTACTGTGCATTTAATTTGTTCCCAAAAACAAACAACGATCGATTATTTTATGTTTGTAAAACAATAAAAATTCGAATTAAATTTCTTAATAATTTCTTCAATAACAATGATTATCAGTATTATCACTATGTGCGACAACAAAATAACTGGAAATCATTAAGAGACGATTGAAAAACGAATAAAACTTCCTTTATCTTCTGGTTTCTATTCATCAGATGTTTTTTCAAATATATTCACAACATGTATGTATAACTTACAGGCTTATGACAAGAATACTTTTCTCAGTCTATAGATTTAACGCATACTCACACGTGTCTACAGTCCAAGAGAAAATATTTTTACACCTGCACAACTAACAGCTACTGAAAGACAGCACTTTAAAACAATAAAAAACAATTGAAAAATAAATAACTAAAGATTGGTTTGTACAAAACGCTTTTTCATTTATCTTTCTTAGTTTCTTGTATGTTTGCAACAGTGTTTTCTTCCTGTACTTTTTCTTCTGCCTCGGCACTGTACCCGAATTCATTCTTCCTCCTTTTATCAACGGGATAAATCCATCGCTGGTACAAAAATATAAGAAAAACAATATCATCTCTAAAACATCCTATTCTGTACATTGTTGGCATTTTAATAACAAAGGCGAACATATCGTCTATGAAAGTGTTTAAAAATTTATAAGTCAACATACGCCACGGTAAATGTGCGACGGATTTAAGTTTATAATTGATAAAAAGTTGAGGTGTCATCATTATAAACCCGAAAGTTAACAAATAACCATACAACAAATCCAAAACAAACGAATACCAGCCTTTGTGCTCCAGATACAACAACGCGTAAATACTGTAGCCGACTAATAGCGGGAAACACACCCACGATAAATACTTAAATGCCAAATTATCGTACACTTTGGTACTACTTTCGACGTATGAGCCTTTATCTTTGAAAATGAGACGGCCATTTTCAAACTTAATGTCTACGACTTTATATATTTTCCAAACCTCGATTCCGAGACCAATGAAACAACTAATTCGGACTAAAGTATTCGTCTCGTTATCAAGGACGTAAAGCAGAACGACTAGAGATTGAAACACTCCGAAAAATACAGACCGGACAGAAAGACCCTCTAAGGAATTCCGATTGTTCCAAAACTGGATATCATTTTTAAATGCGAGCAATTCGAAGATGGAGTGAAGAATGGACACACAGATAGTGATCCCCAAGAGATAAGGATTCGTATCCATGAGAGTCTCCTTCAGAGTGTCTTGCTCCTCATCCGACTCCCCCTCCTTCTCGCCCCAGACATTCCACATTTGCCTCATACTCTGAGCGGCGTACAACTGCCATTTGAAAAGACTCAAAGGCTGATACAAAATGCGCAACGACAGTGTTTCATTCAACGGCTTGTAATCACGCGCCATATTCCAAAAATCATTAGCGTACAAGACGGGCTTGTAGAATTTACCATCAGGGGTGAATTTAATGAACTGGTCAAGGGGCGCAGGGACGGCCCCGTAAGTCCACGCCGTCTGGTCCGTAACAAGATTTAAGGTGTAGTTGGGATGCCAATGAGACACAATTTTCCCATCTTCGACTTCCGCCTTTTCACTTGTTCCCGTCAAGAGATTTTTAGTACCGCTGGCTTTTAACTTTTTGTATTTATTTAACTGTTTTGTAACGTGTGTAAGTTGTTTGCCGTGATTACTGGCTTTAGGATTAGGGCTTTCGCCTTGTCGCGTCACAAATGCGTGCAAATACAAAGAGCCGTTATTTCGGATGTGGTCCGTAATCGTGATGTTTTTTTCAATAAAGTAGGTTCCGTCCTTGTTGGGGCCTGACGTCCAGTCACCATACACAAGGTTGTCTTTGTACCAGAATAGATTAGACGGGTTAAAATCGCTCAACTCTTCATTTTCAGTTATGTAAACATGTAAACTGAGAGGGGTACCCTCGGTGAACATATTCTTTGCAGCGAATGACGGTGTTGCAACCCCAGTGTTGTTGGTTTGAGGTGGTGCTGGTTTACGGAAGAAAGACGTGATGAAGTAGATTATCAAAGCACGAATTATTAACGATTTTGTGATTGCGAAAAATGACTCCATTCGAGTTGGTTGATGTTGCGGTTGCTGTTGCTAAAAATGAGGGGCTTAGGAAGATCTGCGATTTTATTGATTTACTTACAGCATTTTGGGTCGGTTGGGTTTCGTTTGGTTTCGCAACTTGGCCGTTGGCTGATGGATTATTTTCGGCTTGAGGATCAGCCATTTCGTGTCAATTTCTTAATTATTTTGATATTTAATTAATCGTTGACCACATCACATGAACGAAATGACTTTTCGTTTTGAATTTTCTGATGTTGGTATTGGCGATGATCAGAGGTTATAACAGGTTCGCCAACGCAAAAATAGCACAGACCCGGACTCACCGGATTTTAAAACATTTTTAAAATTCTTTAATACCTCAAATACTCTAATAATTTCACTTAAAACAAATTAACCAACACAAATATGTCAATCAAAAAGTAATTAATAGATGTCTTGAAACTGACGGAACTTTTTACGAGCTTCAAAAAATTCTCTCTCTAACATAATAATTATTTTCACTTCTTTTGGTGAAATAAGAGACTGGCGACACAATAAAATATGTGTTATATAGTTTTTGGCGTGGTATTTTGACATTTATATTAATTTTTTTAAGATGGTAGACAGCATCAGACAAAAATACACAGGAGGTTTAACTACTTTTTTTGACAAAAAATTATAAGTTTCAAAAATTTAATGCTCGCCATGGTACCATTGCAGAATGCCATCTTTTTACAACTTTGAACTTGATTTTAATACTTTTGGCATTTTGAGTTTTTTTAACAAAGAATATCGGGTTTTTAACACTTTTTGAAAATTCACTGAAACAGAATATCATTTTTTAAAACGACTTTAAAAATGAATATTTAATTAACATTAAGTTAAACTTTGAAAAACCTACAAAAGAAACCGACAGTGATAATTATAATAAAGTACAGTGCGATCATAGAATAAGAGGAGATATACAGTGAGATCAAAAAGTCTGTCTATCAAGCAAGCGTAGAAATTTAAAACGTATGTCTGTGGAAGATAAAATGTCACAATGACAAATGAGAAAAGTCAAAATATTTTTTATGAAAATTATGACAGGAAACCGTGGTGAACGATTTTTATGAATAAACACCAACAAAATCTTATTTTAGTTTGTTTTGAGACGTTTCATAGAGTAATTCAATTTAATTAGCTCAATGTTTTAATTTTTATAAAATAATTTTTTGACATCTAGATAACATACGAACGGTCATGCAATATACGTTCTCAACCAGGACGCCTACTTGATAGAAAGACTTTTTGATCGCACTGTACAATTCCGTACACGAAATTTTAGACATCAAATTTATGTCCGTTCAAAAAATATCAATAAACCAAATTTTATTGTCATTATAATAACATTATCTAGTTCAATATAAATTATTTTGATGTGTTGTCATTTTTTTTCTCTAGCTGTCGGGACACAAATTATAAAAATTGAAAGTGATGTTAGTTGCAACATAAGGCCAGTTTTACATGTACGAGCTTATCGCTTATCTTGTTGAAATTAGACCAGAAACTTCCAACACTAAATTCTACAGGACACAAATATTAAAGTACGGATCTGTTATTTTTTAGTGGCTTTTTTCAAAAAAATAAATAAATTTCGCAAAACTCGTGACAATTTATTGCAATTTAGTGCTGGCTTTTACACAAATATGATAAAACACGGCCTCTGAAAGCAAATATGTAAAAATCGAAAAAATAATTCTAAACTCGACACGTCACCAGACGTCCAACCCAAAATTCCCTATGCAGCTGTCAAACTCTTCAAGTCCTTTTCTGTGAGAAATTGGACGAGCAATGGCTGCAGGAGTAAGTATTTTCGTAATTTCAACAAATATCTCACAATTATGACATAATCATCTGCGGAAAACCATCGAATTACCCAAATCCGGTATTGTTTTTGACAGATTTGTCTTTATTTTTTCAGACACTCTACACCTATTCCGACAATTTCCGTGCTGCTAAGGCTTTAATCGCAGCCCAGTACTCAAAAGCCAACGTAAAAGTAAGTCCAAACTTTGTGTTCGGTGAAACCAACAAGTCGAAAGAATTCTTAAAGAAATTTCCCAGTGGAAAGGTGAGTCTGGAAGCGGTTTAAAATTGAGGTTAAGTCACACTGGACAGTTGTATAGGTGCCAGCATTCGAGTCAAACGATGGCAAATATCTGCAAGACAGCAACGCAATTGCTTATTACGTCGCTAATGAACAATTGAGAGGCAAGTCGGAGTATGAAAAAGCCCAAGTTTTGCAATGGGTGGGTTTTGGAGAGTCGGAAATTCTTCCAGCTGGTTGTGCCTGGGTGTTCCCCATTTTGGGAGTCGTCAAGAAGAATGCCGCCACTGAAGAGGTGAGTCATTTTTTTGACCGCACCCTCCTTCAAAGGCAAATTAATCAATTCTATTGGTTGATTTGTAACTCAAGGAGGGAGATTGAGACAATTGCCCATTGCTGAGAGTCTCAGGGGCTCTTGGTTAAGTTATGTTATTGTAACAAATAATTTTTGTAGTATTTTCGTCACTAGAGTGATTAGTTATTCTAATTCTAGGGATACGCCAGAGCCAAGGAGGATATGAAGGCTGCTTTAGCAATCCTAGACAGCCATTTGCTTACCCGTACTTATCTAGTTGGAGAACGCATCACTTTAGCTGATATCGTTGTAGCTTGCAATCTTTCAAATTTATACAAATATGCGTTTGACCCCGACTTCAGAAAGCCATTTATTAACGTTAATAGATGGTTCACAACATTAATAAATCAACCTCAATTTAAGGCCGTTTTGGGTCAGGTGCAATTTTTAGACAAATTTGCCCAACCTTTTACCGGCGCACACGGAGGTGAAGGTAAGTCGAACTATTTTTTAAATCCCTTAACCCAAAAATAATTTTACAAGCTGCTAACACTAACAGTATTGTTGCGGAGAAAAATAATAAAAAAAAGAGTAAGTTAAGTTTAGGTTTTTCATTTTATTTACTATGATTTTCTTTCATAGGTAAGAATAAAAAGAAAGATGACAAGAAAGACAAGAAACAGCAGCAACCCAAGAAAGAGACACCAAAAAAAGAGAAAGAGCCGGCTGAAGAAATGGATGCCGCTGAAGAAGCCCTTGCTGCTGAACCCAAATCAAAGGATCCCTTTGATTCCATGCCCAAAGGGACGTTCAATATGGACGATTTCAAGAGATTTTATTCTAATGAAGATGAAGCCAAATCTATTCCTTATTTCTGGGAGAAATTCGATCCTGAAAATTACTCAATTTGGTACGGGGAATACAAATACCCTGAAGAGCTCACTAAGATTTTCATGAGCTGTAATTTGATCACGGGAATGTATCAAAGATTGGACAAAATGCGCAAACAAGCTTTTGCCTCAGTTTGTCTTTTTGGTGAAGACAATAACAGTTCAATCTCAGGAATTTGGGTGTGGAGAGGACAGGACCTCGCTTTCACTGTATGTTGATTCAGTGCTTTGAAAATTTTCATTTATTTTCATTGATTTGTTCTAGTTGAGTCCTGACTGGCAAATTGACTATGAGTCATATGATTGGAAAAAAATGGATCCAAAATCAGAAGAGACTAAAAAATTAGTTGCCCAATACTTTTCATGGACTGGGGCAGACAAGAAGGGAAGGAAGTTTAACCAGGGCAAAATCTTTAAGTAAAATCCCGGGAGTAATATATTTTTTTTACAACCATGTCCTTTTGATAATTTAATTTAAATCCATCGTTTGTCAGTTGTTTAACCCTAACTGTTTTTTTTCTTTCAATAAAACGCTTTGAGGATAGTTTGTGTTTTATTTAAATAAACCTAAGATTAGTAATACACAGTTAGGAGTCCACTTCAAACTGGTCATCTCTATTGATTGGGTCGCTTTTCAACAATGCCACAATCATGCTAAAAATAAATAAGTTACATAATGAATTTACAGGGGCAAAGCTCACCAGTATAAATACGCAAAGAAGAATAATAAATAATACCCTAAATGAATCATACAGTCCCTCATGTGTTTCTTTAATTGACCTCTATTGTGAATTTCTGTGGGATCATAAATACCCAGATTTCCACTTGGCACTGACGCTAGCTCATAGACCATCCAAAATGCCATTGGCAAATTTAGCAATGCTAGAATCCAATGGCCGTGAATTAAAAACAGAAACGATAAAAAACCATGAACAATTAGTTTGGGGAGACTCCATTGGTTCAGTTTCGAGCAACATTCTTGAGCATTTAAATAATCGCATTCTAAATCCGACAAAGTAATGACCTGTGCCACAAATTAAAGAACTCATACGCTTTGGGTAATACTACAGTTGAGTAAAAAGACAAAAAAGGATACAAAATAGACCAGAAGAAACAATACTGCTCCGGTGTTTAAAAGAGAAAATGCAAAAAGTAGTGGATCTGAAAATATCATGATATTGGCTTTTTGACGAGTATTTTAAATTCTATGAGAGGTTTTTCAACTTTTTTGCGTTTTGAAACGGTGCATTTTTGAGGTTAGATATATGTCATAACAATTTTGAAAGATCAATAGCCATATTGCGCATGCGTATGCAATAAATTTTTTTAAAGAATTTTTATAACATGTTTTTATGATATGGTTTTAAGTAAACAATTAAAAAACGACCCTTAAAATTTATGCTGAAAATACTTTTATTGTAAATACTGTTTATTAGCTACCAAAATTAGGACTAATTAATACCCTACATAGTTTTTTAACATCAAAAGAACGATAATGATAATAATATTAAAGAAAAAACCCAATGGAAATCCTGCTGTAACAAAATTTATGGTTTCAATGGAGGGAACTCTTTATCAATAACAGCATAGACTCGACACACTGGACACGCACTTTGTCGTTTCAGCCAATTCATAATGCACTGAAAACAAAATTCAAACCCTTGATTAAAAAAATAAAAATAGAAAATTACCTTTTTATGAAATTCATGCTGACATGAAAGCATATGGCTGTTGCTAGAATTAAAATCTTCAAAACAAATACAACATTTGTGTTCGCTATGATCGTTGTGCCATACAGGTTGAGACACATTATTCCAGGCATTTTTTACGCTTTTCATTTTCAAAACTTTTTTTATTTCAGTAACTAGCAGTTGTTTTGGAAAATCTATTAGATTACCACCGTTCTTGTCACGGACTTGGTAAATTGCTTCTAGTAATTCGATTTCCTCAATGCCATCAAAAGTGACTTGAAGAAACTTGAGCAATTCCTATAGAATTAGCATGTTAAAAAGAATTTACTATAATTGATAAATTATTACTTGTTCTGATTGATACACATTAGTTGAATTATTTGTAGAGGGTGAAGGGGGTGGGAGATACACATTAGTTGAATTATTTCTAGAGGGTGAGACTTGTTTTCTACCGATAGGTGGCTGTGGTTGATATCCATTGGTTGATGGAGGTGGATGGTATCTATTAGTAGATGGAGGAGGAGGAGGTGGGGTTTGCGAATACGAGGGGGATCCTGTAGTCCTTCCATCTTGATTGCACATGTTATAGTTATTTGCGTAGTTGTTAGATTTACGAACTGAAATAAATCGAATTATCATCAGTTTATGAATAAGGCAAAGTATTTAGAATACCGTATTCTTTAAAGTTCCCATAATTATTCATTGCAGCCAAATATCTAAAAAATTAAATATTAAAAAAGTTCAACTAAGTTGAATAGAACTCACTGTTGTGGATGTGTGACACTGTACATACTTTTATTGTACTGAATCAAACTCTTAAAACTCCGATAAATAACATCCTGTATATCATTTGGAATATTTGGTATTCCCGGCCAGTCGCCTGTTTTGATATCAGAATATTCTTTTGCAATTATTAGGTCATCAACTGTTTTATAATACGCCTTAAACCAAGCATTATTATTTGCTCATTCATTCAAAAATTTCAATCACCTCAAATAGTTTTTTTGCTTCTGAAAGTTTATCTTGTGTATTTTTCCACAAGAATGCTTCTTGCTTACATTCTTCTGGCGTTGGTTTGTCACTAGGGTACAAATATTGGTAAAGATCACTCAGGTATGAAAACTTATAGGCACATTTTTCTTCAAACCTACAACACTATAATTTTATTTCTTGCTGACTCAATGTGAAAAAAAAAACGAACATTTGATAAATATTTTTCTGCATTTGATATCTTTGTTGCATTTGTTCAATGAGCAATTTTTGCAAAAGTTCGTTAAGTTTTTGAGTTTGCTCAAATTTTTTCTCAAGAGCAAGATATTGGCCTTTTATAAATTCAAATTCCGGGGACTTTTCTTCCACGGTGCTACTTTTAGCAAGAAGTTTTACGTTAAGTTCGCTATTTTTCTTCTGGAGTTGCTTTATTTCGTTATCTTTTTTGTTTTGTATATTGTTCATTCTATTTTTAATTTCAAGTACAGCTGCCAATAGTTGTTTATCGGTGTCTTTTTCCATTGTTTGGACCTGCAATTGTGTGATAACAACAATCTGATAACTGGATAAGTACATACAGAAACGTTTATCCCTTTTTGGGACACTGTCTGAGTAGACATGTTCGTGAAAGGACTTTTATTATTTTGAACTGATTTCTCGGTTTTCTTGATTGCCCCAGTTTGTTTTTTGGTTTTCTTTGTGACTTTTTCCTCTTTTGGGCTTTCTTTCGTACCCTTGATTAAAGTTGCAAAATCTGATTCACAAAGAGTACCAATTTTCAACCCAGTATCTTTAAAACATTTCTTCAATTCATCGTTATCTTCCTTAACCGACAATAAATCACTATAAGTACACCAAAATTAAAAACAAACAAATAAAAATTAAAAACTTACCAAATAAAATTTATTCCATTTATTTTCAACTTCAAAAATTCATCATTTATTTCAGGTACAATTTTTTCATTCAAAATACTATTAGACTTGAAATTGTAACCATCTTTTAACAAATTATTGCAAAACTGCAATTCGTCATGGGCAAACGACACTCTGTAACACAAAACTAGAATTTATCGCACAAACAAATAATAAAAATCACCTATCATGTGAGATATGAATAAACGCTTTTAGATAAGGCACTAATGGAAGCTTTATAGGATCGTGTATAGAGTTCAAAATGGTCAAAGCTTGTTCAGATTTGTAGTTAGCTCCAACGGAGGAATAAGCAAAGCAAATATGCAAGGAGAAAAGCTCAAGATCATTCAAATTCAAAACTTCAACAATGCAGTCTTTATGCAAATCAGCCAAAATACCCCCGTAGATCATTTCAGCGTGTGAGTAATCTTTATTTGACAGACATTCAGTGGCCAAGGCGAGGCAATTTTTGAAAGCTTTCACTCGGGATGCTAAAAGTTCGCTGGGACCCTTTAAAATGGCTAACTCCATTTTTTCTTGCTAAAAAAAGAAACACAAACTTAGCATTTTAGAAAATATTACTGTTAGCTATTATGTAATTTTTTTATTAACAAGTTGGTGATAAGACTGATAAGATAATACGTAGGTTCTTTATTTCGTAAACGTAAAAAAATCTTTATACATATTTAGTTCTCGTCTAATTTATTGATTTGTTGTTTTCGGGTGAGTTTGGACATATTAATAAAATAAAAAACAATTTTCTTGTCGATCTTTCGCTGATTTTATCTTTTTTAGCTTCATACATCAGAACACTGAATTTATCAATGGTGGTATAATGCAATTCCCCGACCCAATAAATTACAGCATAATGTCCTGATGAAGCTGAAAAACATTAAAATCAGCGAAACGTCGGCAAGAAAATTGTGTTTTATTAACCTGTTCAAACGGCCCCTAAAGCAGCAAATAACAAGTAATAAATTTTCTTATTTTCAAGTTTAACATGACTTATTTTCCTTCGTATTATTGACTTATTGAGTAACGATATTTGAAGAGCACTTTGTATTGTGCTGATAAACGATAATACTAGCAAACTATGCTTTAACAGAAACGATATATGTAGATATGTACCAATTTATGTAGGTACAGTTAGAGACAAAATACTTTGGTCGTCACTTTTCTGACACTTTAATGTAATTCAAGCTTTAACGTTAAAATGAATAACAATTTCAAATTAATAACAGCTATTATATTTTCCTATCAAAAATATGTACATACAACTTGTCAACTATAATTGACAGTAGCTAAAAATAAGGTTAACAGTCCTAAAGCATGCTTTACAATTTAATGTTACTCAAGTGACAGTGACGACCAAAGTATTTTGTCTCCAACTGTACTTATATCATAGATACTATATCGCCACGCAAAAAAAATGTAGCAGATTTTACAAAAAATAAAACAACAATCAATTTAAAACACACCTTATAATAAAAATAATGAGCTTCATTATTTATTTTTCTATTTTTCCCACATTGCGAAAAAAAACAGAGATGCTGATTAATACATACATGTAAAAAGCAATAGGAAAGTTTGAGGAAAATATGATATGTACTTTTGCCTCAAATAACGATTTTTTGAAATAATTTTTCACTCTTTTATAAAAATTGCAAATCGAGTTTTATTGATTTGCTAAGCTAAGATCAGATAATTAAATTTCAAATGACTTAAAGTGGCCTATGGCTTTGAAATTAAGTTGGCTAGACTGAAAATTATAGACAGTAGATATGAAAAATCTTATATTTTCTATTTTCTAGGTGTTACCAACTTAATTTGTAAATCATGGGCCACTTCGCTTAGGAATTTCTGATTTTCTTAATTCACGATTACTTTTTTTACACATTGCTTGAGTCGTATCTACATTAAGGAAGTTGTGCTATCAACGCTATCAAGTATTTAATAAGTGATTGAGACATTTTTCCAACGGTTTCGTCATCTCTCTGTCAAAATTGGGGACTAAAATGCCACGTCCCCAAATTAATTCTATGGTTTGAGATAAAACCTAGAAATAATCGTTGGTTTTAAGCAATTACTTGAGCACAGCAGTATGTTTTAAGGTGTAACCAACGATTTTTCGATCAGAAATTCGGTAAAAATAAAAAGGTTAAGATTCACTCACCACTTATTCAGTTTTATAGAAAGAATTTTGACTATTTGATATCAAATTTAAACTTTCTTTAAATTCCACTAATGTACAACGTAAACAAGGGACGACCGTCAATTAATATGACCAAAAATATGTCAAAAACATGTGATGTAGACAAAGCTAAGTACTAAATGATAAGAAATGGAAAATTTGTTAAGTGGCTTTTCGGTACAGGTTTCTGCTTGTAACGTTGATACGATTGACAGATGGCGCTAAACGTGATGCATTTTGCGCATTTTTCAAACTTTCAATTGCACTATTCCTGTTGCAATGTTATTAGAATTATAAATTTATTTCCTTTTTTTTGCAAGAGTTTAGCAAAATAAGCGCATTTCTACCAAACTTAAATTGCAAATATCCAGTTCATTTACATTTTAGTCCACTTTCAGTTTCATTCAATTGACCTAAATGTCTTGGATTTAACAGTAAGAGACCGGACATTCTCTTTGTCAAGCATGTTAATAATAAAAATCCTTCAATAATATTAATTTCTCAACTTGTACATGTCTGATACATTTCTACTTAAGTTGGATGCAATTATTTTAAAATCGAAAGTTCATAATTATAAACCTTTATAATTGATTGATGATTATGCAACTTTAAACAATCTCGCAATTTTAAGTTAAATTCTAAACCAGGAAGTTAAATGAACAGCAAACGGATGTAATAAATTGCTCATATCATAGGGTCCTGATAGTTGTAACTACCTTTAAATGTATTTGCGTAATTACAAACATTAAATTTTAGTTTCAGATAAATTGTTTTAAGACCTAATAGGGAAATCTTGTAGAAACTTTTATTTGAAAATATGCACTTGCTCATAAACAAAATTAATTGACCTACACCATTCAAAACCCGTTTCAAATTTTCACTCAACACACCCGTCAAAACTTGCAAAGATCAGAGGTTTTAAGCTGTTTTACTTTTACAATATGTGTGATGTAACCTGACCATTAAAAGATGGTATCTCAAATTATAAAGAAGCAAAGATCAAAAAGTTCCCATAAAATTGATTCTAAATAAGTGTTGTTTTGAGCACTTCCTTAAAGACAATCTCCAAACAAAATTTCGAGCATTGTTCCCATCTTCCGACTCTATTATGCAAATTTTTTACTATCACATTATATTAAAACTTTTCGAGAAATAAACTGACAGATCAAGGCCAACAGCAATAATAATTATAGTTTTGCGAGGCAATGATTTATCTGGATTTGAGTCTATTTTTTATAATTTCGGTCGAAAAGTTAAAATTATGCATATACCAACGTGCTGTGGCAAAAACTGGTCAATTAAGAAATGCCTTCAGACAAAATCAATTAAAGCAACAGTGAAAGGAAAATAACAAAAAAAATTCATTGCTAATATCCTCATTAAGAGTAATATGTTGGACAATATGTTTATCCATCATCTGTTTCTATTATTGGAGAAAATGATTTCAAACTTCCGAGATAACAATTACAATAAACACCAAAAAGTTTATTAATGCAGTTTATTATTCAAGTGGCAATATTTAAAAAGTTATAACGAAATTTATTAAGTTAAAAAGTTATTTTGAAGCGACATGCAATATGAGAAATTCTATGCAAAAGTTTTTTCGATTAATATCTTTGTTATTACTAAACAAAAGCAATTATATTTTTGGGTTTCAACTCTAGAAAACAAGATTTTACAAAAGAAACTTAAAAAAATCACTTTTGACAAAACAAGTTTAGAAAGCTTTTTAATAAAAAAAAAAATGTTTTGGCATGTATTAGGTAAGTATACTAAATTGCTTTTGAAATAGCCACATTTTAAATAAAACTTTTAATTAAGATATCTTTAGATTAAATCGGTTTTATTAAGTAAATAATTTTTAATAGTTTCAACACAGTTGTTAATGTTTTGTTAATGACTAACATTAAGGTGACAAATTTCAAAAATTCAAAATCAGGACATTAATAAAAATAATTATGTATAACAAATTTATTCCAGAACCCAAAAGGTAGGATGTTTCTGTTTTTTGTGTAAAAACAAAAAATCTATTCAAGCAAAATTAATAGTTAATTTTGTCATTATAAGCGAGTTTTAAGTATTTCTCCTGTCAGTTGAATTTTTTCACAATGACGACAAAAAAAACTTTAACTTGAAAGATACTTTGTTTTCGCTGCAAATGAAAATCTCAAAAAAATTACACACTGTGTTGGTAGGACCAATCAGGATGATTAACTAACACACCTATTTAGCTCCTTACTCTAAATAAGAGTGAATTTTTGGAGCAAAGAATTTATTAAAAACTTTGTTAACAGCTCTTCCGTTTTTAGGTATTTTTTTCAAAAAGCGGTTTTTTGAATTTTTTGTAGTGGTAGAATTAGTGGGTTGTCTTCTAAATTTTGTTTGATGCTAGATTGTTGTCATAAAAACAAGATCTGAAGAATTCATATTGCGTGTCCACAATATTGGTAGCAGGAAATTATAAAATGTAACCCATGACCTATATAGTAAATTTTGGCCTGTCATATAATTGAGTATAAATAATTTAAAGTTGTCGACATATTCTAAAATGTCAATGCTAACAATTAAAAATTTACAAAGAGATTGAACAGGACATAAATTCTGGTAATCTAATTATTATGCGATTGTGTCTGGTGGATTATTACTTAATAGTGTGTTCTAAATAAGTTTTACATTTTGATTTAATGGCAAATAAACAAGAAAATTAAAAATGCAAAGCAAAAACTGTTATGAATAGAAGCAGTAAATATGTAAAATAAATCAGCTTTGTCAGAACCAGCTATGCACTCGGTTACATAAAATTTCAAAAGTATCAAATTTGAAAGTTAGATATCGGAGAATGCTGTCAGTTTTCAACAAAAATAAAATCAAACATTAAGTACATTGTTAAGATTTCACTTTATTCCATTTGCGTCTCATTCTGATTTTTTCGTCTCGAATCCTGTAGTGTACTTACTCAATCAGGAAAATGAGTGCTTAATCAATTTTCTTTAATCTCTTATATCCTCTGTCATTTCCTAGTAATCTCACTTCTGTTCTAGTTTTCCAATTTCCTGCACATTTTTAATTAGCATTTGCTTCTGAGGAATTTCCTCGCACTTGTACGTTCCGGATATTCGGGCAATCGCCTGGATCATCTTCATAATTTCCTGCAATTTAACATAGTCTTGGCGTGTATTTTCGAAGTAGCATGCAGAGCAAGTGAACGCGACAAACTAGGGGGGAGAGGTGTCCGCAGCCTTTGCAGAAGGAGAAAGGCCGTTGCTGGCCACCAGCAGGTGAGAGGGAAACTGATACAGTTTTTTTCAGGTTCTTTCAACAAATTTTTACTCATTCAGCGTTTCAGTGCGTTATTCGGCGTCTTGGCGCGATGTTCTAGTGCGAGGATACGATATGGTGGGCTAGTTAATTGGCGCATCCACCATTTTTAACTGTGCATTTTCAGGATCTTAGTAGAATGCCATATGTGGGGAAATTGTGTTGATAAGTGACAATAATTGTGCACGATGAAATTTTCTTATTTGCTTTTCTTCATCTATCTTCTTAGTGTAGACGCGCAGAGGAGATCGGTGGTGAGTTAAAAACTGGAAATGTACTTATCGCGGGTTATGTAAACTTTTATTGTTTACGAGATTAAACTCAAAAGAATAATTCTGCATAATTTCGGTATTGTGATAAAATCAACTGGCCGTTAAGTTGCTGAATTTCTAAGCCACTAGTGGATATGTTCATACTTTCAATCAAGTATAATTTCTAATATCTTACAATTTCACTTTCGACTGACATTTTAAACATATGGCCATTCACATCGGTTCTTTGAACTTGATCGGAGAGTTGAATTTCTTGGATAAATGGCTTTTGAGGAAGGTTTCAGGTAACGTCTAGGTCACGCAACTTACTAAAGTGGAGCAAATGTGTGTTTCGTGCAACAGATAATTTACATAATCTGAGTTGTGATTATCAGAAAATTGCAATGTAACCACAATTATCTTAGTAACGTTACAAAATAAGTCATTTATCCAAGGTGTAAAGTAAAACTAGAGATTTTCCTAATACATAACATTGAACTAATTGCTTCAGAGACCATAATTAATTTAAAAAATAATGTAACAGCTAGTCGTAATGATATTATCTCAAATGCAAGCACTACGACTTTGTTTATTACGTTTCACGTTAATTGCATGATAAATAAAACCATAACACTTTTACTACTATTAATTAATGTTTCAAAGAATTTATTATGCTGATATTATTTATTCAACAGTCCTTGTTAGTTGGAAAAATGGTCTGCGGATTAACTAAATTTAAATTTCAACTATTATTATTATACGAAATTGTTTCAAATTTGTTGTTTTCACAAGTTTTTTACCTTAAACTAGTCTTTTTGCTTAAATAACTTGAACGTTATGTCTTTATAATGAAAGTACCAACTTTGCAGTAAAAACAGTTTTTTTTATCTTTCTGGAAGACCTGGCAATTATGTTTATTTTTTTAGAATGGTTTTTGCACAAATAGCTTTCTTTGCAAGAAAAACTTATGGTTTACCGTGTAATAAATTGAAAATTAAAACTATGTTTTTAATTTATAATTTATGCAGTTTGTATACTGTTACTACATTTGAAAACTGGAAATAACCGCAGTAACAGTTATAGTTTGCAAGGCTACCTACACCATACGAAGGACTATAATATATGCAAAATTTTATTACAATTCAAATAAACGAATTCATCAATTTTATTTAGAAGTAGTTGCAAAAAATATTGTAAACATTGTAATTAATATGTAATTATACAGGGTGTTCCGTTTTCATTGTTACAAATTTAAACAAGTGATAGAATATTCAATTTTAAGACAATAGTTTCCTATGAACATGTATCAAAAAGTGTTACGTAAGCGAGCTACAACCCTGAAAGAGATGCCTTTTTAAATAGCTTTTTCTCACTGTTGCAGAATAAATAAAATTACGAAAGTTGATAACATCTGAACGAATTCAAAGATCAGTTGTCGAAATTTTTAATAACGGGCGTCTTAAATGGTGAAACAAATTTAATTTTTGATTTTTATTCTCTTTATAGTCTGTAAGACAAATTGTAAACTGATTTTACTCAAAAACGGTAAGTTGTGTCGAAAAAACGCAAGAAACCTCTTTTTTGTAAAAAACTATGTAATTTAGAATTCTGTAGCTGAAAATGGCAAGAACCAACAGCCAAAATGGTTAGGGTACTTTTTTTTTTCTTACATAATTTTAATTTTGAAAAATTAAATATGCCTTGGAAACTGTAGAGTAAAGTGCCAAATTCGACAAAAAGTTATTATTAAAAAAATTTGTCTAAAATCATAAGTTCTTATACAAAATTTTAAAATTATCGTCAACTATGGTTTTTATTCTTTTTGTAAAAAAATGTAATTTATAAAAAAAAATATTTTTTTTTGTAAATTTTGTAAATTTTTTTTACTATTAATAAAAAAACTTTTAAAAATAAAATCTTTAATTTAAGAAACAAATAATAAAATAATGATTTTATTAAACATATAGAAAGTATTGACAGTCAGCTTTGTCGGCGATTTATTCCAATCTTTAATCGCAGTTTACATTGCAATCTAATTTAAAAGGTTAAAAGTCTCTTGTATGCACGTTTTATTAATTTGTTAATAGTTCTAGATTTTCCTTTCAGCAATTTTATTTATTTCAAAACTTTCGTTTAGATATTTGAACACAAAATATTTGTTTGTGGGAGTACTAAATGCCAAATTAACGCCTTTGTGTTAACGATAACAAATTAATGACTCATTAAAAATAATATCAGTGAAAGTGGAATTGCCAATTTTGTTAAAGAAACCAATGACACTCTGAATTATATCAAATTGATAAGAGGGCAACTCCCTGAACTTTGAGCCGGATTACACGGAATTTATCATTAATAATGCTGGAATTCTACATGTTTATAATTTTTTTATTTATTAATATAAACTTTTATTAATTTATTCAAATATAATGTGTAAAAATGCGAGGAAAAACACGGTTTAAATGAACTGATTCCGATTATTGTAGCCTGAGTAGCGTGCAAAAATTACGTTGTCCATTCTACTATTATATAAACTTTAAATTCTTTACGAAACGCTAAAACATCGTTTGAAGTTTTTGACTGTTTTATTAATTAATAGCATCTTTTTGCAAACACGCACCTGAGACACGAAATCTCCATTAAAGTTGAATTAGGTTCAACAAATGTCTCTAAGCACATGTCGTAACAAATTTTCAGCCAATTTCCGAAACAGATCTGTATCTAAATTAAAGAAAATTAGAAAAAAGTTAATTTGAATAAATTATGTCAGCCAAATTATGACATTTTATTACTTTCTTAGTTAACAGCATTTCCGTTGTTTATGATTACCATTAGCACGCATTTTAGTAAAATCATATTAACATCAGCGAATTTCTCCTCGTTTCTCCAATGATTTTTCCTGATCATGCCACCACTGAAATTCACTTTCGTTTAAAGTTCACTCGCGATTTTTATCATCGGTGATAAAACTGGTTGCACTAGGTTTACATAAATTTAATCTGAAGGACGAATGAAAGGCGGGGTCCGAGTGATACAAATCCAAGACACATTTATTAAAAGTTTACACTTGGGTTATTGCTTCTTGCTACAATTTTAAATAAGAATAAATAACTTTCACCGATTTCTTAAATGACGGAGCCTCCTGATTTAATCTGGGCAAAACGATATGCAATCCGGTGTCCGGATGTGGAATAACTTATTGGAATTTTTAGAAATCCGACATAGTTCAGCCCTCGCATACAAGATTTTTTTCTCCATTTCTATCACAAAATCGACATAAATATTGCTTATAATGAAAGGCATGCATTCTAATCGATAGCCTTGAAAACAAACCTAGAGCTGTGAATTTTTCCAAGACTCGATTTCATTTGCCCACAATAAACAGTGCAGAAACTTAATTGTCATATTAGAACACACGTAATTGTAACAATTGTCAGATGACAATCGGGCCGATGAGACTGTTTTCACTAAAAATCATTCGATGGAACCAAAATGGCAATTTTTAGTCCAAGCAATGGAGCGGTGAGCTTTAGAAAATTGTGGGAAATTATCGCAGTGTTAATCTATAATTATTACCAGATGTAATTACGGAATTTTTATCAAGAAAGGGCGTTGTCGTGACCGGTATTAAATTGAACTGAAGGTTGTACAGTTTTGTAAATCTTTGTCGCAAAGATTTGCATACGAGAACAATGTGGTATTAGGGATTTCTCTGACAGATTGACCTATGCAAATTGATTTTTTCTTTTGGGATAATTAAGTAGACAAACTTTATTATACTTTCAAATTTTTTAATATGAAATTTAGTATATTTTCATGTTGGTTTAATGAATCATGAACTGGCTTGACAATTTTAAAATGTCAAACGCGATATTGGCAAACATCTAATAAAATTCTGCATCGACTATAAGGATGTAAAGCAATTATATAATAAAATAATACATTCATAACGACGAAAAAAATTATAAATTTTAATGCTAAAATGGAAGAGTTGAATCGTTTCCTAAATCTTGAAAATTTATTAAATTAAAATTTTTGCACTAATTAATTAATTAAGAATTGGAAATACCTATCTTTGAATTCTACGATTTCGTAACAGCGTGGAATCACTCTGACTACAAAAATCACATAAATCATTAGTAAATTGCTGCGAATATGAATTATATCATAATGCCAACTGACCGTTTCATTGAGTTGTAGGTCGATAATTTTACTACACTTTATGTAGCAATTTAATTTAGAAAGGTTAAAGGTCTACATATTGAACAAAGACTTTTCATGCACATTTTATTGAACAATTTAAAAAAAAAATACTAGCATATTTTAAAATCATTGTTAAAAAAAAAACACATTATAACGACTCTCCTAACGAAAACTATAGTAACTCATAAAAATTGTTTTTTGAGTTACAAGGCTCATGTAGGTCCCAAAACACAAAAACAATAAGAAAATTTTTCTTTGAATAAACAATGTTATTACCAAAATTCAGACCTTGAGCAATTTTCAGTAATATTAAACGATTACTTGATTTTTTATTAACAATCAAAGATTTAATGCAATTATGCTCAAAACTGTAATTTTTGAGTGACTATAGGTTTCGTTGGGAGAGTCGATAATAGTGATTTACGCAGGAAGTGCGTAAAACAACAGAGGTGTTTTCTGACATTCTTATAATTAAAAATTTCTAGTAAAAGAGTAAAATATATGACCCGTCATATTTATTTTTATTAAATATTCTGCAACGTTTTGATTTAGAATATCATATCCTTGCAGGCAGTTTCTTACTTAATCTTTGGTAACAATCTTTTTTAAATTAGATATTCCTAAGGCATTACTTTATTTCAAATAATAAATTGTCTAATGTGGGTCAAAAGAGTAACTGTATGATCTGAATAATTCATTGTTGATTCAGAAAGGTTATTTATTTTGAAAGTACATTTTAATGTTTAGGTTTATGTGCAATAAAGTTGTATTAACGAAAATAGTCGAGTCGTAAAAATAATGGCATTTATTTAAAATTATGGCTAAATAATAAAACCTTATTTATACAATGTATAAACTATTCACTTCCTAAAATTTTGGAAATAGGGTCAATAATAACGTGGAATTTTGCAATATACAAGGTGACTTGCAACATTTGTGCAATTTAACGGTCACTTTAAATTTCTTGTGATAATTAAAATTAAAAATAAAGTTAGCATGTGGTATAGGAATATTTTTGACACTTTCACTGTTATTATTGAAGAAAATTCCTCTACTGTATCTTTTAATTTTAGATGACGTCAATTGCTTTCCTATTTTGTCCGATCACCTACATTCTAATTAAAATTTCAAATAAATAACATTCTTACTGATTTTTAACCAACGCGAATCGAGTTAATGTCAACAAAGACATTACGTTTATATCCTTCACAATAAAATTTCCTTTTAATCCATAAAACCATTAAAGAGATATTTTATATTCGATTATACTTTGATTGTCCTACAATGTAATTACAGTTTTACTATTACTTGAATAATAAATCACCATTTCATTACATGATAAAGAGGCACAATTTTTCAGCATGGTGTTGTTTCATAATTTCCTACAAGCAAATAAAACAACTTGTAGCATTACTACTGTAAATCAATTTGCAGTTTCTAATTAGTCTTTTTGCTAATTCCTCATCTCGAGTTCTTAAAGAACATTTTCTATTGATTTTAAAATTAATGCAATTTACCTTCTATTCTCCATAACCTCGTGTTTCGCTCAGTCGCACATTAGTCGACCTGACTTTTACAGTTAGTCCAACTTAATTATCTCGTAACACCACGTACATACATAACATGCAGTAATTAATTTGGTGAATACCAAAAGAACATTTAAACATCCTTGTGTTAATTTTTCTGCAACTTGAAAAATTTTGAACGAATATTATGTCGGTTTGTACGACTGGAACATGATTTATATTTAATTTTTAAGCGAATATTGCTACTTTCACTTTCCGACAAATGCGGTCAATATTTAATTTTTAATTTTTTAATTAAAAACACGGAGATGCATCAAAATGTAGTTCGCCATACATGCAAATGTCGATTTATGCAGATTATCACCCACTTTTAGTGAATCACACTAATGTTTTATTTGGCGATCCTTGGCATTTTTCATTTTGAAAAAATCCCACTTTCAATTAATTGGCTATATTACAGAAATTATCTCCGCTTTGTTATTAGACAGCAATTATTCTGTATCATATCTAATTACAGTAGGATTTCTCGAAAAAGTATTGTAGATTTTCTGCATTATATAATAATAATAATAATAATACTATTTTAATTACGCCCAAGAATTAAATAATTTAAAAATGTTTTGATATTGTGTAACGAAGAAAGCGTTTCAAATTGTTTTACTATTTTTAAAAATAAATCTGTATGAGAATATAGACTTTCCACCGAGAAGAAAATTATAAAAATCTTCGAAAGTTCTAAATATAAATTTGATTCAACGCATAGAAAGTGACTTAATTATCTTTAAACCGCCCGATACTTAGTTACGTAACCCGTCGATAATTTTAATTAAGGAAATTTGATTTAGCATAAAGCTTGTTTCAAAAATCATCACTTGCACAATGAAACCGATTAGAATGATGTTTGGAGCTTTGAACAAAAACTGAGACTTTCACAATACGCAAGCATGTGGCTTGCGGTTATCTTCAATTAAAGTTGGAAGTTATTACGTACAAATTGCGGTAATTAGAAGAATCAGTGTAATGTAGTAATTTACCAGAATTTGGCCTTGATCTGTACGACTTCTGATGGCTATCTTTTAAATATTTTGAGACAGCGAAAATCCGAATAGATTTGAGTTTGCGAAAGAGAATTTTCAACGGTTTCACGCAGTGGTTCGCCAAGTGGTTAGCGTGTATTTTTAAAATTACCAATTTTATGCTTTCTGATGAATAATAATACGTCTCTTTTGTTCTCGCCTCTTACTATCTCAATGCCGTGTAAAAATTGTAACACTGCTCTCAAGAAACGAAAATTCCAGTTTTTTGTCTCACAATTTAAATCTTACCGGAATCGTAAACACAAAACTTGTTGACATTTGAATCCGGACAGATACAAGGTCTTTCGCTTGAGCTCTATTTTTTCCACTTGTAGTAGTCACTAAATTGATTTGATTTCGCAAATAGATCCCTATTAAGTGCACTTAGTAGAAATTAAACCAAGGTTGTTAATTAATTAACTTCATTACTCATAATTCGGAAGAGTTTAAATCGCCTATTTGACGTCCTCAATTTTATTAGAATCACGATGTGTCACGTAGGCGTTACATATCCGACATGGGTATTGAGTGCTCACCCAACCTCACTATCATTGTTTAAAGAAAATATATGCCGTCTCAACAAAAATTTAAATTAAATTACTTTATTAACTTTCTTTTCTACAATAGAGAATTAATGGACTTTGAACAACCATTTACCGTAACAAAAATGTTTACTAAGACTTTGCTAATATGACCTTGTTTGATTGAATTTACAAGAATTCGTTGAAGTAAAACCTATTATTACAGAAGTCTGAATTACTATCCGAAAATGAACCGCAACCAAAAACAGCGAGACGAGGACGAGCTAGATTTACTCTAACTTCGGAAACTCCTCAAATCGAAGAACCGAAACGACCGGAAGTACCTAGTCGGAGATTAAGTTCACGCAGAAGACCAGAGACAACTCCTGTTAAGATAAATAAAAGTTACGAAGTCGAAGAAATCGTTGATGAAACGCCTCTAGAAACATTACGAAGACCTAAATCGAAATTATTTGTTGAAACACCAGTCGAATCAGTCCGAAAACATAGCAGTGCAAAATCGTATACTGAAGCTAAATTCGAGGAATTTCCAGTCGAATCAATCCGGAGACCTAGTAGTGCAAAATTGTACACTGAAGCAAAGTTTCACGAAACTCCAGAGTCTTTAAGACGACCAACCAAATCAAGAGTTTTAACAGAAACTAAATACGAAGCTCAAAATGCGCCCACTTCCAATGCTTTGTTTCAACCATCCACTACCGAAAATTTAGATGAAATAATAAAAAGTATCGGTGAAGGTTTAGACACAACTTCCTCGTCTGTGTCTTTATCATCGACTCTTCCCTCTAGTTTAGAATCTTTGTCATCTGAAATAACTGCAAGTGAGATAACTAAACCTGATAATGATATCAGTCGAACTCAACCTGAAACTACTACTCCGATAACTTCAAGAACCACGAGACGAAGTAATGGACGAGCTAGAAGTAACACAGCGAGTCCTACTGTTGCGTCCAGAGTTCGTTCAAGAACTAGAGCTACTAGAAGACCAGAAGAACCAAGTTCTACTCCCACTGCCGGTAGAACAGTTCATAGAGGAGCAAGACGTCGAAATGAACCTTCTTCTGTTGAATCTAGAACTAGAGGACCTTCAGTAATACAAACTGCTGAAACCGTGGAAACACCAACACGATCACGAAACGGTAGGCGAACCCCCGGAACTGCTGCTAGAAGAAATGAAGAAGTGACAGTACCGGAAAAAGTAACCCTCGACCTCCCCCAATCTCGTAGGTTGGGTAGTAGAAAAAGTGTTGAAACGACAACGTTTAGAAGTCGAACTAGAACACGTTCTAGGGATATTCCCCCAATCATAGATGAACAAAAGTTGGAAGTTTTACCTCTCTTTGAACGAGAAAGCAAAACTGTAAAACCCTTAAGGAATAGTAGACGTCGTAATATAAATTCTGCCGAAGAAGTTGAAACCAGTGCTACCGAAAATGATATAAAAATCGCCCCAAAACCACCTAAAGAATCCGTGGTTGTTGCAACCAGAACTGAATCTACAATCAAGCGAAGGAAAATTATTAGTAAAGTATCTCGTAGATCATCGACTAGTAAACCAACGGTACAAACAAGTAAACCCACAGTTCAGACCCCTAAACCGACAATTGCAACTCGTAAACCTGTAGTTAAAGAATCTGTGATTTCTGAAGTGTCGGAAGTGACCTCAAAACGGACTGTATCTAGACAAAATAAATTAGCGAGGGCTAAAACCGAAACTCCTAAATTTGTCCAAAGAGGTACGAAAAAGTCTGAGATAAAGTTGACAAACGTGGTAAAAAATAAATCAAGTGTGACAAGTTCAGAGGAAGAGATCGACGATTCTGATAATTATCCTGAACAATTCAAAGCATTGTTACAAGCTAAGAAACAGAAAAAAGTAAGCATTGTTTGGATAATAATAGTATAACAATGACCTGGTGATGTTTTAGGAGTCAAGGTCGCAACATCGTCTTGTTACTGCGGCTCCAGCAGTCACGAAGACAACAGAGAAGGTCGTGAACTCTTCTCCGAGCTCAACAACGCCAGTCATTGCATCGGAAGCAAGCCGCCAGGTAAATGAAATTAACAATTGTGTAGTTGTAACGAAACAACTTTGAAAAAGAGAAAGTGGTTTTTGATAAAACTAGTTTAGTACAAATATACGCTTGATTAGCACACAAATATGCACCATATTGCGACAGTTTTTTATTTCTAATTAGCAGCTGGAAGAATCCGAAAATGAGTTAGTTCCTCGGAAAGTGCAACCAGGACGCCGGTTTACTCAAACCACCGAAAAAGCCACTAGGCCAACGAGAAAAAGTAAAGTTGTTCGCTCGACCACAATTGCGCCATCAACATCTACAAGAGAGCACAGATTCCATGCTAAATTTAACACCGAACCAGAAGCCACGACTAGTAATCCAGTGAAATCGGCGAGGAGTTTGCCGCCGAAACCTCCTCGTGGATTATATAGCAGCAGAAAAACGAAGGAAAGTTATACGAAAAATAAAAGTCCATCAGGACAGGTAAAAGTGAAACTTGCATAAATGCACAACAATATAAAAATTGCTCCAGATTCCAACGCCGAAAAAATCGAATCGATACAGTTCGAGATATCGCAACGACGCTGCTGCGAGAGGTGCTATTCGAACCAGTACGAATGCCCCAGCTTACTTACCTACTATACCGACTATCACTCCACCAACGACTTTGGTAAGTTAGTTGATAAGTGAAGTGATCCTTGACAAGTCAAGCTGGTCACTTTTGTATTGAAATAGTACACCTTGACTTAAATCAAATCGATTAATCAACTTTTGGCACCCATTCTAACAACTTTATCTTTGCTTAAGGAATATGTTTGGCCTGAAGAAGAAAATATTGAATACAGTTGGTCTTTCTCACGCTTAAACTGAGAAGTGTCTTCACTGCTTCATCACCTGCTTCCACTCCTCTTCTACATTACTTATAACACTAGATAAATATATATCACTGGTGTCGGTTCTAAGTTAACAGTAAGTACATGTACGGATATTTATACTTGACTGGCATCCCAGTTTATTATTTGAATTCTCCCTCAACTACCTCTTTCAAACACCAGTTCTAAACAGCCAGTAATAAAGTATAAATATAATACAAGTATCTTGTATCATTTCTATTTAAGATAGTTTTAAGAAGAGGTGTACTATTTTATTTTTATATTTTTATACACGATATTTTCTAATAAAAAGCATCACAAACAGGATTGTTTGTTTTTATTCAAGTTTTGTAAATATGAAGATACGCACGCTGTTTGCTGATAAATAACCTTATGGACCAAGGTGTTTTCCCCAGCCGTGGGTTTAATCTCGAAACGTTTGCAGGTAAAATCGTCCTACCGAGATAAAGATTTGGGAGTGGAGGTAATCAGTTTCGATGACCCTGTGAATACGGTACCCTCAGCAAATCTAGTTAGCGGAGAATACCTCGCTTCCTCGACTGAAAGTCACCTAACTAGTCCCTTGGTAAATTGGCAAAACAACAAGTTCAAAACCGAAACTGAAAAAAATCTCTTCCTAAAGGTATCGGCATCCCAAACCAAGACCACCGAAAAACCCTTTTCAATTATCGAGAGTATAATAAATTCCATAACTGCTATTTCCACTACCGAAGCACCCGACCCAACAAAACTAACATTTTCGACTGATGATCCGACAAAACAATCCGCCATTTTAAAACTGGCAACCAAAAAACCGACAAAACTTGACAAGACACAAACCACCCAAATAATTCCTGTTGTGACAGTGACTAGTGAAAAACCTACAACCATCATCGAAAGAATTCTAAGTTCTTTGTCAGCTATTCAAGCTGATAACACCACGGACACAAAAAAATTCAAATCGAAACAAGTAGGTAGCAATTTTAATACCATTAGTTCTCCGTCCACCACACCTATCACTAGAGTGACTAAATCTACGCTTTCTGCACAATACAGCACCACTGTGAATCCTTTGACTGTATTAGATGAAATTTCAAATGAACAAACTTTGCAAAAACGCACCATAGGTAAATTATTAGCTCTTCTCAACACTTTAACTTCGACGACGCCACGTTCACGTCCCACACAATTAGTTGTTGTTACGCCGAAAGCCACGAACTATGTAGTTGGCACTAGTGTTGTACCCACATCGGCCATTGCTACATCCACAACTATCGAACCTATACTAAGCTCAACTATAACAACAACCACAACAACTGAACCTACGACAACAAGTACTACTACCACTACCACAACAACTTCTAATCAACTTTTTACATCGCCGAGTCCAGGTGGCGTGTCTATAAATTCAAGAGCAAAACCTCCAGAATCGACCACCATGAGATACACAACAACACCAACATATACTACATTGTCTACTCTAATGCCGCCTACGACCACAATGAACTCGCTCACAACACTTTCTCGAACTGAAGCAGTTCCAACAACAATGACTCCTAAAGATATTTCAAATGAAATTGGAGCTCTTCCTCTTTCGTTCGAAACGGGTGGTAGTACCACACCGTCTACTACTACTGATTCTTCTTTATCAATCAGTACTACTTTACCAAGCACTGAATCATCTATCGATACTGAAACAGGTTTTGTGTTTCCTTCAACATTACCAGCATTAGTAAATTTTGAAGTAAGTCCAGGCAGCGTGTCTATCTTCTCTGCTAATGATTTGTCTAATGTAATAACACCAGAAGATGGTCCTAGTACCACAGTAACTATTCCAGGCAGAACTAATCTTCCAGAAACTGACATAACAACTCAAACGAGTACTGATGTCACAACTCCTATTCAAACTACTACTCCTTTTCCTAATTCTGCTGATAGTAACGCAAAAACGCAAACTAGTGTCACTTTAAACAGTCGTATTGCTTCAACTGATCCTAGTACTACTCCTATGAGTACGACAGTTCCTAGCGCCACAGAGGCGCCGAGTACTACAACGCAGAATCCGACTACTACTGATAGTAGTACTACCACAATGGCTGTCACTAATACTTCATCTCAAGACATTTCCTCTAACGTTATTGATACAACAGGCTCCCCCGAGAAATCTAATACTAGCACTGTCATTCCTCTGACTAATATCACTTCGAGAACGTCGGGTCGTTCCGGCCGCCTTTTGAACGTAGTTCAAGACTCTGTACAAAATTCCATCGAAAATACGACCAGTCGAGACAAAGATTACTACATTTTCGCCGTGTTAAATAACAATACTGTCTTGCGCAAACGACCAAGTAGATTCCCAAATAAAGAAACACCCTTCCTTATTGTCGGTGTGTACCCTAACAACACCATAGTGAGAAAATTCCCCAATGGTTCCTTTGTTCCAATGGAACCTGTTATAAGGGTAAGCGGATTCGATACACGCGAAAACCCTCCACCCTTACCGGAAATAACCAGTAACCAAGTAACCCCCGACCAAGGCAGCCGACCGGATAATAAAAATCTTCAAACGGTATTCATTGTCAATAACTTTTCGGTGCTAGGGCTTTCGCCGCTTCTTTCATCTCTCCCTACAGGTCACCTGATCTCAACTGTTGTATTTATGTTGTATGTATGTACATACCACAGCTTTTGAATGTTGTAATTTGTGCACGCTTGTAATGTAGATAATGCACCACTAATTCCTATAGTTTAAGTTCAGGTGACTATAAAAATAAAGAACTGTCACCTCATCCAAAACTCAGTTCTTTATTTTTGTCTTTGATTTCCTAACAGTACACATTTTGCTATTAATACTTTACCATCAAAGCAGGGTTTGACGAATCACCTCAAATTCTGAAAAATCAGTACTTTCTTTTTGTAGGTTGAACAAAATACAATACCACCTATAGAGGCAAATCCATTGTCTATAAGTACTGTTAATAATCCACCAACCACCGGAACTACACCTAGTAGTACCGTTCAAGCAAATCCATTATCAATTAGTAGTAGTAGTAGTACCAGCACAACTGAAAGTAGCACTTCTAGAAGCACTAGTACTAGTAGACCAGCGCCTGTTTCTACGACTTCCGCTACTACAACATCTAGCACAACTTCTGCTGCAACTTTGCCAACTCTGACGGAAATTTTAACGGGAAGAACCGGAAAAGCTTTCAATAGTATCATAAATATCTCCGATCTAACTAAAGTCGAGACGCTTAAAGTCGATCCGAAGGTAAGTAAAGGATATAAAATTGCCTTAAACAACATAATTTGCTACATGACACACTATTTTTATCAGACAAATCGGGTTTTAAATGCCGACGAGTTAAAAAATATAACTGGCGTTATTTTTCGATGGAAACCAGTGACAAGTTCAACGTACATGTTTCAGGCAAGGATCATAAAAATGACAACACTGACCGAAACCGAAACTAAACTTTTCTCACTTAGCTTAGTACTTTCTGAATTATCTAAACATTTCATTCTAATGTGTCTACTGAAAACTCTAAATACATTTAGCATTTCGTACTAAAGTTATAACAAAGTCAATAAGTATTGGTAACTAATAGAGATTTCTTGCAGACCGATTTTATGTCGACCACTCCTCCATCGCCAACTCTCTCAAATCGAATTTTAGACAATCCGTCAACAATGCCTCCAATGACGTTGCCACCTACAATTCGATTAACAACAATGCCACCAACGATGTTGCCACCAACAATTCGATTAACAACAACCCCAACAACAACATCAGTCCCAACAACAACTCCAGTTTTCACAACAACAACAATGCCTCCTACTACAACACCCATACAAACGAGAAGACCAACAACGATACCTCCTTTCACTCAACCTGTAACTAGTTCATTCCAAACAACTGCAGGTTTTCCGACGAGTACTTTCTTCCCGCAATTTTTGACCACTTTGTTCTCAACTATTCGTCCAAGGAGGGTATCAACAACAGAAGCGCCAATTACAATTGTGACACCAATTTCAAACAGAATTCAACCTGTCACAAGTCCAAGAGTTGACATAAATACCAATGGGTTTGATTTAACTACAGCTGGAAGTACTAGACGACCCACTGCTGTTGATTTAACAACTGGTACTACTCGAAGAGTTACTACAACAACAGTACCTACAACTTTGCCTTTCACGGTACCTATTAGTACTACAGTTAGAAGTAGAAGACGAGGTACTACTACTACAATTCCAACCACAACCACAATTCTGACAACGACAACGACCACAAATCCGCCAACAACAAGGATGACAAGTCAGAGAAATGCAAGACGTGGTACCACAACAGAGGCAACAACTACGACTACGAATGCCACAAAAAGACTTAGACAGTTAACGGAACAACAAAGGAAAGATTTGGAAGCCATAGCTCAACTTGAAAGAGAACAAGCTGCAATTCTTAGACAACTTGCCTTCCTTACTAATTTGGTAATTATTATGTAATTATTTTTTTTTAATTAATTTTATTTTTTTTAGAATATTGGTGGTAATACAAGGACCACAACAGACAGAACTGATTTAGCTAAAAGGGTAAGGAATGTTATTCGTACGTGGTGTCAATTAAGTAATTTCCTGTTTGTAGATTGTTGCTTTGGCAGTTGAACGAGACAAGGACCGACCAAAACCAACAACAACAACACTATCTCCTGAGATTACAACCGCTGAATCAAAACGTGAAGCCAAAAAAATTAGCGTTTCTAGTGATCAATCACTTGAAGAAATAGTGAAACAATTTAATATTGTAACCCCTTCACCAATCACCACAGAATACGGTAAAAGCAATGACGCTATCATAGCTGCTCTACTTAAAGAACAAGGAATTGGTCCTACAACTCCTAAAGTTCTCGAAGATGTATACAGTCATACAACAACAACAACCAAACGTCCCAAACCTACAACACGTCCACCAGGCCCCCTCATGCAAAGCTTAAATTGGCTACTCAACGTTCTCGCCCCTCAACCAACAACTACAACTACCACTACCACTAAAAGACCAAAACCTAAAACAAAGTCTAAACCAAAACCTAAACCTAAACCCAAACCCCAATCGAAACCTGACGAAATATTAACTCACCAACCCACACACATCACACCTGTAGTGACAGCAGCACCGCGTCGAAACCTCGTCAGTTCATTGTCACAACAAGACATTCAAAAATTAATTCGACAGCTTGAAAATATCCAGAAAGATCCAGCAAACTCGCAAGAGTTAGACTTTTCGCAAATTAAGAGTCTTCAAGCGTTGCTAAATTCTGACGAAGGGGTACAAGTGACATCTTCGGGAAGTACGGGAGCCACTTCACGGCCAAATACAACACCTCTTACCACCGCAAAACGCAAAAGCAAAGGGCGGGTGGCCAAATCGACAACAGCTGTACCTTTGAGTGTCAGTAATAGTATTGCAGATGATGAAGAATTTGTTTCGACAACTACAACAAGGTCGAGGGTTTCACTACCCCCTGTGAGACTACGACCTGTTCCTGGAATTGAAGATGGTGATACCATGGTGCGAGGCCAATTAATTACAGCTGCAGTGAACGTCACAAGGGCTATTTCGTCGTTCCTAGGAACGGCTTTACAGGTAAATCAAAATCTGATTACAGAATTGTGAATCTAATAAGAACTTGATTCTACTGGAAAAAATGTTTTACAGGATGCAGCCCAACAAGTTTCGAGACTATTTGCAAACGGGTCTGCAAATTTCAGAGATTATTTGGGCTCTAGTTCGGTTTTAGCGAACGTTTCAAATTTTACCGCGGCTAGTAGTGTTTAGGATGTTTCATATTTCTAAAAATGGTAAATTCTTCGTCGCATGGAGCATTTTGTCAGTTTTATAACTTATTAAACCTCATTCTCCTTTCATTGACTGACTACCATCTTAACGCACATTCATAGAGACCAAAAATAATCACAACATTATACACTATTCCAAAAAATTACATTTTTTCGTGATTTTTGAAAGGCTGTATCTCATCGAAAAATGGACGTATCTAGATTGAAAAAAAAACATTTTGAAGCCTTAAGTTTCTAGTTTTGAGATCTTCTGGCAAATTTTTTTCTGTGCTACTGCTACCACGCAATCCTAAGTAATAGATAGCGCGAGGGAAAAAATCTATTTTTTTTTGTTTTTGTTTTTTGCCCACGGACGTGGGGGAATTTTTTTTAGTTAAGTCAATGCATAGGCCGGATAGCAAGTTTATTTACATTTAATATGCTTTTTTTATATTCTATTTACGTCAATTTTTCGTTGAGACCTTTTGTGATTTTTTTGAAAAATATATATTTTTTTTCACTCTCAATATTGATTTAAAGAAAAGAAAAAAAAATGTTGCTTTTTGCGTTGTTTTAGTAAATCTACCGCGTATTCACTTGATGAGGAGACTAATGTTTTTAGGAGTTTTTACAGCTTAATGTATCCAAGATAGTCCCGTTAATTTTTAAATCGATTCATCGAACTGTTTTCTCGGACCGATTGATCAAATTTTTGCAAAAGAATTAAAGGAACAATTATTGTACATATTGTTTCTGAACATTGTCTAATTCTTGTCAAAATAAGAACAACGATTTTTTTTTAGCTTTTTATTACCCTTATATTCTCTGTCTGGTCATATGTTGCTGAGATATCAATTATCAAAGACAAAAGGATCCTTTTTTCATTTAAAGTCAGATATCTCAGCGAAAAATTGACGTAAAAAAAAGGTGAATAAACATGCTATTCATGCATTGATTTAACTAAAAAAAAACACGTCGGTACACCAAAGACAAAAACAAAAAAAATTTTGATTTTTTTCTCGCGCTATTACTTAGGATTGCGTAGCACAGAAAAAATTTGCCAGAAGATCTCAAAACTAGAAACTTAAAACCCCAAAATCTTTTTTTTTTTTAATCTAGATACGACCATTTTTCGATGAGATATAACCTTTTAAAAATTCCCTTTAATTTTTTGGAGTAGTGTATCACAATTCGTTTCGTTAACACTGTGGTAAAAGGTGCTTTAATTTATATTTTTATAGGGTGCTGCCACTGGATTCCAGTCCTTGTTGGGTTCCGGATCTCGTGCAGTGGGATCTTTAATGCAAGTTTCTTCAAATGCTTCTTCAAGACCAGGATGAAGAATACGTGCTATACTTAACTGTTATTTATTGTATTAATTTGCATGTAACTTGTTCACTTGATTTGTTATAATTGCACAAACGACATTTTAAGATTGATGGGAATGTTATTAGTCAACTGATTCGACGTGATAAAATTTTATTTCCTATTGTTTTTTATTTAGGTGTACTACTTAGTCATAATTTTAGAAAACCAGCTGATGGCAAATACTCGGAAAAACATTTTATTTTCGCTTTTTGTGTATATAGAAAGTGTTGTAAATTATTATTGTTATATTAGTTAGTACGGTTTTAATTTTAACATTAATTTGTAAATAAATTGTAGCAATTATCATTAATAAAATACAAGACGAGAAAATTGGTGTTTTCGTAAAAAAAACATTTTGGTAATAGAAATAAATTTTATTAAAAATATATTTATACAAGCAATAACTGCTTAAAGCTATCAACGTCTAAAAATAACATACAATAAAAGACATTTGTTAAACAAATAACAATAAATTAAGATTAACATGTATTATATTTATCTTAGCCACAGCTATAGCACTTACTGTACACTGTGTGCGAATCTGGATATGTCCATGAGTATTTTATTAAATCTTAAAAAGTATAATTGTGTTCATAGAACTTACTTACTTAATATATCATAGATATATGGGACCAAAATCACCGAATTTCGAAATTTTGGAAGACCAATGTTAACCTTAAGTGACTAATGAGCTCAAAAGCATAAGCTCGAGCACCAAACTGTCACAAAGATTGAACACCAGTAAACTCTCCACAAAATTTCTACTTATCGGCAAATATTTTACTTAAATTATATCGAAATATTTGGAAATTACCTTCCTTTGAATAAATATTTACAAATTTAAAAATTTCGTAGTAATACCCTACGAAATGGCCAAAAATTCATTTGCATTTTGATAACTTCAAAACGCCAACGAAAACCCACACCAGCCCGACGTAAACCCCTAAGTAAAATAAAAATAAATAAATAATGTACAACTACAAGTTGTAAGGGTGGCAAAACTGGTAGACGAGTCTTTGCGACCGCTCTGTTTTCTTCATAATTCCCTTTTTGTAATACTGTCTTATCGACCTGCTCAACTTATCGTAGTTCATCGCTGGCCGATTCTTCCTCTTCCCCCACAACCTGGCCACTTTGACGGAATCCTCAATCTTGAAAATCCCCTTCGTGCGATCCAACCACCGAATGCAAGAGCCGTAAGTTTGTGGCGAAGCCAACAGTTCCTTCAAGAACTGCCACAAGTGGATGTGCGAACCCCCCGATCGCGAGGTCGTAGGCCGACTTGGATCTGTCTGCGACGAAGACGCTTCGTCGTCGTCTTCTGCAAGTAAAAGGAACGATTAACTCAAGGGCGACGGCTTTTAATCGATATGATTTTATTACAAATTCAGGATAAATATGGCAAGAAACGTGCGTGACCTTTTTTAACCTTTCACATTCTTTGCAAGGGTCACGCGTTGATGCAGTGATTATTGGATAAGACATTTTTGGAAAAATCTCATGTTATTATTAGGTTAGATCATTAAGTCGGAATTCTTGTTTAGCGAGTTTTCGACCAACTCATTGTCGAATTTTTGAGAGAATGCCAACTTGCAAAAAAATGATTAGTAGCAGGATGTTACATTTATAAAAGTAAAATGTTTGAATTTTTCGCTCGGTTCAGTTTGTTTTAGTGGAAATTCCGTTTCAATGTTTTGAGTTAAAATCTTAGTGGCCTCGCTTTTGACCTCGAACAATCAGTTGCTAACTTGTTTAAAAAACTACTCACCATCCGACATGTCTCCACTTGAGGCATTACTGGAAGTAGTTTCAGGCTGCCATTTCATACTTAAATCTTCATCAGAACATGCAGCTTTCCATATTTCAAGCTGTGCATGAAGAATCATTCCTCCCTGAAAGAGTAATAATAAACATTGTCAATAAAATATTCGAGTCTCGTCTTGAAATTCTAAGATCGAAAGGTCAATGCTAGTAAGAATAATAAGAATACGAATGAGTAAACAGGCTTTATAACGATGCCAGGTAGAACGGCCGAATTAATAACAGTGTAATTATTGTACAAGCATCCATTAAAACACATTCCATGTTTTTTTACATGGTTAAGTAGGTCACTTTGGAAAGACTTTCTCTCGGGCGGTGAATAGCAAAGCCCCCCCTCGTATGCCCCCTATTAGATGCAAAGGACGTCCGCTGACATTGCCCCAGGATGGCTTGACTTCTTGTACAACATTTTTAATTATTGCAATAGATTAGAGGTGAAGTCACTCAATGACACATTAAGTTCCCACACTGTTGTGACTAAGATAATGGCATAATTACGCAAAAATCGTCTTATTGACTGAAAAATTCCAATTGTCGCGTCGCAAAACCCGTTATGTTCACCTTAAATCGACCTGAATTTTTCAACACTGAAAGTAAAACCGTAAATTAGAAGCACCTACCTGAGGTGCGCGTCTTGAAAAGTCTTCCTCGGACAAGGCGGCCAAACTCGAGCCGTTCATGTCCCAGTGATCTGGAACCGGTTCGGTTAAACCGAACTGTCTGGATGTCCACTGCAACCAAGACAACACATCTGCAGCGCTCCATTGCGTGGGATCTGCAAAACGACTCAATTAAGGCCAAGTACGTTCAAAAAACCGTCTAATAAATGCATTCAGATCAATATTTACTTTCACGAAGTGAGAAAAATCAAAGCTTGTGGAAACGGTATTTAGATTTCTCTTGTTTATAAGAGGAATGATTAAAAATAGAATGGAATGTAATAAGAGTCGAAAATAGAAAAAATGACGATTAACAGTTTTCAATCACGAATTGTCAAATTAGACCGGTTTGACACTCCTTAAAACAATGGTAACCTTCGGGTGGTAAGACGGAATTACTATCCCACAGTCACCCACACAACAGTAACCCAACGTCATGCATTACGTTTATACAAATTATCAAGCATCTGAACTTCTTTTAGAATGTTAGGTGTGGTAATCGCAAGGTCACTAGTTCGTTGTGATAAATAAACTATTGTTCGCTTGGGTGGAGTCACTAATTGCAAGAAAACTCACCGGGAGATATACCAAGCGCGGCACATGTCGTATCTACATCTTTCCTCATCTGTTCGATCGCTAGACTTAAAACAGGCTCGATGTTTTCCCTCATCAGGTCTCTCTGAGCGTTTTCATCCGGTTCTTCCATTTTAATATCACCGATAAATCCAAAATCGATCGGTTTGATATTATATTTCTTCTGAAAGCTGGTATCCCTCAAAACTTCTCTCAACAGTTGATGATCTTTCGGTTTGGAAGGTACCGTCTGGGGTTGGGCTTCTTTAAAGTCGTGTTCCAGCAAACGTCTCAAGCTTTCTGAATCTTGGAAAGTACTCAAGAGGTTACCAAAATCGACTGTACTCTCTTGCTTGATTTGTTTATCCAAGACGGTGTTTTCCAGTAACTCCAATACGTCGGTGTTCTCCGATTGTTGAGTGTTTATTTGTTCTGGTGACGACAAACTGGAGTAGCTGGTGGCAGGACTGGTCGGCGATGAAAAGCCACAAGGGGACAGGAAATTCTCCTCTTTGACTCTGTAATTGTACGGAGATGGCGGGTAAGCTTCTTTTTTGACGTATTGGAAAAAATCATCGACTGGTGATTGGGAGTAGAGGGAATTCGGGGAGGGTGTGTAAAGAGACAACTCCGGCGAACTGGGGTAGAAGTTAGCTTCGCTCGATTGGCGGTAGGAATTCGGCGATAGGATTGGTGGTACTTCCAGGAAAACGTTCGTCTGGGGTTTCTCGGCGTCTGGTACTAACAAAGTCTGGAAATCTGGACGAAAATCGTTCTCAGGCGAGTTAGGGTAGAACGTGGTGTAGATTTTCGGTTGGGGCTTTTCCGACGGTGGCGGCGACTGTGTGAACTCGACTTGTTCACCACCGGGGAGAAGGGACAAATCGAAACTTTCAGCGAAATTCGTATAGTCACATGGTGGGGTGAACCCGGCAGAAGGAACGGTTTGTGGCATCTGAAACAACAATTCGTACTTATTCACGCACCCACAGGTTAATTGGCGAACGGTACCCAAAAATAGATATGACATTAACAATTACCGAGGCCGGTGATCTCTTCTCTTTATCTACTATATGCTTAAGGTTTAGTTTGGTCGAGGTCGATTATACTATTTCCTCATAGTTAGATGTCTTTACTCATCTTAATTGGATATGAATCACTGAACTCGCAAATTTTACGTTTTAATTAATAAATCTGCGATAAATATCGTAAAAATGTCACATCCTGATTCTTTATGAAAATTACCAAGGACCACAAACAAAATACCTCGCCACAAAAATACACGACTGCGTAATGTTCCAAGATTCTTGATCAAAATGAATTATTCTTAGTCATGAAATTTTTCTTACATTGACGTTAAAGCCATCTGCTATTGTTTATTTTACTTTATATTTATGCGCAAGCAAGTTAAATTTAGATTGTTGCCCACATTTTCATAAAATTATTGTTGATGAACACTGGAATAATAAACAGCGAATTTTTAGGCACCTGTTACAACTTTGAAATATAATTTTTGGGTACATACCCAAGTAAGGTGTTACTTTGACAAAAATGTTGTTTAAACTGTCTAGAGACGCTAACATGTCGATGACTCTAAGGGTTTAAGAGCGTGACGACTCTGACTAGACTGATGATTTCTTGTGGAATATTTTTGGTAAATTTGCAAATGTTCTACATGAATGGATTACAAAGATGGCCTTCCTTTCGGGCAAACAAAACAGGCCAAAATCTGAAATTACCATAATGGCACCTCATTGTTCACGTCGTGTGAGCTCCTTTGGGAAAAAATCACACCTCACGCACCAAACGCACCCAAGATGTGCACAAAACCGAACCACGAACCCAACTAATTCTTCCTTCTTAGTCTAACATCTAAAAATTTGAAACGCTCCCTCTCTTTCTATCTTTTGGTTCACCTTGGTCAAAATATCCTCGATTCACTGCATTGTCAAGGAAGGTGCTACGTCACTCTTTTATCCTTTTTGGGATCACGGCTAGACGTATCTGCTACCTTTGTTACTCGGAAATTTGATTGCTTGTTTTTTATTACATCACCGCAAATTTAATTTCCGCGAATTGAAAATTTTGGATGCATTAATGAGACTTTCTCCGGGGAAAAACCGAAATGTTACGTTGTATCGGTTTTTCCAAATCCGAACGTGATCGTGAGATTTCGCAACATTTTGGAATTCGCTCAGGATTGACAGGAAATTGCAAAGGCCACTCCTTGAGATGAAGAACCGTTCGATAGTACCAGATGCATTATTAAAATCGATAATTGCGCCGTTTAGACGCAGTCAACGACCATGACTTCGTCTTTAGTGACCAAAGCACATGAGTCACTTTGGAGAAAGTGGCCCCAAGAATTTTACTTTTCTTTTTTCAATTTCACAATTAATGGAATTTTCGGTGAATCACTTTTATAGAAAGATTTAGGATACCGGTGGGTACCTGTTACGTAATCTATTGTTCCAATTAAAAAAAAAAATTATTTGCATGAAGTAATAAATATGGCTATTATCTCTCGGCGGTATAACTAGTGGTATTTATGGTTCTGCTAAGCAATTTACATTTTAAACGAGTGTTAGAAAAATTAACAAAATGTTGGAATATTCCATTGTTTGTAACCTTCACGTGTGAATATTGGGCCGAAATTTGGTCAAAAGTGACCAACTGATGCGTAGCAAAACGGAAGAGACCATTAGGGAAAACCCCCATTAATTCGCACATTATTTACCCGCGATAGCGCCGTGAAAATCTTAAATACATAGCAACAGAATAATAATTATCATTGTAGCCGAGGAATCCGTTGATAATTTTTACTCAATTCGACCTCTGGGGCTTCTTCGTGTGATAAGCGACTTAACTCTAAAGCGTAAAAATCCACTTACCGTGTCTTTCATGTCAGTTTTCCGTAATAGAACCATATTGTTTAGCACAAATTGCACAAATGTTTAAACAAAGTTTGTATCCATCGACAAGATCCAGATTTTATTTAAAAAAAAACGTTTCAGCGAAATTTTTTAACAGTAGAGTCAAAAAAGTGAAGCAAGCGCGAAACGTACCGTACTCTACGATTGCTATCGACTCAATGTTGGCAGTGCTCTTCACGGCCTACTTTGCTTCTCTCCTCCAAGAAACAAATGAAAGATTTAAGTGTGTAAGCAACTTGACTAGCTCCCTTAGCTATTATCATGTCTGAGATAATTGTTATGTGGCTGCATAGATTGTGGTTGCGGTTTGCCCTTTCGGTGGTTGCTCATTTGGAAATTCTTTCAACCTGACTTTTGTGACTTTATTACCTAATTAAACATATTGAATTATTTAAAAATTCTTTCGATCTGACTTTTGTGACCATTGCCTATAACTAAAATTTAATTAAATATCAAATATTCCAAAAACGTGGACTAATTTGTTGTTATTCAGGAAAAAACTGGAGGTAATATAAATATCATCGATTAAAAGTTTCCATCAGCTAATTTATTACACCAAATTAATACACAAGATTTTATTAATTTCTTTGTAACTTATGTGAATAGAAAAAATCATAAAAGCTCACTAATATAGAGACATAAAATCAGAGGTTTTAGATTGTGATTCGTTCAATTTTATGCATGATTTAATTTTACTGCTGTTGCAAACTTTAATAATTGTAGCAAGGTATATTGTATCTAGAACAGATCAAAAGAAAAAATTTAGGAATGAGTAATAAATCTATTCTTATAAACGAGCAAATATACAACACAAAGGTATTAGACATTTTTGTTGTATCTAACAGTTCTTGTGACATACATTGAGTGACTGGATTTTCATTGAATAAAAAATATTAATTTCATAAATTTACCGTAGGTAAATTTAAAAATAGTACTTCTTATTAACACATTTTAAAGATTAAACCTAAGCTAATCAGTTCGCAAAATTTTAAAGTTAAATTATTAAAATATTCGGAGTTCATCGAAATTCCTAATAAATCAGAATTAAAAAAAAACATTATACTAAGTGAAACAAACGCTTGCTAAAAATTTAAAGCTTAAAGATTAAAGTTATTCAAATGTTTTTAATAACATTTTAAAGGTAAATTTTTATATAGCAAAATATGAGTAAATGACGATTGATACACGACGATTTACTCGCAACTTCAAAATTCTATTACTATAAGATATTTTTTAAAAGTAATATAAAATAATCTATGTAATAAAAATTATGTTTGCAAAATTTCTGCTTTGGATAGATTATAGATCTATACCTATACAGGGTGCGCCAGAACTCGCGCCCCAGAGCAAAATGCCATATAAAATAGGACACCAGAAACATGGAAAAAATGTTATAAAAAATTATCTATTAAAATTTCGAAGTTATAAGAGTTTAAATTTGACTGTATTTATTTCTGTTGGAAAAATAATTTTCCAAGTTTTTTTGCTACGGCTATTAGAAGTGGAAACAAGGAAGCTGTATCCTAAATTGTAACTCTGTTTAAGGTTATTTGTGGCTTTTATTGGCAAAATTTTTGTACCTTTACTAAATAATTATAAAAAAACATATACAAGATCATCAGTATTATTAAATAGACATAAAAAAATGTCAAATGTTGAAAAATAAATGTCAAAATTTTTTGAGAAATAGAATTTTTTAAATATTTTTTCCATGTTCCTGGTATCTAATCTACTTGAAATTTTTCACTGGGCGCGAGTTCTGACACACCCTGTATATGCGGCCATGTTTTGTTTTGGTCCATACCTACTATTACTAAATATTTTACATTCTTTTTAAACTTGTAAATTTTTTTAAAGTGTCGCAAAGCAACTTTCGAAAATGTAATTAAAATTACAAAAACATAAGAAATTAAGAAAATAATGTAAAGAAATAACTTAAAGTCATACATTCAAAAATGTATAAGACCACAATAACGTAATTAGAAAAATCAGCGTTTGCCATTAAAAAATTGTGTATGTATAATTTATTTTAGATTTTTTCTAATATGCGTTATAGTAAATATTAGGTAAGTAATTTATATTAATCCGCTGAAACAAAATTGTATTACATATTTCTAGTTGTTCAAAACAAACTATGCCTAAATGTTGTTGTGTGCAAAAAAATGGATTGCCTGAAAAATTAATTTAGTTTACTCGTTTTCTCATACCTAGGTAAATTTTCTGCAGCATTACTATGATAAAGCGTAAAAGGATTACTTTAAAGTGTAAAAAATCAAACAAACCATAGATTCATTTAATTATTTAGTAGAATAAAAAACAAACAGTATTAAATTATTTAAATTCCAAATTATGGTGTTGAACAAAACAAACCTTCGTTTTCTTTGATTATGCCATAGCTACAACGATCAAATAAGCAACTTATTTCACACCCAGCAAACAAAAAAATATCAAAGACAATAACATCACAATAAATTTATAATTGGTACAGGTATAATTAGCTGTTAGAAGGAAGTGTGAACCATTTACAACGATATGGAACTCAAATCGAAAAAAACTCGAATACAAGTCAAGGGCACGGAAATGCCAACCATTTGTGATTGGTAGCCAAATTCTCTGAATGTGATTGGTTATCAGCCGAGATATTTTTCCAATACAATAATTGCACATTTCAAATAATCAAACCAAAAAAAAAAAAGACTAAACAAAGTTATCACAGATTTTAGCAGATATTTTTGTACTTTGACCACCAAAGTTAAATAATTTCTTATGGTGATAATAATGTGGTACTTTTTCGATTCCTTGTGGAAATTCACATTACCTGCTGTGTATTTAATTTCCCAACATGTCCAAGATGCATCTGTAATGTTGGTTTTACCAATGACTATTGTTTCTGAATCTAATTAAAACTATTGTTTGTGTCTTGGAATGCCCTATTATGTCATTATGTTAATTGTTTATGCACGTACTACGCAAATAAAAATATGTAGTAAAATGCGATTCCAATTAATCACGCACTGATTTATTTAAAAACCGATCCAGTTCCGCATTTTGATTGTTGAAATTTATTGTGGTATTTACTTAACAGTAACTACCAGCCGTATAAGAATTCAATAATTCATCTTGACAATGTATTAATTTGAATAGAAAATAAAAACGTGACTTTTAATAAAATTTAAACCGTCGTCATTTGATAATTATCACGGCAATTATCATGACGTTAGTAAATATGTAGCAGTGCAAATAAAAAACTATGAATTGATGCTCGTAAGCAACATGTGGTATGAATTAGGTATTGTGATGTGACGTCAAACTTGTAAAAAGTAATGAGAAAGCTAATGCAATATGCTCGACATGGTGAAAAGAAAGCTGTTGATGGCGCTGTGTGGTACTAAATGCATAATGGATAAAAATTTATTATCCGTAAAAATTACACAAATTTTTAAATGTCATTAGACAAGGAACTGGACTGCCTTAACACGGTATGAGAATTAGCACTAGTCTTTATATAGGGTACATTTTTTCGTTGCGAAGGTCTGTAATAATTAATTTCTGTTGTATCTTCAGGGTCTTTCGGTATCTTACTATCATGTTATGTAAAGCAAAATGCATGAGTCAGATAGAAATAATAAATCTTATCCCTTTTATTATTTCAAATTGTTTTAAGATATGGTATTGGAAATCATAAAGTTCACGCTTTGTGACCAAACTTATCACTCCACGTGTAAAAATTGCAGAGATCACATCTTTGTTTCGCAATCTTATTTCACAATCAAATCGCAAATTATCAAACGTTTGCAATGTATCATTTATTTTGATATTAGTGCTTAGTTAATTGAGCTTATTTTTACTAACATCAGTTTTCCATTTTCCACATTTGCAAAAAAATTGCCAAAATAATGTTTCATCATTTTGCCAAAAAATGCTTGTTCCGAATTAATTTCTACGTAAAAAATGTTGCGTTGTTTAGAACTCGCGCCCCAGAGAAAAATGCCATGTAAGATAAGATACCAGGAATATGAAAACAAATGTTAAAAAAATTCTACCTATAAAAATTTCGAAGTTATGAGAGTTTAAATTTTGCACTTTGACTCTATTTATTTCTGTTGGAAAAATAATTTTCCAAGTTTTTTTGCTACAGGCTATTAGAAGAGGAAACAAGGAAGCTATATCCTAAATTATAATTTATAACTATGTTTAACGTTTTTTGTAGCTTTTATTGACAAAATTTTTGTACCTTTACCAAATAATTATAAAAAAACATATACAAGATCATCAGTATCATTAAATAGACATAAAAAATGTCAAATGTCAAAAATAAATGGCAAAAAATTGAAAGAGATGTGTTTAAACATTTTTTTCATGTTCCTGGTATCTTATCTAACTTAATATTTTTCTCTGGGCCACCCTGTATTAAAAAAAATCCTGTTAAAAAACAATTTTATTAAGTTAGAGGGTTGCCATTTAAAAAAAATTGCAAAACTCGAAAACTAAAAAAAAATTCGAAAAATTATATTGTTGAAAAACGACCAGATTTTTATAGTAGGTACTTTAAACAACACTAATTATTATTTTTTTAAATTAGTTTATGTAAAAATGCCTGGTTCCGCACTTTTTATTCACCCGATATGTAATTTACGAGATATAAAACATCCCTTAATTACCTAATCCTTATTACTTGCTCTTATTAAGACATCAATTACTATAGAAAATAAAAACGTGACTTTTAATAAAAATTAAACCGTCATTTAATATAAATTCTATAGGCTCTCAAGGTTGTCAGTCCTAAATAAATCATTTCCCAATCAAGGGATGGAACGACGCGTTTCTGGACCATTAAAGATGGGCATAATATTATAGTCACTGTGAATAAAAAAATAAAAGCCATAATAAATTATACACAAGACTTTATCTGGAAATTTATTGCAAGACAAATAATATTGTTTTGCTTCATTATTTAAATAATTAATTATCTCTATTCAATTACTTAATCCATTTAGTCAAAACAATGAATAATTTATCATAATATGCGAAGTAACATTTAAGTTATACGCAATAAAAAATTGATATTAAAAAAAGTCAAAAAACGTTTTACGTATAGGTACCTACTAATGTTTATTAATTATTAATTTTATCCATGATTGAAAATGGCAGTAACAAAATATCAGCAATCTTCTGCAATTAATATGAGAAATGTACAGTACGTAAAGTTCAACTACTTACTTTAAATATTCATCATCTTTATATGGTACATAATAAACCTTGAATATTTACAAACTTTTATAAAATAATTTTCTCGTTATTTTAAATTAAATTCCACGTTATTTGTAATATGTATGAATCAAAGTGTGTTTAAAAACAACATGCGTTTAAAAATATGTCTTGAATACCAATCAAGTAAATCATAACTTTCACATATTCCAAAAACTAAAAAATATACGACTACTTTCATTTCAAATATTAGGATCGTTTTAATTTCTTATGTCATTTCACAACGTCAAACTTTGCGGTTTGCAAAGAATTATGTTAATCCCCATGTGCTAAAAAGTATTATACACGTAATGAGGACGTATCACTGGCACCTCCCATGACAATACCTCCATTTTACCATTCATCAAACTAAATTTAGAATTCGTTGTAATTACTATTACGAATTGCGGTTAAAATCGATTGATTTTATTTAGTTATAGAAACTTTCAAGGTTGTACCTATCATAGAAAAAATACCGGAAAATAAAATGAAGCGAGAATGGATATATGAAAGCAGATCAACATTTTGTTATATCGTGCGGTAAGCGAACCGGTTCGACAAGGCCGTCCAGGTTCTCATAAACTTGTAAAACTGTTAATTTAATACAAATAAAATAATGTTAAACAAAGTTAGGCCACCCACAACAACGGTAGGCAACCAGTAATACAATTGCAAATTTAATTATTAATAATCAAACACCCACACGGTCAAACAATCAAAATGTATATTTATTTTCGGAAACGTAAAGTTCAACAGGTCACAGAAAATGACTCAAAGGACGCAGAAGCTGAAAATGTGTTTCAGTCTTGCGCGGACACCCCACAAGACACCAATCCTCCCTTATTCTGAAACCCATAATGGATAGTTTTAAGTTGTGACAACTTAATCAAATTAAACACAAATGTGAAGAGTGAAAATAATGTGTTTCAAAACGTTACAAGTTGTGTCTTTGGGGCTGTTTTAATACAAACATTACACTCCGCGCGAGCGCGGAAAAATCGATCGTTCAAAATGAGTTCGAAAATGTCAACACGTCCTCGTAAACACAAGCACAAAGACGATATGAAGCAAGAAACTGTGGTCCAAGTACATAAAACAGTCAAATCTGAGACAAGTTCCGATGAAAAGACTAAACTAAACGAAGATAAAAATGACAACTATAGCACTAATACACCAAGTCGGGAAATCTCCGTTGATGAGGAGTCCCAAATCAATTCAAAAATTCTCTCGCTCATTGAAAGTGAAATGAAACGAGATGCCAACAAACACTCACACTTTACCGATTCCAGGCCCCAAAGTTTGAGCTTCTACGAGGACGAAAAAGTGCCAGAGGAGCTCTCAGGTAATCTAGAATTGTTAAGTCCTGAAGAAAGAAAACATTATAAGAGACGGCGAGAGTACGGCCAAATGGACATGGACGAAATGAACGCTTATAATGTGATTCAAGATTTGTACAACAGTCGAGACGGAGATGAAATCATATCATCTACGAAAAAGTCAAAATCGCGAAAAAAACGACACGGGGACTCAGAAACCGGAATCGGTGACAGCAGAGAAATGATGATCCCGAAAGAGAAGAAGAAAAGCAAGAAAAAGAAACGGGAATCTTCACCAACTGCCAAACGCAAACACAAAAAACGAGATGATGATTTCGAGCCGAAGAACGACATTACTGTGGCACTAGAAGAGCTCCAAGATGACGTCTTCGAAAATAATGAAGAGTTCAAAGTCGAAAAAATCAAAAAGAGTCCGAAAAAGTCCGACAAGATTTACGTCCAAAAGAAAAATAAGTTCGAAGCTGTGACCAAACCAAGTAATCTAAACCGGCAAAGCGCCTACGAGCTTGAGGAAGACATATCTGGGAAAAAGTAAGACTTTTGAAATCAAAATCTGCAAAAATTGGTTTTAGATTTCAGACATATCACCCGTTGGAGTTGGCCATCCCATTTCAGGAATATTGGATGCGGTTAACTACGTTTTGTCACGGTTTATTAGGGGGGCTGGCTTTAGGCCATTGGTTGTATATTATTAGCAATATTTACAATCAAGATAGCGAATTTATTTCGCACTACTCCCACTTTAGTGATACTTACGTATCGTGCTTTTATTTCCTTTGTGTCATCTGCCTCATATCCGTATTTGAGAAGTAAGAAAAAATCAAGTTTGTAACTGGAGTTAAATTTTACATTTCCAGAATCGATTTTGCTCATTTTGAAGGAGCTCAATTTAAAAATTTATTCAAACTTAAGAAGAGTTCTTCAGTGATACTCATCTACTTCACCTGTCTGGTTGTGCACCTCTCAGCTGCCCGAATAGACTATAAATTAGGTTTAGTATCATATGACAACGACACCATATCAAATGTAAGTTTTCAGTAATTGTTTACAAAAATTTCATAGTTGTTTTCAGATAACAAGAAGTGAGCTTACTCAATGGAACCATTTATCGCTCTGGCGTTCGATTTTAGCTTTTCTTGCTTGGATTATTGTTGGCTTATCCCCACAAGAAAATATGTTTTATATAAATCTTAAAAATATGGAAAAGTATCTTCCACAAAAATGATACTTGAATGTTCTTTCCTCGTCAGTCTACGATGTGATAAAAAATAAATAAAGAAGACTGTACCATTTATTGACTAGTTAATAAAGAATTATAACAACTTGCATTAATAAAAAATTAATTTTTCAAACATCGAGCTAGAGTTAAAAAATTACAACCAACATTTAAAAATGTTGACGTAAACTATGTCACAATAGACGCCAAGAAGGGTTTCAACGGAAGTCCATTAAAATTGTTTATATTTGGTGTGCTTCGTTTCAACTGATTCAACATTACACACCTTTTTCTAAATATTCACTGAATTGTGCGTATAGTAAAAATGTTAAAAACGTTTTATAAGTAAATAAATAGTAACCTGAGTACAAATCTAAGTTAATTATCACAAAGAGACGCAGAATAAAGCTACAAAAGTCTAAAGAAACGTCGTCCTATCAGTCGGACCCTCCACAGCGTCCAAATTCTTCAATTTAAAGTACAACTTGCATCCAAAAATAATTCCAAAAATCTGCACAACACAAATTCCAAGTCCTACGACACTTAGAATAAATAAATGGTTTTCCATGTGAAGAGCCATCAAGTCGAGGCACCCCTTAAAAAAAACAGTTAAATTAATTAAATTAAATAAAAATAGAAGTTACCGAATAATTAATGTTAGAGGGATGGTCACTGCTACCGCACCCCTTCGAGACAGTTTTACAGCAGGAATCAGGAACAACATTTTCAGTTTCGTGATCAGTCTGTAACCACTCACTGTACTGCCAATCTGTAAAACTCACAGCGCCGCAGCAGCGAAACTGAAATTTATTTCGGTTAAAATTTCAAACAATGGAATGTGGAAATATACATTTTCCTGCAAAAAATCCACAGCTTCGGTTTTATCATCTGAGATTTTGTACGTGCTGAGGAGTGTGTTATTTAAACTCATCTCTAATTCGGTTTGCACGTTCTCCTCGTAAATGTAAGCCACGACGCCGACCATGGCTTCGATTAGAAAAATAAGTACAAGTGAAAAAATGTACTGAAAAAAAATTGTAAAAATTGGAAATTTGGTTTCTCTTAAATCGTACAAAAACTAATAAAAGTCGGTTGTTTTTAAGCACGGCATAGCAGCCCATAATTGCGACAAAAATGACTAGACCTCCTGCTGCCAGAAGGAAATATACGATGATGGGGTAAGTTAGAGATGCTAGAAGGGTTACATATTGGTATCGGTCGATCATCGTCCATACTGCGACTCCAACGACCCCAAAACCTGCAAGCTAAAAAATAATTACTACAAATTGTCAACAAATCAGATCCGTAGCTAGGAGGGAAAATATTCTGAGCCCTAGTTTAAAACTTTACCTTTTTTAACAACATTCTTTAGAAATAATAACGCATCAAATTATTATACAGACGAACCAAAAGTAACGCGCAAAATTCATATCATTGGTTGAGTCACTTTTCAAAAAAATCCTCAAACAGGTCGATTTTATTTTTTTAAATGCTACGAGTACATCTTCACACTATAGTGACATATATGGCTCGAGTAATGACATCATTTTATTTTTTTTTATGTCAACCGACATTTTTGTTACTGTTTTAGACAGTATATATCGTTATCTATCTGGTAAGCATAAAATAATTCAAAAAAATAAAGGAAAAAAAATGCAAAAAAAGAATAAAATAAAAAAACAAAACGTTATGGAAATTTTTATACAGGATGTCTTACGAGTAATAAAAAGCCTGATTTTTTTTTGAAGCAACCAACATTACATTTCATAGATAACGTGGATATTAATATACAGGCTGAATATAAAGAATGGAACCAAGCGGTTTTATTTTTAATCATTTGCCTCCGGAAAATAATAATTAATATAAATTAAAGTAATATAAAAAATGTGATCATAATTTCATAACGAAATTTTGTTTTGTTTTTGAGTTATGCGATTTTATTTTGTCAAAATTGCAATTTATGTGAAAAAAATTTTTTGAGAAAATTAAATATAAAGCAGATAGTTGTAATCTTTAGAGTATAGCTTTTATAAAAAAAATGATTTTATAGTGGGTTGCCATTTCAAAAAATTATTTTTTTTGTAGAACTCAAAAATAAAAGGAAATTTCGAAAAATTTTATGCTTGTTAAATCATCACATTTTTATAGTACTTTAGCACTCATCAATTAGTTTTTTCAAAAAATAAATAGTTTAAGCAAAAAACGTTTGGTTCCATACTTTTTATTCACCTGGTATATCGTTTTAATTAGTTAAACATAGTAATCGTATTTTTAAGCGTTTTCAAACATTCTTCACAAATGAGAATCTTGTTGGTCTTTTCGGCAACATTTTAATAATTCTCACAAAATTCTTCAAGGTTTGTTTTTTTTATAAATCAAAGTTGAAGTGTGCTGTTTGGTCACTATGTTTAATTTATTAAAACTAGATATTTTAATATCCATGTTATCTTTGAAATGTAATGTTGGTTGCTTCAAAAAAAAAATCAGGCTCATTATTACTCGTGGGACACCTGTACCATGTTCTTGCTTTATTTTATAAGGGGTAATTGTTTTTTGTTTTTATTTTTTTGTGTTTAGGTTTCATATTAAGTGTTTTCATGCTAATTATTTTAAAAAATACACAAAAAATAATTGCCCTTTATAAAATAAGGCAACAACAAAAAGAAAAAGATTTTTTTGTAAAACGACCGCTAACAAAGATATGAATTTTGTGCTTAACTTTTGGTTCAGTCTGTATTAGCAATTAGCAATTGAATAAAATTCAGGCTTAAAAAATGTTCGAAGGAGGTACAGGAAATAAAGTCTTCTTACACAAAAATTAAAGCTTATATTAGTTGAAACATGTTTCGGGCGCTAACTAGTCCCATCTTCAGTCTAGATTGATAATAATAAACTATAAATTTTTGAAGGTGAAGTGAAGCATTCTCGATCACGGCGTTAAAACAAAAAAATGTACCTATTTTGATTTTTAAGCAAACTTTTGTTCGTTTTGAAATTGATAAACGAAAATATACTCGTTTTCATATTATGTGCATCAAAGTAGTCGTTGAAAAGGAACAATTTGAGGTGGCAACCATGCGAAAATTCAAACAATCCTAACATCAACTTCTCTAAAAATTATTTTTTCTTAAATAAATGTGTACCCCAGATAGCAAAAATAAATAAAATTAACAACGTAATTAACATAGAGTAGCAAACAAAGATTTTTGCCATTATTAATGTGATTAAATTTGTTCTGAATGACATTAATGACACTTTTGTGTGAACCGGCCTTTAAATTAAAGATGCATTTAGATTTCTACAACCTAATTGATGCACATTAATATGAAAAAGAATATAGAAGATTCATATTATTTACAATTACAATTTAAAAATCATTATCTTTTTTAAATTTGATTCAATGTGCTGCTTTTTTTGTTTTTTTATATCGAAATTTGGAACCTTTAGAAATAAATGTGTACTATAGAAAACTGCAGAACTGTTCTAGCCCCACTAATAATTTTGGGCGCCCTACCTGAATTGTTTTTAGCTACGGGCCTGCAACAATTAAAACCTCACGGCCCAGTTAGCATAAATTAATAAGCATAAATGTTAACTATTCGAATATTAAAACAAATTCTTTTTGCAAGGAAACAATAACAGATTGTTTCATTTTCGAGATTGTCGGTGGGTGGCCTAATCCCGACAAAAATGTTATGATTGGATAGGTAGGTATGAAAGTTTTATTGTTTGATTTCGTCGTGGGTTCAATGGTAGCACCAGCTGCTATTACCGAGTTAAAAGTAAACATTTTTCGAAATAAGGTACAATAAAAGTGAATAAACAGCTCAGATAACGTCTGAGAGGAATTTAATACGTATGGCGGCTCTGTAGACATATAATTTGGAGGAGTTTGCGTGCCGTCTGTAGGTGTACTTATATAATAAGGGCCATCGATGAGTATAAAGGAGTGCCTTTTTACTGTGAGAATCTCATCGAATTTAATAATTGATAATTAAAATGCAGAATGCACCCATTCACAAATAAGGAACTAATGTGGGCGTGACTTTACGAAAAGTTGAACGACCATTATCACACTTACCAAAAAGATTATATTGAAGAAGTTTAAAACGTTTTTGATAACGTTCAAGCCGCAGCATTCTCTGCTGCCCATTTCGATGGTAGGTTAATGCCGTTTCGCCTCCATCTGTGAAAAATATTTTTCGTTATTTATAGGAATTGTTTGGGTCGTAAAATTTTATAGCTAATCCTGCCAGATTCATCCTGAAAATAGCATGAATGAACGTCAGGTCAATTTCTAATTCCTCATATGGTCAAAGCTGGTCGTTTTTATTGATGATTACAGAAGCGTCCTTTCCGTTTTCCTTAAGTGGTTTAAGGTCACGATTTCCAATTGACGGAGAGTAATGATCTTTTGTCTCGCGACAAGAATAAAACAATTCGTGTAAGCACATTTATTACATCTGACTTAACAAAATATATAGAAATATACAATTACATTTCACATCATATACAAAATGTCTCGGAGATTTTTTATAAAATAAAAATTAATGTAAATATTGGAATTTCCGTAGTATACACAGCACGTACGAGTAAACATAACAGAATATAATAAAAAGTTAAATCACAATTGTTTTGGCTTGGAAATAAACACGATAGATGTATAACAAGGCAAGAAAAACTACTCGAACTTTCTCAAAGTGTCTTCCAATCTACTCACTATATTTTTATAATAATTAACCTGTTCTTTTAAAAATGACCTCATGGCTGACCTAAATTCGGTATTCATCTCAGTCTGAAAATGATCAAGTTCGGCAAAAACCGAGTAAGTTAAAACATCAGTGCGTTTCCTAACTTCAGTGATTTGTAAATGTGAGAATTGCGTACTTCTTTCACACTCTTTCTTCTTTTGTTCGGCATGTTTTTGCATCGAGAAAATATCAGGATACGAACTCGTGATCCCTCTGTATAAATACAGCTTATCGGTTAAAGGCTGCCAGTCGATTTTAGCCTGATCTTCGCACAACTTTGCGATTTCAATATAAGTGGTCCCAATCTTCTTCACATCTGAAACAATCGAATTATTCCAAGTCTCCAAATCAATGCAGTACCTGTGGCCAAATCGGAGAATAATCCACCTTCTCGATTCTCAAACGCGACCCCTAGTTGGAAAAAACTTTCCCCAACTTTGGTGTGCTCTCTTTTATACAAATTCTCGCATTTTTTCTGCTGATCGGACGCCGTCTGCATCAGGCCTTTTATGCACTGGTCCATTTGGGTAATGTACGATATGCTACTCTCAATTTTACTTTCAATAGTGGACGCTAATAAATCCTTCTCTGGGGCTTCGATACACAGACAAAAATTCGCTCCGACTAGCTGATCTCTTTCCGCTTTTCTCTTCCCTTCCTTCCACTGTTTCTCATTCGTGCAGGTGAGAAAATGCTTCCAAACGTCACAGGTGGACAACACCGGATGTCGACACACATAATTGACAAACTCCTGCAGCTGCACTCTCCGATGCTCGATGAAATGCTCCTCGTAGCGGCCCGAGATTTGTTTATCCGGCAACGGGGGAATCGCGATTATGTTGAACTTCTCGGAGAGTCTGTCGTGTAGCCAATCGAAATGTTTGTAACGCCGTGATACTTCGATTCCGGTGAACGATGGTGTTAATTGGTATGCGATGAATGACTTGAGGCCCCCCATTTTTGATGCCTTTTTTGGTGAGGTTACTTGGACTGTGTAAGGATCCGGGATCAGTTCCCATCGAAACACGTTGTCGTTTTCGCGAAAGATTCGAATTTTTGTGTGGGATGGGATGTCTTTCAAGGTGCCTGAAAAGCGATTGATCGATGAGGGCCGACGTTCGCGCCTCGGTATAAAAAAGATTTGTAGATTTTTTGCTCTCCGAAATATAAAAAACAAATTAATTAGCAAAAACAATCAGAAAAGAGTAAAGCTCAAAATATCCTATTCAAATTTATGTATTTATGTTTCACAACTGTTGATTGGTTAATAATATGGACACTAACCAATTTATGTTTAAATTTAAGCTAACAGTCCTTAATTAAAATATATGTACATATAACAAGCGAGTGTATAAATTAACATTAAATTTGAATTTTGTTACTTTAGAATTCACAAAACAATACACACTGACACATTTATCCTGTCTAAAAAACACTCAGAGGTAGAGTAAAATAGACGGATAAAAATATTCCCATTTAATTTAAAAAGCTGCCCATTTAATTTGAAAAAAAAAACAATAATAAAAAAACACTTATAAAATCCTAGAGTATTTCAAATAAAAAATCATATAGCATCCCATTTTGAAAATTACAAAAAGGACTTTATTTAAAATGTTCCATTGGAAAAAATAAAACGCCAGCTAGAAATTTTACCTACTTTGAAAAAAAAATTATAAAAAAATTTAGTTCAACTGTTGTATTCTTTGTTATAATAAGTAACTTCTACCGAGTGAATAAAGTACGCCATACCTTTTCTAAGCAGTTGTACTCTTGCCTAAAAAAATTTGAATCGTATGGTGTACTAAATCCAGGGTGTTTCAGAACTCGCGGCCCAGAGAAAAATGACACTTAATATGAGGTAAGATACCAGGAACATAGAAAAAATATTTAAAAAATTCTGTCTCTAAAAATTTCGAAGTTATGAGAACTTAAATTTTGCACATTGACTCTATTTATTTCTGTTGGAATAATTTTCCATGTTTAATTGCTGCAGACTATTGGAAGAAGAAACACGGATGTTGTACCCTAAATTGTAAGTACAGTTGGGGAATTAAAATTTCGGGCAGTATTTTTCTGTCACTTTCAGAAGTTCACTGTAAACTACCTTTTACTGTCATCATGACTGACATTTGACAATTAAACTTTTTTTTTGTTATTAAAATTGTTAATTAAACAGTTTGTCTATCTTAGGAAATTTATTAATTGAACTAAGTGTAATTAAATCTTTTTTTTTTGATCTGCTACCTACCCGTTATTATGTCACAAATCACTATTTTCGAAAGTAAATAAGTCAAATTGACATAAACTTGACAAGAGTAAAAAATGAGGTTATTAATGTAAAGGTTGCTTTAGAGTTTACATTATGAAAATGACAATACTGCCCGAAATTTTAATTCCGCAACTGCACATAACTATGTTTAACGTTATTTTGTGAGTTTTATTGGCAAAATTTTTATACCTTTACTAAATAATTATGAAAAAACATATGCAAATCATTAGTAACACTAGCCATAAAAAAAATGTCAAATGTCAAAAATATGTCAAAATTTTTTCACAGAATTTTTCTCTTTTCCTGCATGTTTCAAGTTCTATTCGCACCCCGATAAACTCCTTATTCTAATTTAAAAAATTAGGTGATTAGGTGAACAGAAAAATAATTTTAAAATGTTTAGACACATATGCAAATCATTAGAAACACTAAATAGACATAAAAAAAATGTCAAATGTCAAAAAAATAAATGTGAAATTTTTTTGACAGAATCTTTTTTTCCTGTGATTCAAATTCCATTCGCACCCCGATAAAACCCTTATTCTAATTAAAAAAAAATTTGGTGATTTTTGAAACAAAAAAATTATTTCAAAATTTGCATTTGCAAATCATTCGTAACACTAAATAGACATAAAAAATGTCAAATGTCAAACAAATAAATGTCAAAATTTCTTGACAGAATTTTTCTCTTTTCCTGTGATTCAAGTTGTATTCGCACCCCGATAAACCCCTTATTCTGATTAAACAGGTAATTATTTAGGTAATTTTCGGAATCAGAAAAATAATTTTAAAATGTTTAGGCACTTGTACACTTGGTTTAATGACATTTGCTTAAGTAATTATAATTTAAAGTTAATTTTTTTTTGTTTCAAAGTATTTTTTTTTTAAATAAAATTTAAATTTTTGCAGATTTTGATTCGGTTACGCATTTTTAATCATGTAAAAGACAGGTAATGCGATTTTTTGGTAACATCACTTTTTTTAAGTTTGAGGGAACAAATAAATAGATAATTAATCCTAGCAAGATTAGATATTAATTTAGTGTAGTAATTTTATTATTAATTTTGGTTTATTTAATTAAAAAGTGTTTTGGGGTGTGCAGATAAAACTTTATTGGTAATAGAATGGATAATCGAGTTTCATAAAAAAACATTCTGGAGTTCTGAAACTTACTCATAAAAGAAAGCAAATTTTTTAGTTGTAACGGAACAATGTGAGCCAATTTAAAAAATATTTACCGCTGTCGATTAATTAAAGATTTTCTTTCTTTAAAAAAAATTGGTCTCTTTCTTTAGTAGATTATTGCAGCTGTAAAGAAACATTCAAGAAAAAAGTGCCACATTGTATCATAAGTTTTAGGTATTGTTAAACACTGTTTACTATTATTCATGAAAAAAATTGTTGAAGGATTTCTTTAAGCTGTTTTGTGTTTTGTTAAATATTGACCGTGTAAAACCGCTCAATTTAAGATTATTCATAATCAATTATCAAACTCAGTAAAACATTCAATTCTTATCTTATTTATATCTCAAGAGCAAAACAAATATTGATCTTTTGCATACCAAAGGAGCCTTAAGCATAATAAATGGTATAATTAATGCCCCAGTAGAGTAAGACCAACAAAACTAACGCAACTTCCTAGCTGAACAAATATTACCGAAAATATAGCTTTCTAATCCACTTTTGACATAGGACGAGAAAATATTTAAACTCTTCTTGGTGACTCTATTATCCACATTATAACTACTTTCTGAAATATTATCCACTTGTCCACTCCCATACGCGAACTGATTCTGGTTGGGCTCGTTAGTGTAATGGGACTCCCTTTGTGCATTATTAGCAATCTCGCTGTATGTGTCATCATTATCCCACTCGTCATCCCAATCGTCGTCTTGTTGCGCCCCTGTCCAGTCGTTCTGCGGCGGCAGGGCTGGGGGCGGCATACTCGGCGGCGCTGCCTCCTCCATTTTAACAACATAGGCCTCGGGGAAGAGCCCCGACTTGCCACGGGAGTTCAGCCCTTCCCACCATCCTTCGCCGATGTCGATTCTCGTAACCGTCAGTACTTCACCGGCCGTAATTGAGAGCTCAGCGGAGTTGGACTCGCCGACGAAGTCGTAAAGGGCTTGGACTTTGAATAGGGCCATTACGGAGGGATTCACTCGAAAATGTCAAATAATGGCATTAAGTGGGAGGCTTTGAACTTTCACGATGACACTTGGATAACCTATAAATTGACAGTTGAACACACAACACTACACTTAGGTTTAAGGCACTTGTCGCGCTGCGGATTGTAAATTTAAGCTCGATTTTTCCAGGAAAGTGGAAAATACAGGACGAATTAGGCGGATTTATTTATCTTTAGCGATCGTCATCACTTTCCTGTCAAATGCAGGTGGTTACTGCGAGGCACGTGTGGGGGCGCCACTAACAACGGCGGGAGTACACTACACATCAACATTAATTTCGCAGTTTGTGTATTCGAGGTCGGATTGTAATGGACAGGTTGTTGAGTCATATTTCGTTCAATAAAAACTAAATAAATGCAATGAAAAAATAAGCGGTGCCGCCTTTTAGTTTTATCTTGCTTAATCGGAGTGTTTTATGGACCATCTGCTTATTTGGCTATTGAAATAGTCGAGAACTATTTACTGCTGCATATATTTTCAGTTATAAACATTTACATCAGAGATCAGATTGAGCGGACTTGGTTTGTTCACAAATAATTATGTACGCCTCTTCTATTCACATGAATAAAACATTAAGAAGTGATTGATTGATAAAAAATGCACTACAGACTACTTAAGGAGTACCACCTGTTCGATGGTCTTTTTATCATATTGATTTTAATAATTCAATCTTAGTATATCTGATTAAAATAATTATAAGCTTCAGACATTTCATAATGACCTGAATTATTATAAAAAGTCGATTCAATTATTCAAAAAAAAACATATATTTGTGTCTTCCAAACACAGAAATTATAAATGCGACTTTTTAAAGCCTGCTAGGTACAAGATTAAAATAATTCTTCCATACTTAAATTTAATATCATCGTTATGCAAAAAAATGTCAAAAATTTAGCACAAAATAAATAAACAAATATTTTAAACATTCATAATTCAATTATTTGTATTAATTTTTACAAAGCATAAAAACTCAAAACAGTAATAATTTTATAAAAAATCAAAATAAAAAATATGTCTGACAAAATACTAAATTTGATAATCTTTTGTCAATAAACCAGTGATAAGAAAGTTTTTTTAGGTTGATAAGCAGAGAAAAAGTGTATCTATAGTGTGAAAACATTTTTTACTTCTATTGTTAATTGTAGTACTTAAGAATATACCAAATTTCAAAAGATTTAGTACACTTTTTTAATTTTTACACTCAAGATTAATTGTTTATATAATTTATTTTGTTGTTATAGTTATCAAATTTGATTTGTTCTCAGAATGATAGATCCGTTACCAAATTATTAACACCAAATTGAAAGAATGGAAAAGAAAGTATGAAACCAAGCGTTTATTTTGCCTTCAGAAAATAATAAATAATATAAATTAAAGTCCTATAAAAATTTCATAGTGTTTTGAGAATGAAATTCTGTTTTGTTTTTAGTTATGCGATGTTTTTAAAATAGCAACTTGTATGAAATTTTTTTCGATAAAAATTGAAAAAAGTGTTGATACTTGTAATCCTTAGATCGTAGCCTATCTAAGAAATAGTAGATTATGTCACTAAGAGTAGAAGTGAGTCGTGATTTCACTGTGTAAAATGTTCCAAATGACCTCATATTTGACTCGGTCCAGCCTCCTGTGGACATTTCAACTATTAGGACTTGAAGTACCTATTTCAACTTCGGTTACAAAAAAGGCCACTTCTATAGAGACATATAAAGGCGCAAGATTTATATTAGGTTGTCATTTGAAAAAATTAAAAATTGAGAACTCAAAAACAAAACAAAAGAAATACAAAAAAATATTTTTGAGAAACGTCACATTTTAATAGTACTTCACCATTCATCAATTAGTTTTTTTAGTAATTATTTGAGAGAATAAATTAATACAACCTGGCACCAAAATAAATGTTTGTCATCAATCGAAATCCTCTGACTTTGAAAATCAATACCAGAAATTATTTTTATCCCAAATTAAAGTAAATATTTTCAAAAACATACATAGATCTAAATTTATAGCAGTATATTATTTTGTATTTTATTCTTAAAAAAACATTTTTGTAGTAAATACTTTAAAAGGCACTAAATATTGTTTTTGAAAAGTAAATATTTTAAGTAAAAAATATTTGGTTCCATAATTTTCATTCACCTTGGTATATACATTTTAAATGCTTGATTTAGGATCTTCAATTCAGTGTAATATGAATATTAAATGTCACAACTACGAATTTCGTCGTTCAAGCATTTTAAAATTTAAATGGCAGACATCCAAAAAAGCGACTAAAATTAACATAAAAACAATGTATGACTTATCTTGTATCACTGGAAAAACCAAAATCTCAACATAAACAAATTTCAACTCCTGTTTGTTGCAGTACGCGGAAAACTTTTCATCAAATTTTACAAAATAATTAGTTTGATTTAAATAAAACGGACATACCAGCGGTTATACAGTAGAAATTTATAAAACCACGAAGTCGAGTTCTGGTTAAGATTTTTAACGATGTAAGGAAACCTTATTAGGCGTTCTTTAATCCGACTTGCACTCGTTGAAATACAATTTATTTCGCGTGCAGGAAAGCATTGAAACCTTTTATCATTTTGCTACTTGGCACAATTTTAGCGCTAGTAAATTTGGACGTCCAATAGATTTTCAAAGTTGCCAGTTAAGATTATATCCTCTCCACTGGCTTCGCATACAGAAATAAAATTATTACAAAATGCAACTCAATACAGGGGATAATTTTAAATCTTGAACATCGAAATAGTTTAGTTTCAGACATGAACTTATTAACTATGTTTGGAGATACATTATCAAAAAGCAATTTCTTAATTTTCACGTATGTGTTAAAATTAGAAAACTTGTCATATTTTCCTGTTTCATAATGGGAAGGAATTTTTAAAATAAATAAAAAATATCTTTACTCAAGGTGGAGGCTCAACAAATACTAGTAAGAGTGTCATCATGTAAATTAAATTATTATGAATAAGAAAGTGTTACTTTTTTTCTTTTTTTTACATTTTTCAGAAGTGAGTAACTATTGCAATTTGCCAACTTAATTAATACTAAAATTTTATTAACTTTAAAAGATTATTAATAATAGAAATTTATGTCGCTACGTCACAATCGACCTTTTATCAACGATAATTTATAACCTTTGATAAATAAAAGTAAGTTAAATACAAATGCAATATTTTCTTGTGACTTAACCGTCTGCTTTACATTTTGTTTATTTTTCATTGACAAAAAAATTGTTAAAAAAAGGTTTTGCATAAATTTAAATGTACTATACATCGTTTAACCTTGGTGAAATAAAAACCTGGCAAGACAAGCAATTATTGCTACCTCAACAAACCAATACAGAACTTAAATTAAGCATTTCATATTAATCATCTAATTGTTGAATGATTTGTTAAAAAAAGGAAAAATTATTACAACTTACTTGATACGATTTTTTTGTAATTCAAAGACGTTGTAATATTACATTGCCACAATTTTAAGCATATAAGAAATTTATGTTAATATTTCAACCCACGATGTTTCTTTCAAGCAACACAGCACAAAATATCCCACTTTAGCTTGTCAGTTGCGACTGACGGAGGAACGGATTAAATTTCTAACGTACGCGTGCTCTTACATCACGTGACTTGGTAGTTGATGGGTAGGACCAAGCGCAACAATGGGTTTATGACCATGGGATGGGAGTGATTTTCGGATACTTCCGCCAAAAAAAAAATTGATAAAGTCTTAAAAATATTTTATTTCTGCAAAACTACAATAAAATAAAACAAAATGGAACAATGGCGATAGCATTGATACAGCTTCGTTTTCAAGCGGCAGCTGTAAAAAAATATAATATAAATGTGATAACTGATAACAGTTTATTCGATACTGATAAGCAAAATTATCGATTTGTACCTTCTATAATGGGAGTTGCTGGTGTTTCAACTGGCGGCACCTCAGTTACAGTTTCAGCGGGAGGCTCAGATGCAGTTTCTGCAGGAGCGGCTTCAGCAACAGGTGCAGTTTCAGCAGACGAAGCTTCAGCTGGTGGTACTTCAGCCGGTGGTGCTTCAGCTGGTGTTTCTGCTGGCACTGCTGGTGTTTCCGCTGGTTCGGCTGCAGGGGGCGCTTCCGCAGGAGCTCCTTCAGCAGGAGCTTCTCCAGCAGGAGCCGCTGGTGCTTCACCTTCCGCCGTTGGGGCTGCTGCAGCTACATATAAAATATGAATAATTAACTGGAATTGACAGAGTTTCGCATGGGAGACGATCGTGGAGTGCTTGATGATGACGTGATCATGAAGCACTTACCACTCTGTTTCAGTTTATCCAAGAGTTGATCTAAACTCAACTGAGGCTCTTCCGGGTTATCACTCGTCAAATCAACAACTTTATATTTAAGTGAATTTTTTATGTACAAAACCACGCCATCGCCACTACCCTTACGATTCTCTACTAAAGAATAATTGGGGATAGAAACTACTTCTTTGTTTTCAGTGGGGGCTAGGACTGTTTCAGGTAAAGCAATTATATCGTAATTTTCGTGTATTACAAGTTGTTTAAAAGTCTCGAATCCTGAAATGAGCAGCAACATCATTGTTGTAAGGTGACCGGTGTCACCTTAGATACTCACCGCCTGTTGGTTCTTCAGGTTGAGGGGCTTCACCTTCTGCGGGTGGAGCGCCTTCTGTAGGTGGTGCACCTTCAGCAGGTGGGGCACCTTCAGCAGGTGGGGCATCTTCTGTAGGTGGCGCGCCTTCAGCTGGTGGAGCACTTTCTGCAGGAGGAGCACCTTCAGCGGGAGAAGCGCCTTCAACCGGTGGGGCTCCTTCAGGAGCCGGGGCGCCCTCTGTTGGCGGAGCACCTTCAGAAGGAGGTGCTCCTTCAGGAGCAGCACCGCCTGCTTCTGGCGGTTGTCCCTCTGCAGGTGCGGCTTCGGCGCTAGGAGCTTCACCTTCTTCCCCATTTTCCTTAGATTTTTTATCGTTTACGGTAAGTATTTGTTTTATTAAAATGACATAAACACAAATAAGGTTTTTTATACATTCAACGTCAACTTGAAACGAATAAATCATAACAAGACATAAATTGGAGATGTAGATACAATGTAATACATTAAATAATGTGTTTTTAAAATTGTGTTTTTTTATAGTTTTTTATTATGGAATAGTTTTCTGTATTAGACACAAAAATTCAAAACAAAAAGACAAGGATGTTGTAGACAAAAGTAGAACAAGGAACAAGACAACACATTTAAGACGAAAGTTTTTTAATAACTTAGGTTTACAAATACATATTTTGACAATAGGACAGTTACATCCTTAAGACACAAACATAGTGTTGGTGGTTAGAGAAAATATATTTTGGTAATAAAAATCCCATAAAAGGTTGAAAGGAGTTAAGGGATTCATGCTTCGACTTCTTGTACCTTCTTTTCCTCTCCCTTCTTGGACCAATCTGGTTTTTTCTGCAATTTTAAAAAATAAATGAAAATTGTATAAATAGTAAATTGTGTGAAAAAAGAGCAAATATTGCGAAGTATGCAGCAATATATGCTAGGAGTGCTATAACATCTAATAAAAAATAAAAAACATCGAAAAACGTAGTTTACCACACCTATAGGGTAAATATGTGTAAAGAGCAAAAATGCTGCAAGAAAAACAGAAATTCGAAAGGTAATTGCAATACTACAGGAGTGCTGTGTAATTAGGTAGGTGTTTACCTTAGGCGCATGTTCAGCTTTTGAAGCGTTCTGAAAAGTTATTTAAAGCAGTTTAGCGACAATTTTAAACATTTCAAACAAGTTTTCACAGAAATTGAGAATTGAACAACAAACAAGAGCAATTTAGCGACAAATTTAGATGCGTAGGCAACGAAAATTAGCAAAGCCAATAGCTCACCTTTTATTCATTTTCCAGAAGGAAAAAGCTTTCAAAAATCAATGCACGAAAAATTAGTGCAATAAAAAATTTAGAATATTAAAAAAAGAAGAAATTGTAAAAAAGGCGAGAAAAGAAAATAATTGCAAAGTTGTGTAATTGTGTATACTTTATTAATAATTTGTGTTTAAAATATCGTTAGATCATGGTAAAAATGATGACGGCTCGTTAATTTACTTCTTCTGCCATTCGGCCTTTTCAGATTTCTTGGGCTGCGAAAATAAATTTATATTCGAATACGTTTTTAATACAGAAAGTGGTCAGGATCAGATAATGCAATCATGACCACTTATTTTTTGTGTCTAGATAATTTTGCAAAAACAAGAACCTATTTAAATTGATATTTGTGGAAAATTTTAAAATATTTTTCTCACCTCTTTGTCTTCTTCTTCAAGAGTGAACTCCTTCTTCTTCACAACTTTGAGTTGGTTCCTGAAGTTGAATTCAGCGGCCTTCTTCTGTAATTTGGCGAATTTGTTCTCATATTTGGAAACCTTCTTCAAGGTTGGTTTGACGCTAGTAACGGCATTTTTTATTAAAAGTAGAGAATATGTGTACTACACTTACAATTTGCCCCTAAGGTCGTTGACTTGACTGTTGAGGTCGGAGATCTAGACATGAAAATTTTTGAATATTGTGCTGATAAATGATATGATAGTCAATGTTGTTCTGTCAGATGATTTATTATACAGTGACTGATATTTTGTGAAACAGATGGAACAACATTGGCACTGACAAAAATTAGTAATGCGGTGCAATTAAACAAAATCACTCGCTGAAGATCAAACGAGAAAACGAAATGTTGCAAAAATCGACATATACTGTTAGTGACTAAAGGAAAATTAGGCACGAGTGAAAAGCTAGGCAAGATACCAAGACGACTAGACAAACAGGTGGGGTAAAAATGTGGGGATACCGCCTGTAATTAACAAAATCATCTACTACAAAAATATACACAATATACAGCCATGAGAAATCTCAAAATACAAAATTATTTCTCAGAGAAAATAAGGGTGAGGTAGGGGAACGTAACTTCGTTGCAAAATCTGTAATAAAAACACTACAAAACATTGAAAAATTGAAGTTACGATGATGAGTCCGGAGGGATAGTCGACTATAGTGAAATCTGGTCATACTCAGGGTTTCCGAAAGCTAGCTACTAAATGTTCAGAACAGCACAGCCGTGTTGTCCTGACCAAAACCTAATAATATTATTTACAAGTTAAACCGATCCTGAAACGCCTGAAGGATTGGAAAAAAGGAGTGAGCATGGCACTTCCCGTAGGTTCCGATTCCTTCCTGTCATGAAACTGGCGATTTGGAACGTAATAAACACGGTTTAAAACAAAGCATGAAGAGCCATGCCGTTTGAGGAGACGAAGTTGCCAGGTTGGAAGCTTTGTTATGTTAAAAAGCGTTTTGAATGAGCCTCTAAGGAGGAGGAAAAAGCGTTGGTTGTTTCAGGACCAGCAGTTGTTACAAATTTGTTGAAAACATATTTGCAACGGATTAAATTAAATCTGAGTATATACAAATGTATGAATTTTGTAGAATGAGAGCAGCCCTGGGTTTACTCGATATTAGTAGAGTTAGTTAAAACGGTGGTGTTACGCAGGAGAGGATCATACGGCTTAACACTTCATGTATTCTGACGGAGGTAAATTATGGTCAATTGAAATACCACAGGACTGACACATTTTGACAAATTTTGAACACTGACTAGTGTTTAAAATTGATCAAAACAAAGGATGAAATAAATATCGTTGTATGTAATGATGTGAAGCGTAAAACAGTGTGGTCGGTACCTCCCAATCTCTTTTTCGGACTTCGCGTTCCAAATCCCACTTCTGTTCCTCGCAAATGTACATTCGATCATAATACTCTTTACAAATCTTCTTCAGCTGGCCTAGAATCGGAAAGGGAACCAGCAGTCAGCAAAAATACACAACCGCTGAGAGCCCATGTGCATGATTCAGAAAATTCGGAATGATGCACGAGGGAACAAGGTGTGTGCTTGTGTAGATAGGATTGGTTGGTTGGGATTTTATTCTCCAAGTCAACATAGGAGAACAGCAACTGTAGTCCTAAATACATAGCTCGGCAACATATTTACATTGCAATAGCAACCAACCTAAAAAATCCAAACGATTTTTTAAGTTGGTATCGCTCATAATGCCATTCTTATAACTAAAAAATCGCAAGGCCTGTGTATCGTGTATAGTTGTACCTCACGGGCTTTTTGCTTTTCGATTATTTCCAAGTCATATTTATCCCCTTCAAGTTGCGCAATTCTTTGGTGATAGCTTTGACAAATAGTTTGAAGTTCAGCTAGAAGAAATAACACAGTTATCACAACAAAGGACCAGGTTTGTGGAGCACAGAGTATAACATTTCTTGGTCTAGGAACGTAGAAAGGAAAAGCGAAGCTCAAAGGTTTCGACATATAAAAATGTGTAGGTACATATTGTGTATTTACAAAATTGCAAAAATTCATGTCTAGTTGTTTCGTCTCGTATCCGAAAACTATTAACTGTGCATAAGCTCTACAGTGTGTGAGTGAACTTTCTCTATGCATGTGCGTACATGCCCTCCTAAGTGCCCATTCTACCTGAAAATCTCTGAATTCCACCTCCTTTTCAAGATCATATTTCTGAACTTCAAGTTCTCCTATACGTTTATGATATTGTTGGCAAATACCCTTAAGGCTTCCTAGAATATATAATGTGTGTCTACTAAACTGTTGTTAAAAAAGGAACGTCGAGCCAAAATGACTGGATCCACTTTCCTCTCATGGGTGTATATGTAAGTGTTATTACTTAAGTATAAAGGCGTACAAGAGACAAGTATAGCGTAGAAAAAAAATGACGTACACTGTATAAATACGTTCAAAAACAGAGCCAACTGCATTCGTTTGTCCCGGCAAAAAGCAAAATCCTACGAATTGCAGTTTAAAACATGCATATAGAGTTACAATACCATCTGTATGCAATTACTCTAACCTCAATATCTTTCATTCTAACGATACGTTCCAAATCATACTTGCTTCCCTCCAAATCTTGGATTTTGTTGTAATATTGTTTGCAGATACTTTGCAACTCATCTAAATAAAATACAGATTACGTTGGCGAAGATTCAACCACAGACGTCAAAAATACTTTGTCTGATGAGAACGCCCAAAATACACCAAACACAAATAACTCATACCTTCATTAGCATCGTCGATGATCTTGGGTTTACCACAACGCTCCTCAATAATGCGTCTTCTTTCGGCGGCTTTGCGTTCTTGTTCCTTCTTCAATTCCTCAGCGGCTTTCTTTCTCAACAGCAACTGTAAACAACAATTGACAATTCTGGTTTCACACATTAACTATTACGTACCCTAAGTTTCTTCTTTCTCTCAGGGGTCATAAAACCTTTCTTGGCCTTCTTGGCTTTAGAGGCCTCTTCCATACGAGCCCTGACTTCGGCCCTTTTGCGCTCGATTTCCGCCTGTTTCCTCTTCTTTTCCTGTTTTTACCAAAATACATTAGCATACCTACCCGAAGTATACAGAATAGCATAGTCTATGCTATTTTGTACACTCAATTTTCCCTTTTTGAAGTTTTTCTCTACATGCCTCCTCCAGTTTCTTTCTCTGTAAAAGAAACAAAAATATTAGGCAAAAGAATTGAAACCGACGTCACATAAAATTAAGTGACAAACTTTATATGACGTATTTGGAAGATTAAGGGCAGTGCAATAAATTGCAAAAACTGATGGCTTAGTGACAAAAATGGTGTTTCACAATTTAACATTAAACTCGATGTTTTGTGAATATTAGATTCAGTGCATTTAAAGAAAATTAATCACAGAAATGTGCTAAATTAGGGACAAATAATGTGTTTTTAAGACTTATGTGTGGTTAGTCACAACAATCAACAAGCAACTAACTTACTCATAATCCACGACATTCCAAATTTCTACTATTTTACAACTAAACTAGATAGGAGAAAAAAAAACTAAAAGCCTACACGTAGCTCTGCTACTTACTCTACTACTTCTACAAAAATTAATTGTGGTTTACAAGTGTTCATTGGTTCGTAGTAGTGTATTCTTAGAAAACTTTAAAAAGTAACACTCTAAACTGTAAGCTACTTGTAGGTAGAATTGTGTATTTGTTTCTGTATTTACTTTAACTATAAGCGAAAATTTCTACTCTTTGTCAAACTGAGTAGATTAATTTTAGTGTCACACTGTAGACATGCATGATATTTACCTGCTATTTTAAAAACAGCAGATCCGATCGACATACTGTAGTATTCCAAAAAGTACATGAAAAAATAAATAAATAAAATAAGTAACGTAATAAATTACAAAATAGGATACATTTTTGAAATTGCAGTTCTACTTACCTAACCTCATCGTCCGCCATGGTGAAGGGTTGTTTTGTTGTTCTAAAAAATGAAATATTTTTCTTTAGTTATTACTGAAAAAATAATTTAAAAATTAAAATTCTATACGGGATCTCGTAAGTGCGCATAATTCAAGCCAATCTATTTATAGCTCGGTTTGAAAATAACTGTGCCGCAGACCGGGCGCCTAATTTGGCATCCACAACTTCCACATTTCTCCAATTACTCCCAAAATAACCTGCACTCTTCTTTATTTAGTATTTTTATTTGGAAATAGAAAAAATATATGCGATTAAAAGTGTATTTTTTTATTTCACTTGTTCACTTTCACTCAACTTTTCGCACTTTCGAGTTATATAATCATCAACGTACCTTTGTTAAACGATGGAACAGTGAGCAGCCAACAAGAGATCCCTGTGGTGACTGTTGGATATTTTCCTGAAGGACTCTGGCCGAGATCGTCAAGTCCCCACCAAATTCCCGACGCCCCCCTTCGTCGACCATTTAGGTAGGTTCCACTACCTCGCCACCAAAATAGACTTGGGGTGATCTGATACCTCTTTCTGCAGAAAGCGAGTTATTCTCGAATGTTATTGGAGAAAAAGTAGAATAATACAAGGTATTTAGTGATGACAGATCACTTCGTAAATAAAAATATTAGCAAAAACATATTATTTGATAATAACTTTTAGAGCATACAATTTATATTTTCTATATTTATCCTTATTTGATAAACAACTTGTTCGATCAACGTTTCTAAGCGATTGCGAATACAGTTTGTTTTCAGTTTATAAATAGATTTAAAGGAGAAATTAGAGACTATATGTATTTTTTACGCATTAAACTGACTTAGATGTCCTAATAGAACTTATACAAAAAATAGTTAGCCTAAATTTTTACTTGAAATAAAATAAAAATAGAAGTTTTATTTTTGTTGTACCAAAACGTCAATCACATTAACGAAACTGAAAGCATATTGTAGTTTAAAACAACTACACCGTTTTTTTTAACTAAAAACAAAAAAAAAATTTCTGTACGTTCCCAAAAATAGTAACTTTACGAACTGATTTAAATCATTTAAAATACTTAAAATAGTTTCTTTTGTTGCAAGTACCTAGAACAGTTTTTGCAAACGAATAGTTAATAGTTGCTGTTTCCGGATCTGGAATAGCAAATGAGTCCGCAGAAACGTGTTACCAACAATATTTTTCTGTTAAACCTTCCAAAAACACATTCACACCTCTTATTTTTATAATTAATATCAAAGAAAAAAGTTCTCGAAAATAATGAGCTTTAAAAACAGCTACGACCTAACGACTCGTTTGCAAATACTGTATGTAGGTATGTACTTGTAATGAAAATAACTATTATTAGTACCTATATTAATAAATTATTCAAAAAAAATATAATTAATAGAACCAAGAAATAAAACACCAAATTAATTAAATCTGCGATTCATTTATTTTTTTAATATTTCCATTACAATTTAGATAAATTTATCTTTAATTCGTAAAATTCAACAAAAGTCTTGGAATATTTTTATATCGTTTTAGTATTTACATTGTCTGCTATTCTAGGGATAAATTTAATTCAATGTAATAATAGATTAAAACCACTTTTCTCTAACAGAGGGCCTCGTAGAGGTCTGAAAACTCCTGAAACAGTTTGTGATATTATCACCGAGCTTTCAGCTTTCAGAGCCGCTTATGCGTTCCTGAAACGGCAAACGCCGGAACTATTCTTTGTTTACAACAGTTGAATGACCGCAGGTATAAACAAAATGCAATTTGTTACAAGTTTTAAAAATTTTGAAGTAAATTTCTCGTAATAAATTAGAGCATTAGATAATTGAACATAATTTTGTTACTGTTACATAGAGGGTTCTGAAGCCAATTAATATAAATCAAATCATGTTAAAAATGAGATAGTTTAGCATTTTAAATTTTTTGTAGTATATAAAAAGCTTGCTAAGGTGAAAAACAAAATCTTTATTGAAAGAGAATTGGCTATACTTTAAAGTAATGCCTTACGTGCATTACCAAATGAAAAATTTAACAATACAGTGTCATTTAAACCAAATAAATCATTTTCGGAAAAATAGATTGGCTTTTAAGGCCTCCATATACAGTATGTCCCCGGATTGAGTTTACAAGAAAAAAAAAGTCTTAAATAGAGAGTATAAAAAATTGTTCATTCGTTTGTGAAGTAAATTTTATTTTCAAACAAAACTACGGAAAAACACAATTTTTGAAGAAGAAAAAAGAGAACAGAGAGAAGAAAGAGGAGAGAAGTACTTTTTACGCCAAAATTACAAAGAAAACACATTTTTTGCTTTACCTAAAACGAGCAAACCTGTAATTACAACTTCATTATTCTAACCCAGTAGAAAAAAAGTTGATTTTTCCTTTCATTTTGGACTATAATTTTTCTCTGGCGGTTTTATTTTTTTGACAACAATGTCACTTCACAAGCTATCATTGTTTAATTAAAAAAATTATTGTCAAAGTGAGATATAGTTGTCAAGTAAATAAAACCGCCAATGTGATAGAACTTAAAAAGCAGATAAAAATGATTCCAAAATCAATTCCAAAATTCTTTTGTAAACTCAATCCGGGGACCTACTGTATAATACTGACAATAACATTCTCAAGAGCATTATCACAGTTTTCTACACAGTTCTATACAGTTTTATTACATCTTATAGGATTTCTCATTTGAATAAATTGTGTAAAACATGATTACGTAAAATTTTCACAATATTCAGAATGTGAACTAAAATGTGACTAGAAAAAAGAAAAGTAAATGTTCCTAATCAACAAGCAGTTCTATATTACTTATAAGTGATTTATGTAAAACAATTTTGTGAAATGAAAGAAAGAAAAAAAATAGTATTTTATTTTTGTCATAACAACTATTAAGAGAAGCTTGAAGATGTCGAATTTTTCAGAAGTAAAATTTTAGTTGTTTAATTTGACTTTTCTTAACAGAATTAAGTCTAATATTTTTTAATAATGTATGGTTGATTAAATGTGAGTTCATTGAGTATTTTCAGGTATATTTAAAGTGTGCAGATAGCTCAAAATAGCTGACCTATATAACCTTAGAGCCGTGACTGGGCTATGACGTCATAGTGGTTGTCATGCCAACAGGTTAATGGCAGCATTAGATTGACACCATTGGCTCATGCATCAACTAAAAGAAATCCAAAGTTTTTTCAAATTCCAAAATCATCACCAAAAACATTTATAAACTGAAATTGGAAACTTTGATTACAAAAGCTCAGTTTACACTTAAATCCTAAACATGTGTACATTGTTACCCTTTCTTGTTGTTCTATTCATCAAAACCCCTGCTTAGATAAGGTCGTATATATGTAATAATTGAAAATGTATTCATAAAACCGATATTTGATTCATAAAATGGTGAGCTGAGGCGAGAGAGAGGCTTTGAAAGAGAAGCGCGTTTCTCGCTAGGATAGCTATTCGCCCAAAAGCCAGAATGAATCCTGTGCAGCGTCCTCGAACCTGCTATCCAGGGCATCGCACCCTGTTTGACCCACTTTTCCCTGTGCCCCACCACATCAATGACATCAGACTGACGTCATTCCAAATGTGGGACAATTTCATTCTAAAATATCAGAATTGCTGTTCCTGCAATTAACTCGCCTTTATCAGGACACTAATCCTTGCTGTTTTTCTCTCCCTAAATCCACTCAAATTAATCAGGAAACGGTATTTCAAAAATTAAAAAATCCAGTCTGAAAAAGCCACCATTTTCGCAGGTTGCTTCTCAATGAGTGAAAACTTAAAAAGCTATTGGTCACTGTTTGGAAAATAAAGATAACAATAAACAAACATTGGGGCTTTAAATGAAGCAGGGTGAAGAGATGCAATGACGTCATAGCAATTGGAGGGTGGGGAGGGTTGCGTCAATACTTGTTGCAAAGTGTGTCAAAGTGGGGGGTAAATAGGTCAATATAGGGGTGCAAACCAGGTCTATGACCTGCAGTTCAATATACTGCTTCTCGCATCAATGTACCAATTTGTTTATAATTAATCAAACTCGATTATAAAATATAAAAAGCTTAATTAGTTGCAATCCAACAATTGCAACAATTGATTCACTTTGACTCGATTTCGTTAATACTGTTTTATTCATCATTTCTTATTGATAATAATAATAATAATCCATAGTAACATACATGTTTTTACAACAAAAATCACTTCAATAACTAGAACTCGTAATTAATTAAATGTTTATCGCACTGTCCTGAAACTATGCAATAAAGGTTTGTTAGGAAAAGGTCAAAGTAGATTAGGTAACGTATTCTATTTCTACGACTGATATGAAATAGATATCCCAATTATAATTCTTTTTTCTAGCACCGCTTGACCTTTTCATATTAATTTGAACTATTTTTCATGTTACAATCTAATCAAATTTGTTCAAGCAGGAAGTTGAGTTCAATTGAATTGTGACGTATTTTCGAAATGTGGCACTAATGCCACAAAATGCTACACCCACAACATCTACACCTACTTGTTACTTTGAATGGACGAACATTGTCAACGTTACAATGTATTAGAAACAGATTGAAAAATACAAATAATTGATTTGTATTTACAGATTTGAGTGAATGCATTTTCGCACAGCGCCTCCACCATTTTCAACACAGGCACAAAATGTCAGTGCTCTCAAAACTATTAATTTGGTTATTTTCAGATTTCTGTATAAATAGCGCATCCACCATTTTCCTAAAAAAAAAACAAAACACAAAACAACGAAGTTTATATAAGAATAATACAAGTCGGTCCAAAGATACAGAAATAGAAAATCTAAACTCTGGCTGGCATTAGTAAGAGAAACTTCTCATAAAAATCCCCCTAATTGTAAGAAACCTGCCATTTCAGTCCATAATTGGCATTGTGTCCAGAATAGACTTTCGTCTTGAAATTGATGCTATTGTCCGGTGTATAATTTTCTTCTAAAAGAAGGTTATCAATCCGAGAATTGCTGAAACATTAGTCCCATTCTAATATTCCTGCAAGTATTATGACCCTGCAGTCTGAACTACACGTGAAATTTGACAATCAATGTAATGACGTCAGAGGAAAACCGACCAATCGCAGCGTGGATCCATTCACTGCCATCAACCGTGCCTGTTACAGATTCATCTTACTTCAGTACCGCGGCACACGTTTCAGAGTTAGCTTGCAGCCTCAATGGAAGCAACACTCGACCCATGCGCTCAACAAAATTATTTAAACAATTGGCTAGTTAACTAATGTGAATTTACTTCACCCCAAAATTTATTATTTGGCCACTCTGCAGAGCTACCACCACTCCAAAGTCGACGATTAAAAGTAAGTAAATTATTTTAATTTTTTAAATTATTAACCCGGCGCCTCCACCATTTTTTGGTAATTTCCCGGCGCATCCACCATTTTGCAACAATTATTTTGTTTAATGTT